AAAAATAATAATCTTTGATAAAAAGACAGATACACTGCATGTATCGACCAGTTGCCTTGATAATTTGTTTATTAAGTCAAAACTTCGCATGATTTTTATAGTTTTCCCGTTGTTCAGTAGAGTCTTGTCGCCATGAGTTGGTGCACTAGTTCAACCTTGATTTTGTACCCTCTCGTTTTAAAGTTTGAAGAAGAAGCAATAAAAGTCGAGGTTTGCCAAAAATTAACGCAAAAACGATTTGCTGACACCATTTCAACATTTATGCAGTTTCTAGCGTTGTTTGGTTCACATGCGAAAATTTTTGCAAATATTTTGAAGTTTGTTTGCAGAATTTGAAAAATGAGTTCCGTCATTTTTAGACTGTCTTTTCCGGCAGGGTAAAATATTGTTTTATTTGTTGCCTTCTGTTTTTGATATAAATACAACTGCAATACTTCTGCAGTTCCGTTAAACGTTGAACATTAAAAATTCGAGAAAAAACTTGTAAGTTGTTCAATATCTCTTGAAACAAATGATTTTTTCAGACCGCTTTTTATTTTCCACACGTCGCCATAGTGGTGCACTTCCTGAAATCCACCCAGGGTTGCCTGTAAAGCCATAAGCGTACGGGAAGAAATAATCGAGGGGGCTGCCTTACAAAAGTTCTATTGTTTACCAAAAATCTTGCTGGACTAAGGAAAGATTATTATCTGATTGGGACTAATTTTCAAAAAAATCCAAACGTTTGGGGGCTACAGCACCCTCCCCAGCCCAATAGCTTTATATCTCCTCTAAACATCCCCTTTTACAGGATTTAAAGTATCAGATGAACATAATTATATATAATTATCTTACAAAATAGTTGGCTGTTCTATGTTGTTACTTAAAAAGATGCAAATTAAACAAATTCTTACACCCATAGTCTTTGTAGTGGTGCTAGCGCACTTTATTTTGGCGCGTGCAGCAGTATGGCGACGAGCCTACGTTTCTTTCGCACAGTGTTCTACTTGTTAATGTTGGTTGTACGGAAAGCAAATTAAATAAATTTAAGAATACCTTGTTTTCAAACAAGATAACACGTATTTGCTAATGGCGACTCATGCACCAACTCATCGCAACAGGACTCTAGTTCTAATGATCAAAATTGAATCAAACAATGAAGTAAGCGTCGAATAATACTAACATTTTTAATGTGCACCCTCTGTTTTCTATACGAAACTTGCTGTTAATCTATGAATAATCAGATGAGTTATGGACTTTCGCGAAAGTTGATAACGCTAAGCATAAATATTAAATATTGAAATTTTGAAAAAATGCAGAATTCCGAAATTCTTGCTTTTCCATGAATGCAATATGTATAATGAGGTTTTTTAGCACATTAAAAAACTGGAAAAGCCAATGCCGGTCCCTGTTTCCTTATAAAAATACATGTTATTTGAGTCGCAGATGAGTGATTCATTTCGCCAAGGTTGCGGGATACCAAGCATCAAGCAACGTGGTGTCACAGCCACAAATACCTTCGAAACTTTTAAAATTATAGCGAACTTGAAACATTGCACACTTGAGTTTAATCATATTCAAACACTGAAATTCGTACTGGAAATATTCGATGCATAGTTGATACAAAGCTGAGTTAGATTTCTGAGTAGATAAAGTTTAAACATGGTTTAAATTATTGCAGTTCATTCTGAGAAAAGATGACAGGTCATAACCACTAATTTTTTATAAGTTTCAGAATTCCTATACCGTAAATCCTCGAATTTGCCCCCTCTCGAAAAAGCCCCCTCCTCTCGAATAAGCCCCCACTGCTACCGTAAATTCTCAAATACGACCCCTCAATTTGACGGTTTTTGCCAGCTGAGGTTGCCTATGGCGTTTTATTGAATTACCACGACAAATTCGTACTTTTGGTAGTAATTAATTAAATGCTCATAAAGAAATTCCTACTAAAATTAACAAAGTCTTTTAATAATGTCTTCTTATTGTCTAAAATAATTTTTTAAGCCCCCCCCCCCACTCGTATAAGCCCCCCTCAAATAAGTCCCCGTCCAAAAATATCAAAAAGAAATAAGCCCGAGGATTTACGGTAGTTTCGTTTACGGTAGTTTCGTTTTGCTTTTGTTTATCGAAATAGAAGCGGGCTAATTCGAGGATTTACGGTAGTTTCATTTTGCTTTTGTTTATCGAAATAGCAGCGGGCTAATTCGAGGATTAACGGTAGTTTCGTTTTGCTTTTGTTTATCGAAATAGAAGCGGAAGGCTTTTGCATTGTAATAACGTATATGCACAAATTTCCGAATTTATGAAAGTACGTCTTCTACTCGGGGGAGATAGCCCGGATGCCCACCCGCTCTAAAGATATAATGTTTGTCTCATTTTTCTGTCCACCGGTTTCACAAGTGTGGGTTGGAGTATTTTTGAAAACGGATGCAGCATGTGATATGATATGTTCCTTTTCTCTGTGTAAACATTTGGTAAACACACTTGGTGACAATGGCTAAGCCCTGCGACGTAGCTAGTGGGGGATGTGACACCCCCTCCCCCAATTCTTCATGAGTTTGTCGGTAAATTTTCAGTTGGTGCAAAAATTCCCTGGTTTGTCGGTTGAAATCGTCTATCAGTATGTGAAATAGCGCCTAAAATTCCTCTTATCTATTTCTTCGTCGGTAAATTTTGCTATTCATGACCCTCCACCCCCTAGTCTGGAAGGTCAAGCAACGCCATTGGCCTAAGCCCAATAATTTCATGTTTAAGCCTAGCGCACACAGCAGATTTGTGTTCCAAAAGACGACGATTTTTGTCTTTTACGACAGAAATCTGTAATGTGTGGGTTCAAAATCGAGAGATTTTCGACATCAAAGATGATTGGTATTCGAAGTCGCGGAGTCGAAAGACAGGCCTTCCATCCTAAAAACTAATTAAAAGTTTGTTTCCTTCATATGACTCTATTTTGAGCTTATTTTGGCAAAAGGATAGCGCATCCTTCACTGGAAGTCGTAGCAAAGAAGGAGGAAATCCGAAAACAGTCGTGCTGTGTGCCGGCAGAAACTTCATTCGAGAAAGACAAAAACTTCGTCTTTGGTGACAAAAATCTGCTGTGTGCGCTAGGCTTTTGCTTGTACCACTGGAAGGGTGTATTTCCCCGATGGATTCAAATTTGCATTTCCGATGCCAGCTCTACAGAACTTATATATAATTTATGAATACTTTCAACGTCAAGAACTACAGATTGTCAAGGCTTCACTCTTTACGCAGCTATTATTCGGTCTTGTAACTACTAGCGTGCTTTTTATTGTTGAAGCACCTGCTTTTTTGTACTTTTGTGGCAACTAAAGTAGTTTTCACAGTTTTGATTTGGTTGCTCGTGCCTGCTATGAAAATCAAATCATGTTGTGAATGTATAATATTCGACCAAATTTCGTAGAGTACCTAATTCTACTTCTAAGAAAAGTAAATTCACAATTAGGAAAGGTAGGTTCATCGATTTTCCCTTGGCAAATTTTTTGTTGATTTTTTAATGTGCCTCGCTATCTTCGGCTTTTATTTTTTCTTATATGTTCTGGTTAAGCAAACCAGAAATTTATATTAGTCAAGTTTCCCAGTAAAATATTTTCTTGAAATATTGGTGAAGAATAGAAGATTAATGAAATCCAACCTAGCGGCTCAAGTATGCGACAACCTGTAAATTCATCAGGTGTAGACACCTGTAAAATTGTCCTATTTATTTTATTGTTTTGTTGGTAATCTCGTATTAATCTCGTATCTGAATCTCTTAAAATGTCGTACATAATTCTCTTGCCAGTTTCCACAGCATGGTCATTATGGACTTGCCGAATCTATCTTGCTTTTCAAACACAACTATGGCTCATTCAACTTGCTTGAGCTCATCTCCGGCATGGAAGACATTACCGGTGGCGATGTCATCGAGATAGTTATGAAATGTAAGTTGGCAAGTCTCGTATTGTTTTGAAACACTTTCATGTTTTTCCTACGTAAGCATCCATATTGTTTGTCGTAATATGTTGTACTCTGTAAAGAAAACATTGTTATTTCAAAGCAAGATAATTCCCTAGCAAGTAAACAACAACATCAATATTTGGGAATGTAATACTAACCTTGCTACAATGTCGTTATTTATTTACTTGAAGAAACGTCATAACTAGTCGATGTTTTCGATTTATTTGCCAGTTTTCTTGTTAGAAGCTTCTCATATTTGCTATTCGAGATAGTGGATAGGAGAGATTTAACATTTTCTTTATTACATAATCATCAAATTATTATATTATATTATACTATATTATACTATATTATATTATATTATATTATATTATATTATATTATATTATATAATATTATATATATTATTATAATTATATTATATTATTTATATTATATATATATATATATAATATTATATTATATTATATATATTATATTATATTTTATTATATTTTATTATATTATATATTATGTTACATTTTGTTACTTTTATTCTTTTTGTTCTATCATTTATTTCAATATTACGTTGCATTATATTTTCATAATATTTAGCATTTTTCCCCTTTATGGAGAAATAGGACTTTTTCGATGTGATTAATTTGCTGATATCACAATGCTTACCGCTACAATGTTTCTGGAAAGTAATAATTCCTTGGCAATTTGGTTTCTTCTTTGTAATGATATTGATTAGCTTTTTTCTTTCTTTAACTAATTGATATAAACTAGACTGGACGAGCAGAATCTGTTGTCTCGAAATTTTGGCGCATTTCCTTTGTTAAATTTTCTAATTTGGCCATTATTTATATTCTTTTTAACTGAATTGGTATAAGATTATGTGTAATATTAATACAATGATCATTTTATAGCTGCAAGATACCCCGATGACAATGCGATTCGACCACATATGCTCAACGTCCATTCGTACAAAAGCCCCACCTTTTGCGATTTTTGTGGTGTCATGCTTTTCGGGCTGGTACGTCAAGGTCTCAAATGCGAAGGTAGGTATATTTCCTTCAATGTGTTTTATTTATTTTAAAGAATAAAGCCTGCAATCGTTGTTTTAAAGTGCAACCAATCACCAGTAGATAGATGTCTGTGGCATGTAGGTTATTGCAGAACTTTGGTGTTACGAGCTCCGCTAGAGTCCAAAAATTTCAGCAAAAACAAGCATTTATTCTCCCAAAGCAGAAGCCGTTTTGCAGCAGATTTGTCATTGCATATAATGTCACGAAAGAAAAATATTAAAATCGTAAATTTTCAGTCTGTAAGAAAATTTGATATTGTCTTACAAATGGCGGGTGTCCACAGAAAACGTGACACTGAGCAATTTTGGCACCAAAACCCATCCTTGTTGTACCTAAATGGCAAACAGCAAGTCTCGATCTTTCACGCCCAATTATACATCTCAGTGTGGTCAAGCCTCTTTCATTTAAATTCCGCCTTAAGAGGATTTTAAGATCATTTCAACGTTCCGCTTAAATTATTAAGTTTTGAAAAAGGTCAAAGGTAGAGGAGGTCATGAAGTTGAAAACGTCGTTAAAACAGGCTTTCATGCTAAGAATATCCCCGTGGAAAAGGTGGGTCCATATTTCGATTTAACATACTTTGGCGGAGGAATAAAAAAGCGCATAATTTGTAACGTCAAATATTGCGAAAATTTGAACATGAAAATAATCTGGGGATTGAAGCTCAAGTCTGCTAGAATTTGGTTTAAATATTTTTAAAAAGCTTTCAACTGAACTGAAATCTTGCAATGGATTGCCAACATTCCAAAAATTGCCAAAAATGTAAACAAAGTTGCCATATGAGAAAGATAGAGATGATTTAGAACAAAACTAAACGAGTTATTTTAAAACCTGATATTAAGAATGGAAAGAATTACAAAAAAATTTAAAAAACATGATTAAAATATTTCTTGCTACCGTATTCAACAATCTTTTGGCTTCTTTGACAATCAAAATTGTCAGTGAACGCGGAGTGATTGTAAGTATTTTGGGTTGCTCAAAAATTTACTTTTTTTAGGAGTAAAAATAATATAATTGATCTTAATCTTTGTGATAATGTGTGCACAAGAATAGTCTTGTTCACTGGATTCCAGTGCATGTCGACTGAAGGTCTCATACCTTCCCAGCATTCACTGTTAAATTGATGCCTTAGCTGGATTTGCTATAAATATCTTATCACGTGTGGCGCCACTTATAGCATCATTGTTGCTGATTGTACGAGCAGGACAATAGATGATCGCAAGTGATGTGTAAGTGGATTAAACAAAGGCAAATGTTTCAAGTATGACTTGATGTAATGGGAGAAGAATATATGAAAGAGATCTTAATTAGGATTTTTGCAAGGTGCTATGAGCCATGACTCATCTGCAACTCAGGACACAATTGAATTGGATTTGTAAAGCGTTCTTGTTATGTAAATACAAGAAAAGACCTGCGTAGAAAATTCCAGCTTTTCATAAACCGAAGGTTTGCGTGATGGCTATGGATTGTGTTGAGTATGACGTAAACAATTGTCGCCTTCTTGAACCGTGGGTATAAGCCCAATTCTTGGAAAGGTCTTTGCACGGGTTAAGGAAAGGGAGAGATTCGGAAACGCTCGATTCTTGGAGAAATGAGGTTTTCAGGTAAACATGTTTTAGAGAAAATTGTCAATGAAAATGATGGTTAATTTAAGGTGCATCGTATGATATTTTATAGTCTTTCGTTTTTACCGTAACAATTCTTGCTGCAATTTTTTTGGCATTGGGTAAGCCGTTTTTGAAAACCACGTCCCCGCACCGTGAATTTTATAGAACAATCATTTTTGTAAATTACAATTTTTGGCGAATGCTAACATTTATCATAACCAGTAGCAAGTGCGCTAGTTATTAGGATATGCTTGAGTCAAAATTGTCACCCTATTTGTATTTTAAAGTTTACAACTGATGAAAAGAGAAACGAGGGTATTTTAAATATTTTAATTACTTACGTTGTAATGATACAGAAGTTTCTTTCTCAGCGGACTTTGATGGATTAAGGCCAAAAGGAACTAAAGAATAAGATTAAAAGTCAAACTTCCGGACTTCTGCAAATTGAAACTTTGAAAATAATATTGTAACTAGAAGGTCTTCGACTGTCACATTGTAGAATTGTTCTTTATGAAATGAAATGAAAAGAAAAGAGACAAAGGGTATTTAAAAAGAACCAGTTTTCTTTGTTGTGTTTCCCATTGACTATTTCCCCTATTATTCCAGTTTTAAGATCTTTCGACTAACATTTCGCCTACATGATATGCCAGCTGTGAAATGAAGATTATTTAATGAAGAAACGAAGAAGCTCCATGCAGCTGTTCAAAACAAATCATTTTTTGTTAATTCGGAATTTTTTTTTGAAAGTCGATTATCTTCGAAATTTTTAAAATGACTTATTGTTTCATCAATGAATTAGCAACAGAATTTTATTCCGTTTGTCTGCTGAGTTCCTATACAAGCAATCGCCTTGTCCCAACATAAGTAAACCGTATGTTGCCGAAGAACAATCTTGGTAGGTAGGTATACGTGGTGCACCCTTACAGGTGTGTAGTGCACCCTCGCAGATGTGTAGTTCACCCTTGCAGGTATGTAGTGCACCCTTGCAGGTGTGTAGTGCACCCTTGCAGGCGTGTAGTGCACCCTTACAGGTGTGTAGTGCACCCTTGCAGATGTGTAGTGCACCCTTGCAGGAGTGTAGTCCAACCTTGCAGGCGTGTAGTGCACCCTTACAGGTGTGTAGTGCACCTTTACAGGTGTGTAATGCACCCTTGCAGGTGTGTAGTGCACCCTTGCAGATGTGTAGTGCACCCTTGCAGGAGTGTAGTCCAACCTTGCAGGCGTGTAGTGCACCCTTACAGGTGTGTAGTGCACCCTTACAGGTGTGTAGTGCACCCTTACAGGTGTGTAATGCACCCTTGCAGGTGTGTAGTGCACCCTTGCAGATGTGTAGTGCACCCTTGCAGGAGTGTAGTCCAACCTTGCAGGCGTGTAGTGCACCCTTACAGGTGTGTAATGCACCCTTGCAGGTGTGTAGTGCACCCTTGCAGGTGTGTAGTGCACCCTTGCAGTTGTGTAGTGCACCCTTGCAGGTGTGTAGTGTACCCTTGCAGATGTGAAGTGCACCCTTGCAGATGTGTAGTCCAACCTTGCAGGCGTGTCGTGCACCCTTACAGGTGTGTAGTGCACCCTTGCAGGTGTGTAGTGCACCCTTACAGTTGTGTGGTAGGTACTGGTGGACCCTTGCAGTTGAAGAAAATCTGAAAGAAAAAGAAATAGAATGTTAGAAATGAGACTTCATCTGGAGTGCGTTTCTTTTTCCAATGCTTGACAAAATGATCATTTTGATGTGATTTTTGGAAGTTCTGCTGAGATCTAAATTTTGAACTGCATGACTCGCTAGTAACGGATCGATTTATCGGTACAAACAACGATGATTATCTGGTTATTTGTGCGAATTCGCTGTTAAAGCTGATTTCCACGAGGCGAATTTCGAATTGAACTCGTTTCGCAATTTTCTTTTGATTTCCGCGAGACTGCGAATTCGCTAAAAAAATTTATATTGATTTCCCCAAAAACTCAAAATAAAAAATAAAAACTGCGCATGCCTTGATACCTTCATCAGCCATTTCCCCGCGAATTCTCCTCGTGGAATTCAGTCTTTACCGACGTAGTCAGGTTGCGATGGCATTCACATTTATGTCTAAAGAAAGTCTGACAGACATTGAGCCCCATACAGCAGACTGGAGAACATTAGCTGCCTTCGTTAGTTTTTTTGGGATTAACTAGCTGTTTGAGGACCGAATGAGATAAAAAACTTTTGAGTTACAATTTGCCTATGCAACCCATTTGCACGCTATGACGTTGCTGTTGAGATCATCCTTGTTCTGGGTTGTACTGTCGTTTAATGCTTTGCTTGTTGCAGCACTTGTATTTGAATTCTATTTTACACGATGCAATTCCTAACCGCTTCACAACACTACCAAGTGTTTTCACTAAGTTTATGCGGCAATATTATCGAAATTGGAGAAAAGCTTCGTGTATAACTCCGTGGCCCAGAAACAATTTTATTAAACAAAATGTAGAGAAGAAGGTTTTTTGGCTTTTGTAACAGCTTATTTCGTTTTGTAAGTCAGCTATGAACTTTACGATCTTGGGATTGTGGTGAAGCGAAGGTAGTATTCAAGCATCCAGTCATCCAGGCTGTACAACAACTGCAAAAATTTGCATATCCCAAAAGGGGATATGATTAAAATCGTTGACCCCAAAGTAGGCCTCCTACGCTCCATCTCCCCCTCCTCCCCCTCCCCTCCTCCCCCCTCCCCGAGAGAACAAAATATTATAAATTTCCAAAGTGAATTGGGAATTAGATGCAAAATTCTTTATTTTTCGCGTATAAGTATTTACTTCATATTGATATCGTTCTCTATAGGTTGCGGCGGGAACTTCCACAAGCGTTGTGCCATGAAGATACCCAATAATTGCAACGAGTCTCGATTAAGAAGCGACACTAATAAATCTACCCTTTCAATACCAAGAAAATACTCAGATGCCGCTAGCATTGGATCAAATGCTTCTGGTGATACTTACTTTACTGCATTAACTGAAATGCCCTCTCAGACTTCAAGCCCTTCACCCTCGCTTGGTGCGCGCCGAATGACCTGGACCTGTGGACGCCCTGTAGCCATTGATAAGTTGGTGAACAAGCTGGAAATCCCTCACACCTTTGTCATCCACTCGTATCGAAGACCAACAGTCTGCAATGTCTGTCGAAAACTTGTGAGTTCATGATTAATGTATCTGCGTTCAACTACTTATGTTGCTTTCTTCATTCCCTTTATGGATGATCAACTCATTTATCCCATTACAGACTTCTCTATCCATAATAATCTCCTTTGCTCGTGCCTAAATTCCTTTATCCGTGAGAAACTCTAGACTTACTCTATGAGCCTCTGTTTCGCTACAGCCTCATTTTACGGACGCTACAACAGAATGTTGTCTAGATAAACTCTTTCATCCGGGATAAACTCTTTATCCTTTATTACATCCACCGCGTGGATTGTTCTTACATGCAGCTTGAAGTATGCTGCTGAACTGTAATGTCAGTTTGTTATCAATGGTGTGATTTTTCTTATCAGATATTGTTACCTGTAGACCTTATAAGGTATAAAATGGACACCTTCATTCTAAAGAGATGTAAACCTGAAATTTCAAGACAATTTTAGCCACTTATTGGTTGTTTTATTGCAAACTCTTTAATTGCCTATAACAAGAATCAATGAAGTCTGTAGGCCTAAGATCTCCTTAATATTCCTCTGTACAGGCGCTTTGCGACTGACTCTCTCGTCCCCCTGTACAAATTTTCTCAATATGTAGCGCCCACTTTTTTATCCGCATAAAGTTACTAAGAGCTGTGCTGTAATCTTCGATATTTTTCATTGTCGGAGGCGTTTATGTTCTGTAATTATGTTTTTGCAGCTCAAAGGCCTGTTTCGGCAAGGATACCAATGTAAAGGTGAGCATTCTAATTAAAGTTTATGCAATTCAGCAACATATTTTTAGACTGTATGTTAACCTATAATATGTTAATGAAAGATACAAAGTTAGACATCGATAAATACAGTTTCCGCTAATAAAATTTGCAGCAAGTTGCCCAGGACACTGAGAGAACCAAAATGGTTTGCAAGTCCAGTGCCGTGATACTTAGGTTATGATGGGTTTTTTATACAGACTGCATTATGAGGTTTTTAACAAGAATTTGGTTAGCCAAAGATGAAAAGTCTCTGAGAAAAAGATCTCTAAATTCTAAGAATCTAACCCTGAAGAAGAATCTTAAGAAGAAGTCAAAGAATTTCGGTTGTTATTTTCATCATTAAGTGTATTTTTAAGATTTTCGTTTCATCTGAAGTAAGTTCTACGTCATACTAAATGACTGTTGAACGATTCTAGATTCTAGCCTATACCACCCGAAGAAACAGAAGAAATATAATTCCTCATTACTGCGCTAACTCAGGTGGCAATTCATTGATCTGAAGTTTCCGAGGATATTTGTAGCTTTACAGGCATTTGACATGCAGAAGTACAGCGAATCCAAATGTAACTTAGGCCAAATTAATCAGAACTCAAAACTGCTCACGTGTAACTATGTATAGAAAAAACTCGGATCACTGCCGAAGTCACTAAATGAAAAAATGGCTGCTCGAAGACTCCCGAAAACCGATATGATTAATCGGTAACTTTTAGTGTAGGCGAACGTATAACTTCGTCCGTCTGAACAGCTGAAATATTGAATAGGTTTATTTGGCTATACAATACCTAATATTGGTTAGTATTGGCTATATTATATTATATCCAATATTCACCTGTTTTGTTATATTTTAAACAATATTGTGATGTTCCTTCAGAAGCCATAACCATTTTTTAATGCTCCAAAAATTTTATGGCTTCATTACCTTTAAAATTCACATTTTTAAACTACGTATGGTAGCAGCACTCGTTTGTAGCAGCACTCGTTTGTAGCAGCACCCGTTTTAAATTCGCTGAAATCCAAAATCTTTGCTCTAATAACGGTATTTGCGCCAATGTTAAGTTGGTATTGTTCACACTGCAAAGCATGATAATTACGTTTGTTCATTTTATTCACACATGGTTCTATCATTGAACAACCTCGATCAGAGTTGTAATTGGCTTTTCACTGTAGAGTCTACCTCGTGTTGCCATCATGTTTCAAGCTTTTAATTCACCATCATCTAAGCAAGAAAATAGTTCCATTGTCTTAATATTCTTCGTCGGATCTTTTTATGTTCAGCTTATATAAAGGTTTATGACAGTCCTAAGTATTGAGCATTTTCTGAAGCAGATATCAGCAATTTTTGCTTTACTCGTTAGCTTTTGTTGGTTTGTCAAACATGAATTCATAAGTATGCAAATAAAGGAGAGGCCACGATAGCAGGCTGCTCGACGGACTCCGGAGGAAATCTTGCGACGAAAAAACGATAAAATAGTAGTGTATAAGGAACACCGCAACGCGACGAGAATAAACAACAAAAAACACACAAATCGGTGATGGCTAATATTTCGCCCCGGGATACGGGGCCTCATCAGAGCAAAAGTAAACGAACTAGAAATTTACAAATTTAAAATTAATAAAACTTAAATGATTAGATCTAGCGTTATAAATCAATACCCATTTTGTATGAATTCATAAACCCAGGTTTTTTTATTGCGTACTTTTACCGTCAGTTTTGCTTCGAAATGTTGTTTTATTAAAATATCAAATTAATAAAGTTACAAAATGAAATGTTATGCTTTTCTTGGCCTTTTTTTCAGACTGCAAATTCAACTGCCACAAACGATGTTTTGAAAGAGCACCAAGAAATTGTTTAGGAGAAATTGCATCAATTTCGAGAAGTACGTATATTTTTCGCAAATGTATCTGTCCCGCCTGTTCTTCACTGACAGTTCTTCACTGACTGTGATGACGTCACTTCAACATCTGCTACTGCAACAGTGCCTATTGTGTTTGTCTCTTATCGTTTCGCTGTAAGAACACGCCATTCCCATTTGATACAGAGCGCTTTAATTGTATATGTTGTCGTAGAGATCGAAAATAACACTTGTTTCCGCAAAACCTTAAGATCGCTGCCAGCATTTCATATATATCTATTAAATTGTCGCCAAAAATTTAGGCTTCTCGTGCGTTCAGTTATCTTTATTTTAAATCCCAAGGCTTCTCACGATGGGTTTCTGCGAATTTTGAAATTAAAACTTCATGAAGAAGTTTGCAAAGTTGAATGTTCATTATGGCCAGTTGATTACATATCTGCTAATTCTTCTTGCAATTTTATGTTTTATCCTGACATTAATTTTTATCTAAGCAATCTTTTGGTGATACAAAACTTGAAAATGGCTTTGAAAAAGCAGACATTTGAGTAAACAAGCTTTTCGTCTAACATTCTTCAGAGTTTAAAACGTCAAAACATAGATCGAAAACTCTGCGCTAGGAAATATATATACCCAGTTGTGGATCGAAATAGGCCAATCAGAAACGTGAGCATATGACTCTAATTTTTATCTATTGATTCTTGCTAACATTTGTCAGCCGAAAAGGTTTTAGGAGAGGGTAGAGAATTTCAGCAATAATTTCTAGAAGCTTTGACATTAGGTGTCATCTCTTTAAAGCCTCCCCTTTGCAATACTAAGAAATCATCGAGTATTTTTATTGACAAACAGCTGACTCAGCGCCGGATGACGCAGTTAGTGACAGTCAATCAGACATTGACTTCAACGAATTGCATGAAGATATCGACCAGCAGGAAGATGACGAGGTCATTACTGAGGGGAACGACGCTCAGAAAAACAAGGATGAAGGCCAGGCATTGGCAGAAACAATGAGCAACAATATTCCACTGCAAAGGATCGTCGTGTCTGTGAAACACCAGAAGAGAAGATCTTCTAAAGTACTCAAACAAGGCTGGATGCTTCATTACACCGAGCGTGATACTTCAGTATGCCAAATTAATTGTTTTCATTTCAACACTTTCTTTTTATAGATATATATTAATTTTTTTTCCACGAAAGATTGTTGCAGACATGCGAAAATGACACACAACATATTCAATCATGAAACGAAATCTGCCATATTGCATTTTACAAAAGCACGAGGTAAAATTAAGATGTTAAGTACTTGATGTGAATAGGGAGAACGAAGCGTTATTTCTAACAATTTCCGGATCTCTGCTGGAAAGATATACAGCATTTTTTGACTGACTTTCTTAAGTACTATCAAGCTATGGTAGTTATGGAAAAAATGAGTCATTCACAAACATGGCTTTCTCGAAAGGATTTTACAAAAAATTTCCCAGTGTTTTTGTTAGAACAAAGGCTAATTCTAAATAAAAAGAATTAATTTTAACATGTGCTACCTTGATGGAAAAATACACAAGGTCATCAAGTCCTTACCGAAAAAACACTGACGAAGTCCGTGGATAATTGTCTAAGAAAAAGAAATGGGTTAAAAGAATAGAAAAAATGGACACTACACAAGGTTTATTTGGTAAAGACGTGAATCTCTAAAAGATGACATTACGCTCATGCTGGGAAAGTTAATGGAGCCGCTTTGTTTCAAGGAAAAGCGTGAAAAAGCTTATGCTGAAGTTTTTGCATAAGGTTCTTTTCAAAATCAGACTCAATTTATAGACTACCCTTTCTCCCTTGTACGCCATTTGCTGAAGACGACCAATGTCTATGGTATGAACAGATAAAAAAACACAATATTACACAAATGGTTGATATTACACGTAACTCTTCATTATTTAACTTTATTTGCTTGCGATTAAAAATGTTTGTCGTTTGCATAATAATTCGGAGTATTTCTTTACCGTAAACAACTGTTAACATATAAAGAATGCCTTTTGGAGTTGATTAGTTTCCCATAGAAGGACTTCCCGTGCGGCAACTGCCGTATAATAGCAGTGATTGTGAACGTTATCCTAAAGCAAGTTTTTTCTTTGCAGAGACGAAAGCATTATTGGCGTCTTGACACAAAACATTTGACGATGTTTCAAGCTGACACTGGGCGGAATTACTATAAGGTTTGTCTTTTAATTGTCTCTTCGTTGGTGAAGAAGAATTTCGAAAGGTAGCGACCCGCAAACTCTATGGCCAATCGCTTGTCGCAAGTCTATTGTCGCAAATCTATTGTCGCAAGTCTATTGTCGCGCACATGACTTGTCACAAGTCACTTGTCGCAAATCTATTGTCGCCAATCAGTTATCAAAATTCATTGTTCTAGTACTGCTTGTTGACACTGGCAGCGAGACTGAAGAGGCAAGGTGATTAGGGAGCATAGAAAGGATTTGTTTTCTCTGTAGAGTTAAATACATTTTGTCCCCATGAATTCGGTGATTACCTTTATTCCCATTTGGTAATTTAGTCCATAAGTTTTTGTTACATGATTTACTCGGCTAATGTTTTACTTTGTATCAGAGAGCAAGTAGCTTCATAGCACAGCAGAGAATAAGATATCGAAGACTAATGAGGAGGAAGACATATCTAATTTTCCATGAAAATCAAACTTGCAAGGGTAGCATTGTGAGGAGTAACTAATAGCCGAAAAATATGTTTTGTAACCATTCGAAAAAAACTAAGCCAAACTGGGCAACATTGTCGGGCAATATGTCACATATTGCTGATGCTACTCAAGTGTTGTCCAGTTTGGCCACCGTGTTGGCCGACAAATTCATCAAGAAATTTGTTGCTCGAAGTTTGGACATGCACAAACATTTTTCGGCAACATTTGTTGCTCAGCTCTATGTTGTTCAGTTTGATCATCTTGTCGGGCAACAATTAACCTTACTTTCCAACAACTTGCGCAGTGTTGTATTGCAAAACAGTATGCTCAAGTCGATTAAAATAAAATGGCCTGTCAAAATTTGAGCTTTGAAGTTGATTGTACAGAATGGGAAGAAAACCATGGAAGAAAGAATAGTTCAGGAAGAATAAAAAGGTCGCGTCTGAAACAAGTCCAAGTGCAAGTTCTGCTTCTACGAGTGCTCAACCAAAGAGTGCTAAAAACAAAACACAATAGTGTTGTGATGTCAAAATCAGCTTCCAGTAGCTGCAGCTTGCTTTCTTTCTGCCATACTTATCCAAATTCTTGAAAACCACTTAAAAATCAAATTTGGCACGCTGTTTTGACAACACCAGCAAAAGATGCTGCACGACAATTTTACCTAGTTTGGCCACCATGTTTCGACGACAACAGAATCAACAAAATTTCGAGAAACATTGTCGGGCAACGATGTTGCCCGGTTTGGCCAAGGCTTTAGAAACTCAGGAAAAAAAGCGAGATAACTAGTATTCGGAACTTGGAGTAGCAACTAAGAACCGTCCTGTTCTTTACACCAAAAGCGTAAAACAATTTCTATAGTCTATTATTCATATTTCTGTTTTTAGCCAATTTTTTATTCTATCATTGATTTTTAATCGACACTGTTTAAGTAATGTACTAGAGTTTAAGTAATTCTGATATTTCTGTTCCTTTATGTGGTCTAAATTTGATTTCAAAGTCAAACTTTTTTGTTAATGCGATTTTGTTTTTTTTGTGGTAAAGGGTACTTTCGACTTTGAGATTTTGAATCTAGGTAAGGTTAAATTATTTATTTTAAGTCTTCCTAAATACTCTTACACTAGTGGTAAATAATTTTTCTTATAGGATATTCCGCTCCAAGACGTGCTGGCCATTGAAACCAACACAGATCATTCGGGAAAGCCTGAAAAAGGCGGGGCTTACGTCTTCGCGCTGAAAACGACAACTTGTATATATTATTGTGGAGAGCGTGAAGAATTTGATGAAAAAGGAAGCATAATCCCAGCGGAGCCAGATAGCGGCAAAGGAATTAGAATTGGTTTATCATGGGCAGAAATCGTCAAGAATGCTCTTCAGCCCATCGCCATGAGAACTGAAGCTGCTGCGGCTGCCGCAAGCGTCGTTGCAGGATCTGCCGCGAGGTCATCAGCGCGTAAGTAGAGCATCTTGTTATTTTTAATGTCACCAATATATTTTTTGGAAATAGGGAGCTCCTAGAAACGTTGACTTAAGTAAATTACACTTAACGAGGCATCAACGCAAAATTTTAACTTCTGAAAATGGCAACAAAACTTCAGTCTTATGAAGTTGGGACTATAAGTGCGGTCGAAAAACGCATCTACGTTCTATTCATCCCATACATGTTGCGAGAAGCAAGCAAGAGAAGCTAGTGCGATTCAACTTTTGGTAGCCTAGTATTTTTACAGTCTCATGGTCATAAATAAATAATTGGTTGATCATGTGTCATCCGAAAATAATCGTGAAAGTTCTCGGTCGACGTAGCCTTTGGCTGATCACGTCAATGAAATAGAAAAGGTTCTATAAAAACAGGAAGGAATTAAATCGACCAAAAATAAAGTTTCGAGCCGCTACCATCCTGCCTCCTCAAGCCTACCAGCTGTGGTAGTGGACGCTACACTTTCGCGTTACAAAATGAATATTATGGTATTGAAGCTTGGTACAGTCTCTTGGTACAGTCGCCTTTGACACAAAAATGGCTCCCTCAATCAATGCCTGCAAGTCAAAACTCAAGGAAAAATAATCCTTTTTTATATATATATATTGAGGTGTATTGTTGTACATTTATACATCTTTGATTTAGTCATATTCCGCTCTTTTTAATGTTGATTTTATAATATATAACTTTTTATTTTGTAAGTAGTTTTTGCAGAGCCAATTGTAAGACAGTATTTAGACTGAATTTTTAACCTGGGTAAATAAGTTCAAAATGAATTTTTAAAATGAAACCTTTGAAAAATGATATTTCTCGCTAAGCTTCTCTGGTGAAAGTTTGTCCGAAATAGAAAATATTGTACACTAGGATGACCAAAAAAAGTTTCGCGATGCTAATTTTTTTGCGTCGATGCCTCTTTAAAGAAGTTTTCGGTACCGCAAGATTTGAAGATGACACGAAATAGCGGAAACATAGTGTACTGAAATATATTTCTTCCGTTTTCTTCCGACAATCTTCTGAGTATAAACGTCTGATAATGACCGAAAGTAAGCGGAAATTGTATACCGTATATCCTCGAATTCCCCCCCCCCCCTCCCGCCTTGAAAAAGCCCCACCCTAGAACTACCAATTTTCAATTAGCCCCCCCCCGCCCCTTCGAATAAGACTCCACTGCTACCGTGAATCCTCGAATTGGCCCCTCTCGATTTGTTGATTTTTTTGCCATCTGAGGTTGCCTTTGGCGTTTTATTGAATTACCGCAAAAATTCATATTTTTGGTAATAATTAATTGTTCATAAAGAAATTCCTATTAGAATATACGAGTTCTTTTATTAATGTCTTAAATATCAGAACATGTCTTTAAACAACCAAAAATATCAGAAATAAATAAGCCTCCAGGGGGCTAATCGAGGATTGACGGTATCCAGGTGTGGATCGAAAGTAACGTTATCACTTCTTGAAAGTCCATATCTAAATTCTAAGCAGTCCGTGTTTTTCCTGCAGAGGGTAAAGACAAGATCAAGACAATGGAAGAAAGCGATAAAGAAACCGAGCAACAAGACCAGGCCCAGGTGAATAGATACCGATCTCCAAAACGCTGACTACCACTAGATTTTGTTCGCTCGCCAATTGCGATCATATAGACCTGTACTCGAGCGTGAATAACGCATTTGTAGCGGGCAACAGCTGTTACTACCTAAACAAAACTCCTAAGTAGATTTCGTCCTAGCTTCGGACATCCTAATTTCGTTGCTGTTGAAAATCCACACAAATTATTGTATTCTTTAGACATTCTCGCCTTGCCGGAAAAGGCATGGATAATTTATTCCGAGATATTGTTGTTTAAGGTTTTGTAAGTTGAAGAGCAGTGCAATAGTTCTGAAAGAATAACGAATTGTAATAAAAAATCATCCATACATTCTTCGCTGTTTTCCTAAGACATCTTAATAAATTGATTAGCTTGTCATAGAATATTTTCTAGCTGGTTATTTCAGAGATAGTTTGATCGAAATATGTTTTTCAAATAGGCTTATTCTTGATCATAGAAAGATATCGTAACCGGCCTGGAAAAAATGTAAAAATATTCGTGATGAAAATCGCAATCTTTTGGTTTGTTATATAATGCATGATACCGTGTAGGCACGACTTTAAAGTCCTTAATATGTAGAACAGCATGACTGTAAGTTGCTACTATTCAGTCTTCTGTGATCATCAGGCAAAATGTGCATATTTTTTTGAATACCCTAACCAAAGATAAAAGCATGATGTTACATGCTGTGACGACATTGGCTACACGTGTAATTTCGTTTCGTTTAGACATCAAGAAACTCAATCTAGGCAAGATAAAAGAGTTAAAGCATTGTTAATAGGCGAGTCTGTAATGTTATTATTAAAAAAGCTTATCTATTTTAATTTTGTTTTTATTCAGGATTTCAGCGAGGTTTACCAACTTTTCACTGACGAGATTCTTGGTTCCGGACAATTTGGAGTTGTTTACGGCGGTGTCCACCGAAAAACCGGTCGCGACGTGGCTGTCAAAGTTATTGACAAATTAAGATTCCCTACTAAAGAAGAGAGAGCACTGAAAAACGAAGTCACTATATTGCAGGTAATTTCTTCTTGGCCATTGCAAGTTGTTATTTCTATAAAATAGTTTTTGTACTTTTTATCCTCTATGTCCACCATTTGATCAAATGTGTTTTCATTGCAATTTTTACCTAATATTTTCTATTTTAGTTAATCCCCGCGAATAGTTTCCATGTTTGTTAAGCCTATGTTCTTCCTATAGCAAAACGCAGAGTCATAAATATGGCAAATAAGCATTTTCTAATTCCCAAAAATTTAAATTCACCCAGGGATAGAAGCTGGTACATTTTCAGTTGATTTGAAAAGTAGGTCGGGTCGGTCATAATTTTGTCAATTTAAACAAATTTGTTCTTGCCAAAGATAAAAAAGAAACTCTTTGTTGGAAAGAGAAATGAACGTTGTATGATAAGATTCTAGGCCGCTTTTTGTTGTCTGGCAGTTATCTTGCAGCATGGAAATGTGTAGAATTTCGTCATGAGCATGCCTTCATTGAATTGAGTATACATCTTCATAGTGCTCAGTTCCTTCATTGTAGCTAATGTTTATGGTCTTCGATTTCAGACTATTCACCAAGGAGCAGTTGTTAATCTAGAGTGGATGTTTGAAACGCCTGAAAGGGTAAGCGACAGGATAATTCTGAAATTAAAATTTTCGATAGTCTAATGGATCATCAGTGCAGTGGTGTAACTGAGACATCTTCGGTCCTAAGGGAAAAACTGAAACGGGGCCACTATTTATGGACCGCAAGAAAGACCCAACCAAGGGTGCAGAGCATGTCAAACACGATGCAAGATATAAATATGATAATCTTTCTCGTTAACTAGGGAGAGCTGAGTTACAAAAGCTTCAATTGAAGAACCTCAAAAGTTTTCGAAAATGAGTTGAACTAGAATCAAGTTATAAAAACATGGATATGAGTGTTATTTGGATGCTCCTTTTGGCACGAGACTGCGTCACGCCACTGCATCAGAGTCCTTCTATTGCACTTTTGGGTTGCCTGAACGATGTTTTTTTAGGTTTTGTCGCTTTATTAGAGTTTGTATAGAATTTGCTACTGATCAGGTTAAATATTTTCCGGACCAAATATGTTATAATCTATGCGAAAATTTGAAATTTTTGGCCGCCCTCTTAACTTTTCCTGTCATGTGATTTGATCCGAATTTACACTACCACGTACATTGAGTCTCAAATTTCATTTGGTGTTTAAATGCATGAATTGGTGTTTATCTCAATTGCAGCTTTTACCTCCCACATAGTTCCATGCGTATTGTGATAATTATATCGGCATTGTTTTTCTGTCGCAGATTTTTGTCGTAATGGAGAAAATGAAAGGAGACATGTTGGAGATGATATTAAATAGTTCGAAAGGAAGACTTTCAGAGAAGGAAACGAAATTTCTCATTCATCAGGTTCATATCTCATTCATCTTTATTTCTTCAACCAAATTCTTATTTTTCGAATCTTTGTTAATATTAAAGAAAACATCTTTTTCATTCATATTTATTGCTATTTAGGACATCTTTTAATATTTGATCTATTATATTTTAATATCAGATTAAGTCAAAATTGATTTCTCTTTGAAATTTGAGTCATGGGGTGTTTACTGTGTTATATGTTCCACATGGTGACACCTTTAATGCGCTGTTGTATTAGAAATTTATCTTACATGCAAGATGCATTTTACATTACAAGCACAGGCATTCGCTAAAGAGAGTGAAACTCTTTCAAATTTTTGAAAATACAGAATTAAGCTGTGAAATTATGATTTTTTTTAAGTAGAGTAGTCTTTACTGGAAATAAAAAATAGAACTGGTTGAGAAGATAACCTTGCGCGCTCTAATCTCACTTAGGGTGTAGTCGGACAGTTGATCACGATACATAATGTTAGGCAAAGAACTCTCTTGCTGTCTTAGTTCGCTTAAATAGCAATGAGTAAGTATGACATTTCATCTTTCATCGCAGATCTTGGTAGCGTTGAAGTACCTACACAGTCAAAACATAGTGCACTGCGATTTGAAACCGGAAAATGTTCTCATAGCTGAAAATGTTTCAAAGAGCAAGTTCCCACAGGTAATAGTCGTCTGTTTTAGAAAATTCTAAAATTCACTCGATTCTTTGTTGCTCATTTTTGTGTTTATCCGAGTATAAATTGTGTAGGGAATAAATGTTTTACGAATCTTTCTGTTAAAACTTGTATTTTTAATGTTCATTAGAATATTATGTATCAACTCTGGACAGAAAGTTACTTTAAACCCAAGCAAAATCAAGTGAAAATGGCAGAGACCTCATTTTGGTAGTCTTGGATATATCTACAGTATAATCCGGTTATAACGTAATTTAAGGAACCAGTGTATCAGGTATGTTATATCCGAAGTACGTTGTAACGAGGGTAAGTAAAAATTGACTAAAACCAAGCACACCTTTGGCGGGACCAAGCACACCAGTACGTTATATCCGAAAGTACGTAATAACCGAGTACGTTATAACGGGATTCTACTGTATATGATATATTTACATATATACGATGATACGAAATTGCTCAAACATAGCATACTGAAGTAGCTTCCATCTGACGCTCTGCAGTGAATAAACGTCGAATAAAGACCGGTGGTAGGCAAAAGAATTGTCCGTTTTTCGTGCCACTTTCAAATTTTATTGACGAACCCAGAGTGTTTTTAAATTGTGTTGGACTTTGTTGCTGAACAAGATATGAATTGTACCACATTGTTGCCGGCTTTATTTAAATTGAGTTTAATGTACTTTGCTACCCATAGATAAAGCTTTGCGATTTTGGATTTGCCCGGATAATTGGAAGGGAGTCCTTCCGTCGTTCCGTTGTCGGAACACCCGCCTACCTAGCCCCTGAAGTCCTTAACAACAAGAAGTACAACCGATCACTTGATATGTGGTCAGTTGGCGTTATCATATATGTCAGGTATGTTGTTACGTTACTTTATGATTTTAATTGCACTTTTTTAAAGTCGTATTCTCTCATTTCTGTAACTTGACTAGACAGAAAATGGTTGCACTTCGAGTGGTTGTAGTGTTCTTATGTTTTTCTTGCGACCCTGAATATACTACGACCGGTGGGCGAACCAACGGGCTAGGCCTATTGGCCTATACAAGACACTCAACACCGTTATGATATGAATGGAAACTGATAAGCAATTAAACTAGCGCATATTACATGAAGACAAACAAACATATTGCGCTAAATAGAGTTCACAACAAAGCCGAACAACACATATGACTTTTAAAGTGATACTCTTATGACTCTAAGAGATAGAACAACACATATGACTGTAAGAAAAGTGTTACTCTGATCACACATTATAAAAATGCCTCACTTCACGTAATAATACCTCTGGCAACCTCTAAGCATCTTGTCCCTCTATGGCGGGGTCCTTGTAATAGACAACTGTTAGATAACTGAAATCGTGGCTATTGTGTACAGTATAATGCTAAGATCTATCTAGGATCTAAAAGACATCTAGGACCTATAATAATAGGAGAGAAATTTTGTTTCATGCAATGCTCGCAACACATGTTGAAAGTTTTCTAAAATTTTGTATATAATTTTTTTCAGTTTAAGTGGTACATTCCCTTTCAACGAAGAGGAAGAAATCGCCGATCAGATAAAAAATGCTGCATTTATGTACCCACCAAATCCATGGGCTGAGGTCTCGGCCGAAGGTATTTGCTTATTAATATTTTGCTTGCTTTCCACCTTGAATTTCTTGAAGGAGGCTCAAATTCAGTGATGTGTTTTCCTGCGTGGAAAGGCTCACCTTAAACTACGCGTTAAGGTTTTAAATGCTAGTTAATACTGTTGTGTCATATGCGGTAAGCACGTTATTTGTGTATTTTAACTTAAGTTTTGTTCCTTTAATGCTTTATACAAAGTAAAAGCTTTCATATAAATAAAAGCTCGCCAAGTTGCGTATACAAGCATTTGTCGACTAAAAAGAATAAGTTATTCCTATTTCAAAGATTTTCCATGCAAAAATCTAAAGAAAATGTATGACCAAAATGTAATTAAAGTCCATTCGATCTCTTTCTAAAAGTGGAGCACCTTTTTGTTAGTTAATGCAGATCCTAATTTGTCCCAAACTCTAGCCCCACCAAAAGCAAGGCCCTTTCGGCTGAGTGATATTTCACCTGTCTGAAGATTCCAACCTAGTTTAGAACTGCATGTTTCCATGATACAGTAATGACGTAATGTTCTTGCGGATAATAAGCCACGACATTTTCTACTGATTTCATTTTACTTGAATTCGGTCATTTGATGCATAACTAGACAATCAAGTCGTTTGAAGGAAAAGCAGTTGTTCCTGCTATATATTTCGCATTTTTGAAATTTTGTAACGGCCACTAAATCACAGTTATCCCTTTCAAGAAAGCAGTCTTAATGTACAAATGTTGCAAGATCTTTAACAGGACAAATCCGTCCAAGACTTTCAAAACTCCTATTCCATGAGTTTTTCGTTATCACGTTTGAATCTTCTGTCAATAAATAAAAACGTTTATTTAAAGTTTCTTCCCTTGGATTTTTTTTAAAGGTTTTGTTCTCCATCTCTTAACTGTATTCTAGCGTTGATCGAAAAAATAACCCTCTTAACTATCTACTAGGGTTGATCCAAGGAAATCGTTACATTTACGGATGTTTAATTATTCGCTGCCTTATGCATTGTATTCTTTTTGCATTATTTTATTGGTTAATTTTTCCTGCATTTTGACAGCAATTGACCTTATCAACAAGTTGTTGCAAGTTAAAATAACAAAGAGGTTGTCATGCCAACAAGCCCTCTTTCATGTTTGGATGCAGGTATGCACATTTTGTCTTTTGTCTCCTTCATTGGCATTTATCGAATTTTTGCAAAGGAACAAAGGAACAAAATATCCTTGGATCCAAAGGAACAACCCTGTTTGATCCAAAGAAACAACATTTTTTTATTCAAAAGAACAACATTGTTTGATCCAAAGGGATAATGTTGTTTGATCAAAGAACCAAATACAACCTTTTTCTGGATCCAAAGATACCAACACAACATTTTTGGATTCCATTGAACAACATTTTTGGATCAAAGTAACACTTTTGGGATAAAGAAGCAACATTTTTGGACCCATAGAAACAAAATTGTTGCCAAATTTCATAAGTTGATAAGCGTAGCAAATTAAAAAAAAAATTCGTTGCGAGTGAATTTATTGTAATACCGATACTTCGAAAATGGAAGTGTTTTACAAGAGAGTGAAAAGGACAGAAGCAACTTTCGAACAGATATTTTCCCATTCATATGTGTAATGACTACCAAAACTTCATTTTCATAATTTAGGAGCATTCATTTTCAACTTTCTTTCCCCTTTGCCCCATTATTTGACCTTTCCCCTACCCTTTTACATTTTGCGGTGATCTTACGAGCAAAGCTGTATTCCCATTCCAGGATTATAACACTTGGTTGGAGCTGCGGAGCTTAGAAGAGGCTGTTGGGAGGCGCTATTTGACACATGAAAGTGACGACGAACGATGGCAGCGGTATGAAAAATCACTGCGTGCGACGCCAACAGCTACTGATGGCGAAATTAGTTTTCTTTAATGGTTCTTGAAATTTTAATATGAATATTCTCTGAACATGAATATGCTGGATGGCCAGCTTTGCGTAGGTAAATAGACAATTTTTTTGACAGAAAGTGGTCGTATTAATGATGCCTAGGGTCTTAAGTGTATCGATTGCAGTACAGTGAACTGGTTGATCAAGGTATGAACGATTAAATAAATAAGTGAAGGGAGAGGGGAAAAGAGTGGCGAATAATGAACTGACGAGGTTTTAGATGTTTGTAATAGCTGTTATAGTGATGATGGTTGGTCGTTTAAGATACGAATACATATGCAGCATTTGCAAACGTCTGATGTTAACCGAACGGGAACAGTGTCTAGAAAGGTGTCCAAAGAAATCACTTAAGAAGTTTTTTCATTTTTGACAATCGATATTTTTGGCAAAGAGATACGATGCCATGAATGCAGTTGATAAATACCCAAGTATTTTATATAAAAAAGTATTTTACCAAGGGTTGAAAACCCTGTTCTCTCTCATTGAACAAATGCGGAATTCTTTTGGTATTAAAAAAAATCCAGGCATTTTTGTATTCCCTTTAATTCACCCCCCCCCCAAAAAAATGTCCGGTCTGTCGGTATTAAACGTTTTTCTGTGACTCTTTCAACCTTTAAGCTGTGTCTCTCAAACGAAGGCTTTAAGTTTCCCCTACGAATCGCAATCAATCTCATGTGTATATTTCCAAACGTAGCTTCTTGTGATGTGTTAAATGTTCGTGAAACTATATTCCTTCTTCAGTAGCGTTTCAATGCCGGGGGATCCAATTCACCTTAGGAACTTTATGGTCTAAATGACGTAATTTATCAAGTAGATATTCGATAGTTTTTCATCTTCACTACCACTATTGATCGAAATTTTTGCTACTTTTAATTAGATTTGCGATGACAATGCCGAGTAGTGCTTCTTATTACCCAGTGCTTATTACCCTGTAAATCAGATTTTCATTGGCTGTGCACATGTGTTACACCTTTCGACGTTCCCAATATTAACGAGCTTTTTTTACTAGGATCCTAATGATACCTTAATTAGTATCGTGCCACCTTAGTCCGTATTATTTCTCAAGGGCATATTGTAGTCATAGTAACCGTTTAGCCTGCAAGTTATTTTACTGCGTCGTATTTTCTACTTTATGTTTTTAAACTACCCAACTTCAACATGCATACACATTTTTAAGCAGATGTTTTAATTTGCGTGAATTTATCGTAAAAGTAATCGTGTAATTCGTTAACGTTTTATTTGGTTAGTTTAGGGTTAAACAGGGCTGCTCTCTCGCGCAAGTCATCAGTCATGTCGAATTTACTTTGCCTGCATTTCAGACACGTTTATAGGTAGTAACATTCTCCAGTAGGATTTTTAGTCCAGTGAGATATCAAGCATTTAACCCTCTATTAAGTACGTGCTTGTAAGATTTGCAAATAGAGAACCCCAAATGAGCATGACGTCAATCTCTAGATGGTGATAATCGACTCTAAATGTACTTAATACAGCTTAATACAAGGTGGATCGTTATCAACGCATTACTTTATTTGAGGGACCTTCTTGCCTTAATTTGATACTTCTTGAAACATTTTATTGATGACTTGTATAACAATATTCAACGACATGAGCAACTTGCTATACCAGTTAATATGTATTATTTATTTTTCATTAGTATTGTACAAAGGCCTAACCTCTCGTAGATTATAAAAATCTCGTAATCACGTATTTCTGAGTAGGATATGGGAGACTCTGTTTGGGTATCGAACAAAATAACTAACAAAATTAATTACATTGTCTTGGTTTTTTATTTGATGTTTGTTTGAGCTCCTTCATGCCTTGGTGTCTTCGGGAAGGTTTGCCAAATGACCCTTACCCCTTACCCTTAATTCAAATTGGTGCCTCCTTCGAATGGGCGCTCCGCTTCAAATGAGCGCCCCTACCCTCAAGAGAGAAATGGTTGTGATGATGGCAAAGAAATTGAAATATACGTCTACCTTGAATAGAGAACTGATGATTTTTTTATATAAAGCTTAGATCGAACTTTTCATTGCTTGGGATCTGAAGAAATGGTTTAAAGCTGATAGGCGCTGCTTTCGAGTCAGGTTATTGAAAGGTATTAAAGAATGAATTGCGTTGGTGATCACATGACAGATTACATCTGAAACAGCTAGCCAGGTCTAACAAATGTAATTCACTAAATTTATTTTTATTAAAAGTCTTTTTGTTGAATTCGTAATTCGCTATATAGAGGCTGGATTAAGGTTTGCACACTGACAGCGTTCCGTTCTCGTTTTCAAATTTTAAATTTTGAGGAGGATTACACTTAGTAGGAGCCCTCGTGTTCTGCCTATCTTATCTATTCTTTGAGCATTGCAAAGAACATGTGTAAAGAACTTGAAACTGTATGGGGAAAATTAGCGAAAGGAAAATGATGAACGTAACTGTCTGGGTGACGAAATGATCAATAAAAAAATGACGAAAATAATATATGTAATGAGCTGAAAGCAGGACATGTTAATTTACCGTAAATCTTCGAATTTGGGGGCTTATATATTTTTATATTTTGGATGGGAGATTATTCGACGAAGGGCTTCTACGAAGACATTATTAAAAGGCCTCGTATATTTAAGAGGAAATTTCTTTATTAACATTTAATTAATCATTACCAAAATTATGATTTTTTGTGGTAATTCAATAAAACACCTTAAATGCAACCTTAGATGGGGACCAATTCGGGGATTTACGGTAGCAGTGGGGGCTTATTGGAGGGGCTTTTTGACAATTTATAGTTCTAGGGTGGGGGCTTATTCGAGGTGGGGGGCTCTTTTCGAAGGAGGGGTTAATTCGAGGATTTACAGTATATGCTATTCTTTCTTCTCTGATACACGCTCCACTGATTCCCGCTCCTCTGCTTCCCGCTCCTGACTTTTATTTCCGCCATAGAATTAATGTGGCTCTTGTACCCAAGGTAAAGGTTAAGCCCCGATCACGTAACTCGATTTTTCACTCGATTTACTCAACAAGATGTCGAGTGATGTCGAGTAAAGTTTGATCTTTAAAAAAAAAGTCGAGAGAAAATGGTGTTGTCGAATGAAAATCGAATCGTTTGGCCACCTTGTTGAGTGATTCGAGTGAGCGCTTGCGCAGTTATCATCTCTAATGCTTGGTGCGCAATTCGAGAGTGGGGCGGCCAAAAAGGGGCAGGGAAGCATGCAACTGTGGGACCTCGAGGTTCAGGGGACCTCTTAGAGTGATTAAAACCATTTATGAATGGGATTGATTAAACGAAGCAAAAGGGTGCCTAAGAAATGGTAATTTGCCTAAACGAAATAAAATATTTAGTGACGGTACTGTATGAAACGAACGACCGAGATCTTTTGACGCTAGAGTTAGTCAAGAGACTGTAAAAGAACATTTGCATGTAAGATAAACACTGCAGCCGCTTTGCGTTTCTTTGCCTTCATTTTGTTAGCGTGAGTGAAAAGTCGAGGGAAAAATCGAGCGAAAAATTGAATTGTTTGGCAATCCATGCTCGACTTCGCTCGATTTGGGGATCAAATGTTGAGAGAAAGATCGAGCAAAAAAATCGAATCGTTTGGCCAAGGCTTTAGGCCTATTGTGAAAGGAGCAAGGGGTGTAACGTAACGAATGAGAAATTATTAGATCAATGAAAGTAGGCTGCTTTCTGGAGAACTGCGGGAAAACTAGCTGGGCGGATCCAATTATTGCGGAGTAAACTGCCTCGATTGCGGAAAGACACCCGTTGCACCTAGGAACAATTAGCCCGAGGTACTTTACTTAGTTTAGGCGGATTCTTATCAAATCGAAACTACTGGGAAACTGCCTGTGATGTCTTTATGGAGCTTTTAAGGTATTGTAGATTCGCACTCGATTGTAATGCATCGTGGTGCGATTTTGTGCGGTTGCTTGTGTGATGAATTTATGGTCTCTGGTCAGGAAGATGTTTTGAATTTTTCGGATGCATGTTCATAAAAAACAATTTTCTTCGTATAGTTTTTCTTGGAATAAGTAGGCGATGACATTTACAATAAAGAAGTGAGAAACTCAGAAGAACCAATAAATCTGCATCAGAGATGTGTTTGCAAGATTTTAATCTAAATGGCCTGGTCCACTGCATGAGAAGCCGGAACTCAGTTTTTACAGCGATTGACTCGAAACCGAACAGATCGAATTCCAAGCTCTTTCTCCACCGGAACCAACGTAAGTGTCGGGATAGGCATCGAACTCTTATATAATCGACTGCTTCGCTAAAAGATTTCAATTTGGTATGTCTATGCAACTTCTGCTTGAAAAAAGAGACGTAAATCTAACCAATAAGGTTGTAGGTTGTCCCTGTAATGCTGTAATAGGTCAAGGCTCTTGCGCAACCGGCATGCTTTGCGACTTTATTTTCGAAACGAGCCTAGTATCGTATAGCATGTTAGTACCAAATACTGTTCAGTTCCCTTCACAAATGATGCTGGTTGCAAATGAACCTCTACAGCAAATGATGCTGGTTGCGCAAGAAGCATTTAAGCTGTAATTCATGTAAATTTCTCTTCGCTTTAAAAGAAACAATTCCGCTCTATGATCAATTTTTCAGGATATTTATTCTTATGAGAAGTTTAACATATGACGATGATGGGCATTTTTTTAATAATGGCAATATTTTACATGTCAATGTTTATTTAAAAATAATTAAGGCTAGATAGGTTTATCGAAATGCATAGGCGTGATAGATACTCAACACATTTTCGAAAGCCAGTTGACCAAAGTATGTGAACAAGTGTCCCGTCTCTTTTAACATCTTTACAACACGTGACAAAAGACAAAATGTTACACGAAGCTTATCCAAAATGCAAGACTTCGCAGTAGCATTCAACGGGGTTAAGAAGAAGAAACACTTCATTTTTTGTATTAAATCAAAAAGTACAGAAGGCAGCTGGATTTAGTCTTTTAATCGGCACTTTTTGTGCCTAAATGTAAAATATATGTAGCGAAATATTCGTTTAAGCCGTTTTTGGGGCAGAAAATCTGTTCAACATGATTTCTGCAGCTGCATTTTTGTTACCGATCAGTCTTTACCCCCATCTGACCAAACGCCTGTTTTTTATAAATACCATGACACTGCGCGCATTTCTTACCTTCTGCAAATTCTGAGCTGTTACAAGAAGCCTGAAGATTGCACATCAACAATAACATCGTCATTTCATATTGACAGTAAGTATAAACCTTTTCTTTTCCACTTTTTTGAATGTGCTATGTGAATTTTAGCTTTTCGCCTGAACAACCGCCTAGTATTTTAGCATTATGGATAGTTCATCTGATACTTTTGCTGCATGATTACGATCAGAAAAACGCTTGTTTGATGTTAATGTTGTTGAGTTAATGTAACTATAATTTTAGAAACATTTTGTCAATTCTAGAAAATGTCTGGTCGAAATCTCAGAAAATGTTGGCAATTTTCGCATATCCCTAACCACAAATGACGTACGTTCTCTATTATATTTATTAATAACACATGCATCTGGTTACAGTCGATTAACAAACTAAACAGCAACAGAGTGCAAGCAAAGTGACAGTAGAACATTAGATTTATTACTGACAAGATACACGTTACACTTATCTTTTCATTGTTCGTGTACAGGCCAGTCTATACATAAAAACATTTCAAGTATACAGCGATAAGTATAAATCAATTCGTAGGCCTGAATGCAATTAATGTCTGGCATTATCATAATAATGAACACCAGTAGCCTTTGGTACACGAATCGCATGTGCTTATAGTTTTCCTCGGGGATGCACCAACTTAACCTCTGTTGTGTCATCGCTCTTTTTCAATCTTAATCCAAATGTTTTAAAATGTTTATTGACTCAAGTTCAATCTTTTCTCCTCTTTCGTCAACCTATTAATATCTATCTTTCAGCTTGTAACTCAGACGGAAAAAACCTTAATGCTTGTTATCTTGTACTTAAACTTTCTTCGAAAATACTTTTTTCTATCAATAAACTTTCAGATATGCCAGTAAAATCTTACCCTAGTTCAGGCAGTAAAGTTGGTTATAAATATGGTTCTTTTTAAGTTTCTCTGATGACTAATGTACTTTCTTATCTTCTTCTCAAATCAAAATTTTGAAGTTTCACTCCGTTTGCAACATAATTGAAAAGCAGAAAAGATGTTCAGTTTAGTTGAGAGAAGACTTTGAAAAGATATGTCATGACTATTCCAAAGTTTTTGCCAAATACTTACCCTGTTCTGAAACCATGCCATGGCATTTCATGAAGTGGACCTCTTTCTAAAATTTTCTAAGTGTGAATTTTAGGGAGAAGACAGAAAGTGAATCCTCTATTCCACTCTCCAGGTCTAAAGAAGGAGAGTTTATTGAACAATGAAGTTTTTAGTGGTCGCATCAACAAATTGCTACGAAAAAGAAGGCGTTTACTGAAATTATATATGTTTAGTTGATGAAATAGGTGGAATAGTTTCAGAAACCTTGATTTGGGACACCTTTTTTCTGTTGTCAAGTGAGTTGAGAGTGGTGGGGGACGTATATAGAAGCGTTCGTTGAGGAGAGCAGGAGTTTTGATCAAAGAATACACCGTAATCAATTTTTGAGGTTGACCTTCTCTTCTTAACTAGGAAAGCACCAAGATGGACGACTGCTTATGGAGACCCCCAGCATCTTCTATTACAGTAATAGTCTGTAGCATCGTCTTCATGCCAACTGCTCTCTTTTCGTCGCTGCCTGTCATCGTAGCATTCTTCAAGAGAAAGGCAACAGGAGTCAAAACAGAGATGAATTTATTCGTACTTGCATCTACCATTGCAAGCCTGTTCAGCATTTTAGTAAACATATTGAGAGTTTGGTAAGGAACCTGCACAATTATTTTGTCTTTTGAAAGATCATAAGATCATTGTAAATAATCTTTTGGGAAAAAACTAGCAAGTTACTTAGCCAAAGGCCATATGCTCCAAACTAGCATACTATTCAAATGCTCTAACGTGAATAAAGTAGGCATAGAAGGGGGCCTATTATAGGGGGTCAAAAAGCCCAAAAAATCAGCAAAAAGCCGCAATCCGCAATGAAATTAAGCGCAAAGATTCGACCGCGCTCGCAAAGCGTGCCTTGGGTGAAAAAGCCAATTATTCGCTTATAAGAAAAAAAGGAAACCTTGCTAGAAGTAACTGTGTGTCAAATTCTTAATTGGTTTCCGCTCTCTTAGGCATTGACGTTTCTGTAAGAGTATAGACAAATCCTCCTATGAACCTCAATTTATCAAATAATACTCCAAAGAACAATTTTTATTGTAATGCACGAACAAGGTAATTTGTAAATCTTTTGACGTCAAGTGATATCTTGGGCTAAATCTTTAGCTTTTACGAAATTGAAACGTTATAGGATTTGAATTCTTTAAAAATTATTATTATTATGTTAAGCTAGATTCTTTGATTCTGTTGCGTGTTCATGTCACATGTTTACTCCCTTTCCGGGAAATGTGCGTCACTGTCATCGTGTTATATGATGTTTCACAGTGTTCCTTTGATTATGTGTTAAAATCATGTAATCCAAGTTTCAGAATCATTTAGTCTTACTGTTTTGACGATAGAGATAACATAAACGAAGGAGAATCTTTTGTGTGCTATCTATTTGAGGCTTAGGCCCGTTGGCCTAGCCCAATTGGTTCGCTTGCAAAATCACCGCCATAAGAAAAACCCGTATAAACATTTCAAAGCAAGACAAATAATAGCATATTATTATACAAATATTAAACTTCTATTTTTTGCAAAGTCTTTTCGGGTTTCACGCCGGCAATTCTGAAATCCTAAGAACATTCAGCAGTTATCAATCATTTAGTTGCACATTTGTTTTTACATGATTGAATTTAAGCTTAACTAAAAAATAACTTAAAGCTACATAAGCTATTTGAAATAATTACACTGTGGCTATATTTTCTTTGACGATGTATAAACCTATACTCTGTGTAAGGAACTAAAATGATGAAATCCTTTAATGGGTCTGCTGTTTAACTTATCCTTTTGAAGGTCTACCCTAATATTTCTTAAGCTATTCTTTCTATTCTCCGACTCCAGGCATCTACTTTGCTAATGTTAATAACTCAGTCAGCTGTGGCGAAGTTTTTTTAAGTCTAGTTTCGTAATTTATGCATTATTTTGACGATGCAAGATTTTAAAGCACTTCTTCGGTTGAATAGGCACCATTATTTATCGACAAAGAGACTAGATCCATTGTCTCTCTATCCGTCTGTTGCTCCTGCATTTGTCGCTTGTCACATATTCTGGATCTCCTCACAATTCATCGCAGCGCTGTGCATCGTTGCCATCTTGCTCCTCTACATGTTTGACCGCCAGGCTACAGCTCGACGCCTCCAGAAAACCCGTTCAACAGTTTGGTACACGCTTGCTGTTGTAGCCATCTACCTAACCAGCTTTGGCATTGGTTCCCTGACCACTGCAGTAGGGCTGTCAACAATGTTGAAAATCAAAACCATCGTGTTTTGCGTAATTGCTGTACCGAGTGCTGTTGTGTCGTTCTTTCTGATATACATAAGCTGGAATGATGGAGCATCCACCGAAGGCAGGCAAAGTACTGTAAGCATCAGCGAAAGAGAAATCCAGGCTTCTGGAAATGAGGCCTTGCCAGCAGGGGAGAAAAATGAAAGCATAACTGTTGAAGATAAGCAGGAGCCTGATAGCCGCCAATGTGATGCTCAATTTGATGTCTCTATCCTGTATAAAATATTCGTTTTTTGCGTATTTGCTCTGATGGAAGGTAGGTAGTGCATATAAAAAATGCCAATGGATAGATTACTAGGTGGGAGGATGATCTAGGGTAGGTCCAGAGCAATGCCTCACAGGCAAGAATCTATTACGAGCATGCGCAGTAAAGGGTTGATCCGTGGCATATTTAGCTGCGTCTAAAAGCACCAAAACAGGATTTGCTTGATGGCTGAATAATGTATGCTATCATTGCCCATGACATAATTAGTAAGGCAGGGAAGAATTATCGACAAATAGATAGGAAGAAATAACGATGAATTCTTTACAGATTTAAATAACGATGCAAGTCAAAACGAGGTCTCCTTGATAAACGGAACTTCTATTAAGGCCCCTCAATTTCCATCAAAATATCAGGTATTGAGAATGAATCAAAACAGAGAAAGGCAGAATACGGAGAAACAGTACTTAACAACCAAAAATAGCAAATTATTACATTGCTAAAATATTTCAGTTTTAAAATTTTGCTTCGCTTCTTCCTTGGCATTATGGTTTTAAGACAGTTTTTAAATGAGTTTGCGTCACACACCCGAGGTGATAATCTTTTTTCTGATTTTGCTGCTTCTAAGGACGGCGGTAAATTGCCAAATTTATGCGCTTCTAGCGGATCATAAAATAAATGGATTCAGAATGTATATGCATCTCTCTTCATAGCTTTGCAAATTATTTTCAATCTGAATAAAACTATCTATTTCTTTTTTCAAGTATTACAGTGCTGTGCATGCATTTTTATACAAATTAATTTTTCATCATGAAAGAATAATTTTTCGATTGGCAAATTTGCTGAGCAAAATGCGATAAAACATATGCTCAAATTACTTAGAATTCGTATTACCTGGACTTTCCAGCTTACTAGATGAAACTTAGAGTTCAAATATCTGATCATCTTCCCATCAAATAAACTCATTTTTATCATATCATACCTGTTGAAATCAAAAGTTTAGTAGCCTCTTTTTAAACTGCTACCTTGATGCTAATTACATATCCTGATTGGGCAAGATCCTGAATGTAAAGTATTAGAAATAAAAGTGATTTTTTAGCAACAATTAGCATCAGTTAGTGATGTCTTTATTTGTCAGCAAAAAATTCATCGAAAAGCAAGTCTTTGAAACAGCTTTGCCACATAACTGTCAAAGTTGTCATTTTCTACCCCTGCATCTTCAAAAGCTCATCAAAACCCAATCTTGCTTCTCCGGCTTCAGGGCCATATCTTTGTTGCGGAATGGAAATCAAAATTTGGGAGATTTAGGAAAAGGAATGACATATATTTGCTAATTGTTTCTGGAGCTATGCTGTTTTGTCCACTTTTTTTATTCTTTAAAATCAAATCTTCAAACATATGTCAAGCAAATCTTCTGTCACTGACATACAAATTGTGATTGTTTCTTTTTGCTTTTTCACATAGTTTTACGCCAAGAAGGCCAAACATCTAACTTAAGTTAAACTTCAAAAACTCAAACAGGGTTGTTGTAATCACTAGTCAAAACTTGTTGGGGAGAAATTTTGCAGCTACAGACAGTGGGGTTTGTTAATTTTTCTTTTGTTTTCAATTGCCAGTGACACTTTTATTTTAAGAAATTTCGCATGCCCAGCTGAAAATCACAGTAAGGGATTTTTATGTAATTTTTGAGTTTTTGGTTGCTGTTTCTTAAGTTTTGCTTTCAATACTCAAGTTTATTAATTCTTTCGTATTTTAATAATTCACTATAGCATTTTTTAAAAAACTGGGGTAATTCACTTGGGATTCTGTTTTCGCTTTGTGTAGAGAAACATTTTTCTGATGCTGTTATTCAATTCTAAATGTCTTACTGGCATTGATCTATGCAGCATTGTTTTATAAATTCCCCTTTATCAAATCCACAATTTCTACAACTACAGATCCACAGATTTAATTAACAATTTCAGAAAGTGAGTCAGATTCACATTTTAGGCCCTGGACGTGTCTCAAAGTCTGTTTGAGAAAATTCCTTCAATTATAATCAAATTAAGTGTATTAATGTTGTTGCTATTTTTATAATTCGATTTTGAAAATAAAAACTCAGCTATTGCCACAAAAATCTCACCAGCATCCTCAAAAACCCTTTTCATTTGCAAGTGCGTTGCACTATAGACGCAGTAGGCGCAAATTGCACGAGCTTCCAAAAATTGTTATGCTTGGTGCAGACGAGAGAGGATATTGTAAAATTATTTCAAAAGAGAAACTATTGCAAATCACATGAATGGTATTCTTGTTGGTATGCCTGTTAACACTGTACAACAGTACCTAATTTGTAGTTACCTTATATTATCTTGTACCTACTATCCTATTGTCTTGTTTTAAACTTAAAGATTTCTAATTTTCAGGCTTGCTGCTTTTTGTGGGAGGGTTTATCGATTCCAAGAAGTGTGTTGCATTGTTTTGGATGAAAGACATTGGATCTATCCTCATGCAGTGCTACCTCGCTACCAGCCCGATCCTGTTTATTGCTCTTTGTCCGTGCCTTAAAGCGGAAATAATCTTGATGTTTTGGACACCAAAAGGCAAAGTACAACCGAACGGCATTTAACAAGGTCAAACGCTGACCTTGAATGAAACTATAGCCATATAATGATCTATTCACGATTGCTAAATATTGATGTTATAACGATCGATTGATCATTACTCAAGAAAATCGAACAGAGGTGGGCATTGATCATTTTCTTTGGGGGGGGGCACGATATTGTCTGCTCAACTGACAAGAATTTTTAGCTCAAAAAAATTATAAGGCGACATCAAAAGTATGAAAATCTACTCAGAATAGTTATATTTGGTTCAGAAGTCAAAGCATGAAGTAATGCCTTACTCCAAGACAAGCTTTTTGCCATATTTTAACTCTTTTTAGCCTTCGCTTTCCATTTACCAGTCTTTCGGCCACAAGAGTTAGCCCAGATCGCAACATTAAGTTTAAAACCCGAATAGCAAATTTTTCCGCCAATTTACAATCTGGTAGGGGCTGTTGCCCTTACAAATCCCCACATGTTCCGCCCCTGGCATCGAATCCAAATGCAACGTTGGATAAATAACTTATTAGGTAATTACCATAATGTATTTACATGTATTGCATGTACTGTATTGGCAAGATCTGTATAGCATTCAATGAACCAAAATCGAAATGCCATTTTCTCAATTAACAGTACAAATTGAGAAGAATGTCAATGACGCGAGCCAAACACTCCAGATGTAGTTTAGATTATAGATAAAGTGTTTTCTTTGAGCAGAGCACAAATAAACTAACACTAACTGTTTATACCACAAATTGACATATCATCTATGTAATAACAACGTCGTATTCAGTATCAAAATTTAAAAGTTTAAATCAAGAACTCGACTATTTAAAATATTCTATATGACGTTATATACACTAAAGCATCTTGGATTAGTGCCCTAGAATTGTTACGTAGGATTAAATGTTCTAATAAAAGAAATTCTAATCAATGTTTGCGGGTATAATCATCTTTTTGAACTCTGAAATAGAAAATGGAAGCTCATTATGAAATTATATAAACTACATCATCATCTTTACTTTACCGTTTATTATAATCGGGAAAACAAATTTCGGCTCTCTCAAAAAACAACAAAAATTCTGTGTCTAAATTTTGATTCTATTTCCCCCAAGGAGATACGAATTCGCAAAAATGAGTTGTATGATAAATAGCCAAAAAGACCACAGTGTGACGTGACTGGGGGCTATATTTTGATTGCATATATTTAAGACAGACTTTGTTGAAGAAGAAAAATATAAGCGGCTTTTGTTTTATTCTAAATTCAAACCTGCATCAAATCGACTCGAATCTCTAAGTTCCAAACTTTCGTCTTGTTTAATGTAATTGTTGCTCAGTGATATTTTGTTTGTATGATATGAAATTAGTTGCTACTTCATTTAGTACTACTCTACCACACCAATCCAGATTTAGTCAACACATGTAGCAAGTGATCCCCCTTGCTAGCTGCCGTTTCATTCTTTCTTATCCTGTTTATTGGACTTTACTTATTGCAAATTCTTATTCTTTTTCTCATTTTAAGTCGTTGTGTATATCAAAAAACACGTCTAGATAGTTTAGTGAAACGAAAGATCGTATCAAGATAAGGCCTATAGTTGCAGAATTTGAAAGCATGCAACATACCTTCGAGAGAGACTTGTCTATCAACATCTAGTTGAAACACTTTCAGAATCTGATCTTTATCTGTTTGTGAGCAGGTTTCCATGACATCGAGCAGCACTTCTCTGATGTCTACAGACGAGGCAAACCCTTTGTTAGTTCTATCAAATGCGCGAAAGGATTCGACTATTTCGTGATCCTCTTTCTCTGTATCACAATGTGTTGAGATAAAGTCTACAAAAGCTTTGAATCCAACTTTGCCACGCCCTACAAAAGAGCACCATGGGTTTTTAAACTCTGGTTAGGTTATGAGTATGCGTATTGTAGCTAGTTTATAGTAGGAGCTAAAGTTCAAACAATTTTTGGAGCTGAAGTTCAAACAAAAGCAAATTTTGAAGTTTTTGAATGCCAAATCAATATCGTTATTTTGCACACGCTTTTTTATAAGGAACCTACCTCAAGGCCTAGTTCCAAAAGTTCCTTATTCGTAGACCTCAAATCATCAAGTAGTACCGAAAGTTCCTTAATAGTTGCTTAATTTGTTTTGACTAAATAAGCCCCTTACACTTAATAAAGAAAAAGGCGAGACAGCATTTGCGGAAACTACTCAATGAAGCACTTGAAAAACGAATAGCAAACAATCTATGGGAGTATTGGCTGCAAATGAATGGAACAAGCTTTTTAGTTCTTGATGCTTGCAGTTATAAAAATTTTTCAAATCGAAAAGTTCCTTAAGGATTTTGTTTATAGTAGTATAAGTTCTTTAAATATCTCGGCCTTCTACATGTAGGTTCCTTAAAAAGTGGTTCCTTAAAACAAAAAAAGGCGTGTATAGGTTGAAATTCGAATGAACAGAAATATCATAGAATAACTTTCTCTGTCATCTTTTATGATAATCGTCTCACTCATACCCTTCAAAGAGTAAGCGTTGTAATCATATTTTAGCTTTTTGCTGTCACTAACCTATTTCTCTCCACGGGTAGTAAAAGACTTAAAGAAAGCTAAAAAACAATGAAGATGAAAATCAATCAATCAAGCCATTAAAAATGCCAGCTCCTCACGTTTATGAACGATTTCGAGCTCAATATTTTGACAATCAGTATCAGTTGGGTTAAAGCCGAGCTTCTTCATCGTCTTTGTTACTTCTTTCTTTGTCAAGTATCCTTTATGATTTGAATCGTAAGTGATAAAGGCATCACTGTACTCTGAAATAAAAACAGCAAGGCATCATTGGCGTTTTTATACTTTAATTTGCGTCAGGATAAGAGTTCAGTCATTTGTGACAGATTCTTGAATACATAGGCGAAAATATACGAATGAATTTTATTTTTAGGAATGATTGCATACTTGTTAACATAGTTTTACCAAGACATCAAGAATATTCTTTACTTTTGTTTCCGTTTTCAAACAATCTTGCATAATATATTCCTCGGTGACCAAACTTTTACCCATTAAACTAATTCAGTATAAAGCCAAATTTTCAAAACAAAATTTTGGTACAACTGTTTCCAAGCTTTTTTGCAAATGTTTATGCTAGGAAGTGCTAATCATGATAAATGGAAACTTAGGGAAATTCAAAAGAAATTCATATTTCCAGCTTGTCGATAAGGTATTAAAAATGTGAAGCAAATTATATCTCAAGCAAGAAAATCTAAAAACAGCTACATCGTTTAAAAGGTTTTTGCTGCATTTTTTGCATCAGCAGATTCTGGGTATTATGTATCGCAGAATAAAAGATTTATTTTGTAGTGATATTTAAGTTAAAATAATCTCGTACCTCTTAGATTTTCATCTGTAACGCATGGGCGCTTTTTAAGCACACGAATTGTCTGCAATAAAGTAAATCATAGCGTGTTTAATCGTGGAACAGGCGTTTCTAAAGCAAAAGTACTACCACGTTTGCACGGGACAAACTTGCTTCAGTGGAATCTTGAGCCAGCCATAAAGTGCGTATATGAAAAAATGGTTTCCCAAAAACAACCAGACCAAAACAGGCTCTAATTCAAAGAAGGGCCAGTACCGGATCTGTTCGGGGCCAAAAAAGAAGCATTTAAGGCCACAAATGGCGAGTTCGTGTCAATACAATCCCCTTTTCGACAAAAACTGGCGCATTCTGGTACCAGAATGCAAGCAAGTCACTTTCTTTCGTTTGAACGTCACACAGACTTTTTAATTAAGCATATATTCAGTGTCTCTTTTTCTTCAATTGTTTTCAATTGAGAAATGCGTCTTCAAAATGATAAAAATGATAGAATAATTTCTTCTGTGACATGCTATGGACAAAACAGAAATAATTAAGCCAGTTCCTAGTCTTATGCTTTACTATTAGAAGTTGTGCGATGTCCAACTTTATCTGTTTAAGATCAGTATGCATTAGATTATTCACATAATCGTACTACCATATCCGTTGTTCATTAAATGCAAAGAAAGAGGATACTTTTGATATGTAACTTTAAACGCTGTTGCTAAAAATAAAAGTGACTATAAAAATATCATACTTTTCGGCTGTGTTTTTTCTCCATGTTTTGTCAAAATTCTTTCATGCTGACTACTAACAGAAAATCGTCTTTGATCGGCTTTTAAGTCACTAGTTACCTGTCCCATATTCATTATTGAAAACAAAGATTACTTTAAGTGCTTAGCAACAAGACCGTTTTCTATCAGCAAAGGTGGACAGAACAGGTCCTAGATATAACAGCTCTGAATTCACGCTGCATGCGTTGACGCAAAGAGCACGATAGGATTGTTCCAGTGATTCTCAATGATTCAAAATGTTCATCTTTTCACAGTCACAAATCATAAATTAAATATGACCCCTCTATCGGCATGAGAAAGATCACGTCATATTGCGTAGTTGAAAATATGTTTACATTTTTCCTATTAGCGGTTTAGCTGTTGTCTTGGGCGATTAAAGAGGAATAGGGTATAGCCTCTATCGAGAGGCATTGTCAAGTGAGAAAATATCCTGACTCAATTTATGGTGAAATATCCTTTGAAATATGCGGTGTCCAGGACCTGCGCTAAAAGGAGGTCCGCGGGGCAAATTTTGTGTTAAATTGTGATTTTTTTTCAAGCAAATTGTGATTGTTTTGCTTGCATTTGTTGCATTTAATACGTACATTATTGCAGCAGAACTCATCAGGTTCAGTGATACATATTCGCCCTTCTTACGTTCTCGCTTTTGCTCTACATTGCGAAACAGTAAGAAAAGACCTTTTCCCATAAAATTCCAACCAATAAAAATTGCTAAAAAGATCCTCTGGAGAAACACTTGGTTTGTAGTTCTGTTTCGGGTTTACAGAGTTCCTTCAAATTTACATTACAGTGGTCAATTTTCCAGGCTGCTTGGGTGTTGAAAGACATCTGCTCGAAAGACCTGACATTGGAGCATTCAAAATGGAACGAACTATATGTAAAAAGTGCTACCATGTGCTACCAAGTGATTAATCAACGCAAATTATTGAAGTGAATACAGCCAACATAGAAATTGTAGAAACAATATCCCGGATTGATTAATTAAAATTGTTGGAAAAAATAAAATAAAATTCAAGTTTTTCAAGTTTTTTTCTAAACACGTGTGAACCGGCGGCCTTTCGGTATATAAACAGCGCCAAATGTTGAATTATCGATAAGAAAAGAAAAATTAAAAAAATCAATCAACGCAAATTAGGGCCCTTCTCTCCATTTTTCACTCATTATTTTGACTTTTTAAAACTGGTCTGCTTGATACAAACAGTGAGTGCATCGAGCATATATGCTGGAAATCCTTACCAAAATTTCTTGCGAGTACATAGAATTAATTTGTCATAGTTTCGATCATTTGGTGAGCAACACCTTTGAACAAGACTTAAAGGCATTGAGTCATGATAAAATGGATTGGGTATACCCTAAGTGCCAAAATCCGCTGAGTCATGATTTTCATTACTGCCATGCTATTGGTTGACCTGGAACTGGTCACATGAACTCACCTCGTACTAATTGACAAAACAATTTCCATCAATAGCAAGTTGTCAACAACGGATGCAAGTATCACATGAAACAGCAGCGATCACGCCGAAACCAAATGACCCCCTATAGAGAAAGCCTATTTACCATGACTCAATGCCTTTAAATCAATTTGTCAATTTTATTAAGATGTTAGGGTATTTATCCTAAAACGTTCTTCAGACATTTATATTTTTGCGACCTCATATCCTGTATGATTTTCTTTCTCAAATTCTTTACAGGTACCAGATTATTTTCTCTATCGAAACCGCTCTCTGATTAAAAGGCAGCTCTTTGTGTTGAAATAAGTAACTTTATTAATCATTTAAGAACAAATGAATGTAATCAGTTGGGAAGGCGCGCCTTATTTTGTTTTCTCACATAGAATGGTTACCGTTAAACGAAAAGCATTTAACTCTATAAATACAGCAACCAGCTGAGAAAAATGTGTAGAATGAATTCTTTGTGATAGAGCAGATCACTTGTAACAGGCAGTTGTTGCTAGAAGCCGCTGTAAGAGCATGTCGTACAATCACAAAAACTTATCAGAATAAGGATTGTTACACACTTTTTCGGTTGTATTCAAAAGCAAAAGCACGAGATACAGACTTTGGTATGACCTTCGTCATAAGTTCACTGAAAGATCGCAGATTTCAGAGTATAGAAAGAAAAATTATAGAGATTTGCAAATCTCCAGAGTTAGATTAGAATATGTTAGACAAAGTTTCTACTTCTCTGGTGTCAAAAACTGGAACAATATCTCTGACAGCACTCGATAGAAAGAATCAATCGCTCGTTTTAAAACAGGATTAAGAGAGTATCTTTTTTAAGGCTTTTAAAGTACAGGACCCCATTTTCGTGTTAAAATATTGATAAATATATATAAAATTCAAACGCTCTTTCAGAAACCCTACAAGGTCACCTTAGCTGGGAAGGATATCGAGAAAAAGTGCTGCACCATTAGTAAGGGCATAAAAAGGTAAATTGAATTGCTTCAGCTTTTTGCGTGTGTCCATTATCAGAGGTTTCTCAGTTTTTGTCTCGTATTTGTTTTCACGTTTCACGGTTAATTCCAGTTTTCTTCCATGTTTGATGCACTGCCCTAGTTTCCTTTTACAAGAAACCTGTCGTGAAAATATTTAGATAAAAAAAATATATACCCAGTTGTTGATCGAAATAGGCCAATCAGAAACGCAAACACGTGACTGTAAAGTTTGCCCAATAAGTGTCGCTTGCCTATTGAGAATGTTACAAATGGAGTCCTAAGGTAAAAATGAACTCCTGCTACACAATTGCTTTTTTCATGTTTAGGCAGATAGATTCCAAAATCGCTAGATTGAACGACGACCTAGCTCTACCAACAATCCAAAAATGTCGCCATAATAGCTTTAGGGACTGCCTGGGTCCATGTTGCTCCAACATAACAAAAAACATTCTTCCTGAGAAAATAGCCTCCTTGGTAATGGCTGAGAAAGTTTGAAATTTCGGCCGCAAAAGATCTTAAAAACATAGATTTTTAGCGAAGCTAGTCTTGCCAAATATATATCTAAGAATAAGCCTTGGATTTGGAAGAAGTTTTAGAAAGTGGTTATGCCTTATCTTGCAAGCTCTATTCAAAAGATCGTCAGCATACTCGATATACAAGTGAGGAGGTTTCTACTGTCACATTGAAAAGGGCTTTGTTTTAAATTATTTACAAAGAGATCCCATCATAGTAATTTGAGATGCTCCACTACTCGACTTATTCTAGGAGTATGTAGCAATTAGAAGAATTCCTTAAAACTTTACTCACACAAAAGTCTATTTTGAAAACCACATTGCACAGCTGCGCCTATAAGAGCTTGGTTGGAAACAGGAGAAATATGGTTTACTCTTGATGTGGTCTCAGAGTAAAATACCATTTCTGTATTATTGGTTTTTTCGAAGGATACCCATGATTTATTAATAATTCTAAGCTTCAATCGTATGTGTCTTTGAATTGTTCTAAATCATGTTAAGGTTTAAATGGTACTCGCATTATTCTCAGCAATAATTGCTATTATTCCATTGAAAACTCGCCTGTATATATCTAAAATATCATTATATTTTCAACAACAGCAACCTTATGCAGAAAATCGATCAACAGTGCGCTGATGCGGCTTGTTTGGATCACACAAAACTAACGTTGAAGCAACACCATCCGAGAGCAGGTCTTTTCGCTCACGACAGCGTATCTTTTGCCGTAAAGCTTCGAGAATTGATTGTTTACTCAACACCTGATCAAAGTGTCCTTCGTTTTAGATTCCATCGTAGTTCGGGTTTTGGATATTCGTATTATAAAAATACGTAAATCGGTGAAGACATTTGGCTGTTTTGTGAGTATAAAGTTTTGGTTTTAAAGTTGTTAGTTGCAAAACGCTTTTAGAGTAATTAGGGAACAGTAATCGCTGCAATAACAGCGCTTTATTGATTAAATGGTTTTTTACACAAGGTAAGAGTATAGTTTACTGTTAGTTGCTTGGTGGGCTGTGTCAGTAATAGCATTTTCGGGGTGAGCTTGGGAATTGGGGGGAGAAAAATATCTAGGTTTTATGAAGCCTTATTGGACGAAAAATTCTTCTTGAAAAAAAAATGTTGATATATTATATCACACTTGACATAAAAAGTTACTGCAATATCTAGGAAAATTGCGATGCAAAGTATGAAAAATGCTTGAGGGATGTTTGATACGATGCCGAATGAGAAGGAATACAAACGAGCTTTCATATATGTTGAAACTTCTTTTCAAAAAATCGGTTCGAAACTCGAATTAATTCAAAAACGTGATGTGTCAGAAAACGCTTTGTGGTAGAACCACCATATCTTAACAGAGTGTCTAGCAATAACCTTTCCTTTGCAAAGATCCTCAGTTCTTTTGATGAACAGTTAAAGCTTGTCACTAACCTGTAGGAAGCTTGTCACTAACCTGTAGGAGCTTGACACTTCTTTCAAAATATAATTAATGCTGTTAGATAAAACTTTGAAAAAAACGTCTAGGTCAACTTGTCAGGAACAGTGCCTTCATATATCCAAACACTGGTGACTGTCTTGTTCGTAGCAACAAAACTTCTTCTGGAATTTTCAAACCAACCCAGTAACTCAGGATGGGACAACCCCTAAACGATAATAGCGTTGCAAGCATAGTAAACTAGTCTCTCTTTATTGGGATAGGGCGATCCTCATATCCCTTTGTGAAAATCTTAAACTCCGTTGTCAATAAGATGCATTCAAATGTAAGCGTATGGTTGACTAAGACTGCAAATAGATGCTAAGACTCTCTTCTTGCAAAACATAATCTTTAGCAGCTACTTGGTTCCCCTATATCATGTTATCCTCAGATCAGCAGCGGTTTTTAATTTACAAAAAATCTTACTTTGATCAACTAAAAAGCTTTGTAATAGATTTAAGTCGATTACATTTTATTTCTAAAATAATTTACTGCTTGAAATGCCTTTTTGGAACTTGAGAAGTAATTTCTTTTAAAAATAATTTGGTATATTATCAAGGTAGATTTGACGTGGGCTGTTTCCCACTCATGTAAGTAAATAGCAGCGAATCAAAAACGTTATTGCTAGAATGAAATCTTCTAGTTTAGGCCAACCGACTCACTTAGATAAATTGTTAAAATGATTATAAATAGCATGGAGAAAGAGATTTTTGCTATCAAATTTATCTTCTTATGAATAAGAATGAATTTAACGCTGCCTCCAGAGAACACATGAATGTAGGACAAATGATTAAGCAAATTTGCAAAGTATGCTGCTAAGGAAATTTTACAATAAAAATCTGCGAGATAAACGACTGGTTAAATAGTAGTTTTCATCACAATAATATTAAAAATATTTTACAAAATTTCTTTTTCCATATCTTAAGCTGATATTTTTTAAGCCACGTTCTAGAAATTAGTCTTAAGATCCAACTATACGTCCTGTGAAAAGCAAAGATTGTCAGGACAGAAATAATTTTTCAAGTAGAAGGCAGTGTCGTAAAAAATCAAACAAACATCATTTATTTGATTTAAGATATTTAGGTTTAAATACTCCGAGTTGAAAATTTTTGTTTACCAAAAAAGCATTTTAACCGAAATCGTTAAAAGGATTTTCGACTGCCTTTCACTACAAATATTTTCCAATGCATACTAAGATTACATGCAAGTTTTTGCATAGTTTTAATCAAAAAAATAAATTTAGATCCTCTGGAGCACTTCAACAAAAAGATTCTGCTTTCTAGATTCTTTTGGAAACTTTGTTCATTATGCAGAATTAGCTGCTAACGAGTTGAATATCAGAAGCTAAATTTTGAAAACAGGCCTGCTAGTTTTGCAAACCAAAATCGATATCAGAGGATGATAAGATAACTGAGAGATAACTAAAAATTCACTAAAGAAAAAATACAGCAGAGGCTTTACATATGGATTACTGGCACTTATAATAAAAGATTGTTCGAAATGTAGTAATATTTCGAAACTGGGAAGGAGCACCTTTGACGTACTAATATGTGTTCTCGTGTTCCGTTTAAAGGCTATGTTGTCAGGCAAGTCGCAGAATACGCTGAAATCTTTAGCTATTATGCTCATTAATAATTTAAAAGTTTGAAGATTAAGGTTGTGAATTGAAGGCTGCTCCTGTTTAGGTTAGTCCTGTTGTGGCGATTATGCAAAATTATGCTCGAGAAATTAGGCATTAACAAAATAACATTATTCGCTGTCCAATTGGATTAAATCTAAAAAGTGGCCTTGTTTGCCTCACTGCTGTAGCGAAACAGCTGGTCAACACACGTTTTTTAATCAAATTTTGTTAATTAGATAACACAATCTTTCGCTCTTGATGGCTTGTAGATCAAAAATCCTGAGGTATGTCTACATGGCAACATCTAATAGCTTACTATTTTCAAACAGTAACCTATTCCCTGCAAAGCAATAGACTGGCAATTTGCTTCACTGCCCGACTTATGTCGTGTTTGTTTATGCCAATGCGGATACGGGAATGATGGAAACTTGGCATTCATTTTTTTTCACAACAAGCTAAGTGGATGTGATGGTAACAAGAAAATGTGATGGCACATATAACGGTCTGTTTTGTTGATGAAAAAAAAGTACGGCACAAAGTGCAATGCTATTTTTTTAATCTATTGATATGCAGACAGAGATGGCCCTTAGCCTACCAACAACATAGAAAAAAATTTTAACTACAATAAGCGTTATTCAACTAATTACAAAGAACTATTAAACTACTGAGCTACATAATCTTAACAAAAAGGAAAATATAAACCAGTAACATCAATAAAGTGATTATTACAATATAACCACGATCATAACTCGTAGAATCCTAGTTCCTGTAAGGCTAATTTAGGCATTTGGATATTTGATAAATGCTTTGCTGCAATATTTTGCAAGGTTGTACTTAGGTCTTTGTTTGCAGCCATGCAAGTTGATAAAAAGCTTTGTGTTTGTGTAGGATGAAAATCAACCCTTCAAAGACCTGAAATTTATTGATAACACGCTTTGTCAACAATCGGCTTGCTTCCCTGAAATAGAATTTCACGTGATAATCTTTGCAAAGCTCTCTCTCCAACAAAGATATATCAACTTTCGTGTCTATTAGTTATTCACATCTGCGTTAAAAGAAGTCTATAAAACCTATTGCATTTTGTTTACCTATACATTTCTTTTATCCAGCCTAAATTCTAGTATTGTACTTTCTCATCACCGATATCTTCCTTTCTCAATAACTCAAAGTAATGGCTGATCACCTGCGTGACGAAAGTCGTAAAAACTCTGTTTCCTCTAGAAGACAGTGCTCAAAATGTTCTCAAGAATCATCTGATAATAAGTTTTAAAAATGTTCTCTATTTTTCTTCACTTGGTACTTTTATGAAAACAATTAAGCTCCTGAGACATTCCTAATTTTAATGCAAATGTTTTCCTGTCTTCAGCGTAACATCACAGCCTAAAGCTAAGAAAACAGAAAATGTCTAGCCTATCATTTCATGTTTGAAACATTGAGATATCTTTGTGTCTACCTTGCCTTTCGCAAAATCAAATCCGCCATAAGAATTAACATAACTGGCAGGCCTACTTTTTACTGGTATGTTTGTAGAAATGATATCTTAGAGTCAATCGAGAAATTTCCATCAACGAGACAATCAGATAATAGAATCCTGTTTGTCTGGTTGATGAGTCAAGTGGAAAACAATTTCTTAAACAACTATTTGTTTGGGGGGGGGCAAACCCTGATAAATAAGTAAAAACAGCCATATTTTTCAAGATCAAAGTATTTTACTTATAAAGCTTAAGTTTTTGGGGGGGCCAAGGCCTCCCCCCTGAAATCTCGGTCTTTGGTTGCAAATGCTAATGTGAAAGATGCTACCATGTGAATGGAGCAGGCACAGGCTTTTTTAACGCATTTACAAGGGAGACAATACCCTCAATCCTAATGACATTTCTTTGTTCTATACAATGGGCTTAAGATGTCAATTTTGCCTTCGCACTTATGTACATGCCCATATAACGCACTTTTTCATTGGTTCAGACAAATTACAGGGTTAAAAGCCATAAACAATAGGAATTTATACTTGTCTTCCCAACAATGACAGGTGTACTCTTTGCTAAACAGGATGGTAAAAATATGCCTAAACCAACTTGTTTACAGATCAGCATCATACTGTGCAAATTAACCATGATACCGTACATGTATGTTGCTTGAATATTCTAAATTTTTTTGCACCATCACAGAATGTACTTTCAAATTCACGAGAAATCTCACGGAAGCTAAATGCCCCTAAAAACTTTTTTTGAAAAACTTCTATTCCTTTGCTGAAGATCTTATCCCATGTTCCCCACTTTTCGCCTTTAATTAGAAAAGAAAACCAGGGATAAATGAAATATTAGGATGGATGGATAACATAGAGGCATAACTAAAACTTTTGCCATACTTATGTTCAGTCTTCATCTTTCTTTAAGAGCCCCCGCACCCTTGCTTTTTGAATTGTGCAATATAACTGAACTGAATTGTGAAAGTGCAGGGCTGTCTCCTCAAATGGAAGGAGTTTTCACTTGAATTCACTGGAGTAGTACCTTGTAAATATTTTCTAGCACAAATCCCCCTCAAAATGCAAGAAATCTTTCTGCTGACACAAATCTCTTAAAAATTTGTGATTATAAGCGTAAAATTATTCTTGAATCATTTTTTAGAAGAAAATATAAATATTCGCTTCTGTTTTGCTTCATCATAAAAACATTATGGAAAACGAAACATACTATAATAAGAAAAGCTTGATGAGTGTCACCTTTGTCCCTGTTGAGCAAAATCTTATAGAATTAAAAGTCTAGTTTAGCTATCATTCTTAACAAGTATTTAAATTTCGCCAACTTAGAGCCTCAATTCTCCATGTTAATACACAATTGTAAAATATCTTTCGAAATATTCGGAATTTCGATAATAAGTATGTACGAAATACACCGTTAAATAAAAAGTACTGACATAATGTTTCAAAATGTAATCCTTTTTAAACCATCAAAAATTTTGAACCAGTTCAATCTATTCATGAAACGATTTCAACAGGCCCTCCTTTCAAAAAACCCCTACTCCAAATACCTTGCAAAAATACCCACTTTCTTGACGGGCTACGAACGAGGGGTAGGTTTGAAACAGTGCCCGTAAAACTCCGATGCTATATGTTTCGATGCTAGATCTGCGCCTTTAGCAGCTAACAAGATATTTATATTGTACATTCATGCTTTCTCATTTAGTAAAGTTCTCTTCGCAGGAAGAGGCCGAGTTGAACTGCTCAACTGGCCTTAACATTTTCATCGGTCAATCGGTCAGTGATAAATTTTCAAAAAACTGAAATGAAAACCATTTGATGAGATACCAAAAGTAATGCCCGTTATTGGCATCAAATGACCTGAATTTTAGCCATATGCTGATTATTTTGACAACAGAATAAAAAGATTAAGACTGTGGATATATTCAAATCCTAGAATGAAAAACACAGGCAACATCTGTATTCGCAAATGAGGTAGTTTGTGTTCGGCACAAGATTTAGTGTTTTAGGCTGCCTTGTTGATTCTGGAAGGCCTGTTCATCGTGTTTCGGAAAGCAACTTCCAGATTGTTATATTCCGTGCCGAATCAGCCTAGAGAGCAAATACTTTAAGGGTTTGTAGGCTCAATCGACGTAAGTTAATGTTCAGTGGAGTTCTGTTTGCTAAGTGCTGCATAATGGTAAGCTTTTAAGTTTTCACTCGGTTGTTTGGTTAAGACGGTTTAAAGACTTCGAACAACTGAACTTTGTTGCGTTTAATGTGCATAACAGTTACTAACGAACGCTTAATTAAAAGCAACGCAGACATGTTTGTTATCATATTTACCTACAGTATCTATTTAAGAATATCAAATTATATATTCTATAAGAATTTCAAATTAATTCACTTCAAGATTTATATAACACATCAATATAACAAAAAATGTAACATGAATTCATAGAAGAAAAATGACCTATGAAAACTAGCCTTAAGACAATTTAATTCTAATGTTCATTCTTATAAGCATATATAGCTTTTAGAACGCACAACATATTTAAATCGGCATCTGAAAAATTTGAAATATCTCGATTAATCCCCATTGCCAAAACACCTGAAAAAAAAGATACTTGATTCAATTATTATCGTACAAACAAGAATGCAAATTTAGTTACTTTTTGTGACCAGAATGTCCTGCATTGTTCGTAGCTCTGGAGTTAATTGTCAAGATTTTGTTTTATTTGACACTATCAGATCAAGTCTCGGGTCGAGTCGTCGGCGACTAAACCTGCAAACCCACCAGGCGTGCCTGGTGAGGAGGGTAGCTAAATATCCAGTGGCAATGAAAACAAGAGCTATCAAAGGGCGGTGTCCGCGCGGGACGTCACTGGCCGTTAAGCTAGAGATGGTGTCTCATTAAAAACACGCGGAAGAAAGCAAGGGCAAACTGCTTCCGTACTCTGCCTAGTCATGCAAGTCAATAACTCTCGTCTCAACAACGGCGTAATTGGGATTACTCAAAATTTGGGTAATGTCTCGCCCGGTAGGGATACCCGTGCACAGCAGATGGGTCCAGATCGTTATCCAGTGCCTGCTGTAAAGTATAAAACTAAATAATGAAAGTAGCAACATAGAATGTTCACACGTTATTTCAATCTGGAAAACTTGAGTACATTAAAAAAGAATTTGTGAGATACAACATAAAAATGATGGGAATTAGCGAAAGAAGGTGGAAAGGAGCAGGCAAGATCACAACTGATAAACATACATTTGTATACTCAGGAGGAGATGTACACGAAAAAGGAGTTGGTATGCTAATAGACCAAGCAACAGCAGTCTATGATGGGGTATTTGGCACTATCAGATCGCGTAATACTTGTGAAGTTCAGAGGCAAGCCTTTTGACATATCAGCAATGCGAATCACAAGATGTTGTTCTTGTTATGGGAGATTTTAATGCGAAAGTTGACGAAGGCAAAGAAGATAATATTGTTGGGCCACATGATTTAGGTACTCGAAACGAACGTGGAGAGATGTTAGTTAATTGGTGCAAGGAGAATGATCTGATGATAACGAATACCTGGTGCTTGAATCACAAACGAAGAAAATATACATGGGTCAGTCATGTTGTGGCGCAATCAAATTGATTACATCATGATTAACAAAAGGTTTCGTAATGCAGTGAAACAAAGCAACAGCTACCCAGGAGCAGACATTAACAGCGACCATAATGAGATTGAAGAAGGATGGAGGGCCTTCGAAGAGACCTTGAACAAAAGTGCTGAAGAGAAAATACCTAAATCAAGGCTAGAAAGAAACAGAAATATATGACTGATCATATTCTCGACATGATGGAGGAGCGAAGGAAGGCAAAAGGAAAAGATGTATCAAAATACAAGGAGCTAGACAACGCAATAAGACAGAAATTTAAAAAGGAAAAAGAAGCGTGGTGGAACAAACAGTGTGATGAAATTGAGAAAGAGTTTTATAGAAATCCATCAGTAGCACACGCCAAAGTAAAGGAACTAGCAGGAAAAACATACTGTTCATTAAGTGGATGTTTGAAATCCAAAATAGGGAAGTATAATAATGGGAAAAGAAGATATTCTTAGTAGATGGGAAGAATTCATCGGTGATCTTTTTGAAAACGATAGAAGAGAAAGACCAGAAATCAATAAAGAAATGGAAGGACCACCTATTTTGAAAAATGAAAGTGGATGATATAAACCGCCTTACAGAGCATGATATATGAGAAAGCATCTCAGTAGAATTGATAGAGGCACTAGAAGACACTGGAATCAGTAAAGTAGAATCTATCATAAATAAAATGTATAACACCGGCACAATACCAAAAAGCCTGTCTAGATAAATATTTATTACATTGCCAATTACAATATTATTTCGCGATGGCAAAACGTCATGAGACTCTAAAAGCCATCTACTTCCTTATATGAGAGGGGATTGCAAAAAGTAACTGTTTTTATTATCCTTATTATCTGTTACAGCAAGTTAATGTGTCAATCCAAGCCTTTTAAAACATCTATTAACACATGGAAAGCGTGTGGCATTTATCAAAAACAACGAGTCTTTACCCAAGTACTTTTCACATACACACATTTTGATAAGAATACCTAATTTTTTGCTGAGCCTCAATATTTTTTAATTTTTTATAAGCGTGCAAGGTGTCGCAATGAAGTGTTGATGACTTCAAGGCCAGATACATCAATTTCAAGAAGCGTGAAACTCGCATTTGATTTTCCAAAAAAACTCAAGTAAACAAAAAATTTTTGAATCATATGAATGAATCAATATTCGAGAAACAAATTAGCCCTTCTGAAGCTCTACTAAATAAATCGGTTATTGAACCTCGCTGCGCGACCAAACTGTGAATCTGAGTCAACACGGAACACAGCCTTTCTCGCTAGTCCACCCATCATTGTATCACTTCCTCGCTTCTTGGAGACAATAACAAATTCATGAGTTATTGAAACGTTAATTGAAAGCTGTAAAATTTGCTTCTGAAGCTACAAAAGTTTTATTAGTGAGCCGAACAAATACATTTATTGCTATGTATATGGAAAATTAGAATTTTTGTTTAATTCTTTATTGATACGTATGTGTCCTTTATTGATAAGATAACTTCTCGACTAATTTACCCGAGGCGGCACCATGGTTGCCGCAGAAGGGTTAAAAATATTTTGATTATATTTGATTCCAGTTAACTAGAGAATGCACTTCTACCTACCAATTCTACCTATACAACATAATTGGACGGGTTTTCTTCATATCGGGACAAATTCTCTACATTGTGTGGTTGGGACAAAGTCTTGATATCGGAACTAATAAAAGAAGCTAGGGTAATGTGACAGTTCGTATAAAATGGACGCCGCGTGTAAAAATAGGGTCCAGGCCGTGAAGCCGCAAACCTATAACAGGCCCCCATCATTTGGGGGAGATCTAGGGCGGCATTTACTAAATAATTCGACAAAGGAACTATTGATTAATGATTCTCATAGTTTTGATTTTTTGTTTTGTTGCTGTAAAAATCTGACTTATGTTTCTGCATAGGTTGCTGTAGTCTGGATACGCCTTTGCTGTTTACCCTTCCTTGTGACTTGATCTCCACTAAAGATGTTCTCTTTTGATATAGGCACAACACTTCACAATGGCTGTTGCGATGAGGCGACGTGCTGTGAAGCACATTTTATCTGTAAGTTAGATATTTTGAAAACTTAAATTATCATTGTTGTAAAATTGTATTGTGTTGATCAAAGATATCTTATCAAGGCAGTCCCCTCATTGTTCTGAATTTGCAATCATGTTCATTTTATCAGCTTATCAGCTTTGGCAATAGCCACGTCCTTCGAATTAAATTGGCGCGAGAGCCACGTCCTTCGAATTAAATTGGCGCGAGAGCCACGTCTTTCGAATTAAATTGGCGCGAGAGCCACGTCCTTCGAATTAAATTGGCGCGAGAGCCACGTCCTTCGAATTAAATTGGCGCGAGAGCCACGTCCTTTGAATTAAATTGGCGCGAGAGAGTAGGTTAAAATAATCATATCATACTGTATAACAACAAGCACTTTTATAATTACCTTTTTAGGAAAGATTAACAGAGGAGCAAATTAGAGGTATGTGGTGAGCTACATGGCATTTCAGAGATAAACTGGAAAATTTCTTTAATATGGATATTGCTAGTATATGAAAAAACACGCGTTTGAATACACGCATTTAAATACACACGTTAACAATCATTCAAGTCAAGTTAGCTATCGAAAGATTTCTGTAGATTTACGAGGGAGCCGCTAGAAGCTTGGTTTATTCAGCAAAGCGTCAAGAAATTCTTGAACGAAATATGGTTGTTGAGAAATACTGTGGGGAATCCAAGGCCACGTTCGTTTAAATGTATATTCCCTGCGACACACTGAATAGATTCCCAAACGAAGTACGCCTCTTTCAACGCTATGATAAGGTACGATTTCCAGCTTAGGCCCGTATAGTTGTTCTCGGAGAAATCAACAATGCCCCGTGTTTATGTGTCCATCGAATCTCACATAATCCTCAACTAAAAAACCGAATCCCTACAGCAAGCTACTCTACCCTTATAAACTGTTCAACAGGACGTTTTTAGAATATACTCGTGCAACATTACGTGTGCAGGTATACAATTTGGAATAAGCAAGTTACAACATGTTACGTAAGGCTAACTCTGGAGGTTTCTACAATAATTTTAGTCAATTTTACTAGCGTGTTCTACTTGCAAGCATTATTAAGAAATTGCTCGAAAGGTCCAGTTCACCACAGTACCATATAAGCAAGTAAAGTTTCTCAGGTCAAACGTTACGTTCCAGCAACTTTTGAGCAGAATCAAAATATTAGCATATTAATTTGAAGTATCTGACAAACAAACAATTATGATAATTACCTGGTAACACTTCCTAGTTAAATTTATTCTTTTAAACACAAGGTTCACTTGTTGCTTTCTAAGGCAAAAACTTATTCTTTGCTTTTGAGCATTAAGAATCTAATAACAAAATTTCACAGAATACAACGACGCATTTCAAGCCTTCGATAAAGATGGCAATGGATACATTACCACTAAGGAGTTAAAATCACTGATGCGCTGCCTCGGTTGCAATCCTACGGATTCAGAAGTGCAGCAGATCATAAACGAGGTTGATGCAGATGGTAGGTTTCCCACTGTGAAAAGATAATTTACCCTTCTCATTATTGTATACTGCACCGTTATCTTTTGTTCAGTCAAACAACAGAACTCAATATAGACAGGATTAAAGTCACAGCAAGTAGATTGTTTGTTGATACATGGCTCAGGGTAAGGTGATTTTTTAGCAGAATCTAACTCCATCCTATGAATTCTTGTACACTTTCACAACGAATGCTTCTGTTTTATCAGATTCCCTTAAAACATTCCTAGAAACATTTCAATTCTAAAAAAAATACCACACTAGATTCAACGAATAAGAAAGATGATTAAACGACAAGCAAAGAAAGACCTTAATTTTGATCGTTCCTTTTCCTTCAATCTTGATTGTTTCTTGCAGCTAATCATTTTCGAATGTACATCACGTAAACCTTTGCAAGGAAATAAACATAAAAATTACTTAGAAATGTTTTCAGAAATGTTAGAAATTCTTGAAGATTAAAGTGTACAAAAATGAGTAACTTTTGTAGATTTGAAGTTCTGAGAAAAATTGCAAATATTACATTTTAAAAATCAAAAGATAATGAAAATCTTTGACAAGCACTTTTTGACAATTACAACTCGGGATCAAAAATTGCTTTTTGACAAGTAAAACGGCAGTTGATAGTCATACCCCCAAACCAGTGACAGGGCAGCTAAAATGCTTTCTTAAAACTCTAGGTAATGGCAAGATCGATTTCCCAGAATTTGTGCAGTTGATGGAGAAAATGATGAAACCAACAGATGAAGAAAACGCAGCTTTAGATGCCTTTAGGGTTTTTGACCCAGAGGGACGTGGCTACATTCCAAGCACGATATTGAGGGAGATTTTGCAAAGGTCTCTCGATCAAGTACCACAAAGTGAGGTATTCGATCTTCTTGACCACTCTGGCCTACACGAAGATAAAATGATTTCTTTTGAAGGTATGTAAGAGTCATAAATTTGTAAGAGTCATCAAAAATGCAAATATGATTTCAAACTCTTGATTTTCTCCGATCCTTTCTGTTCGATTCCTATGTCAGCAGATTTACTAGATTGATGTCAATCTTTAATGGACTGTAGTATCCAAAATATATGAATCTTGTTCATCTTTTTTCCTTTAGATTTTGCTCGTCTTGTGAAACCAAGAAATCCGTTTCAAGATCGGTTGAATCAAATGGAAATGAAAGATGGGTCTCCTTCAAGCTCCGCATCATAACTAGATGTACTTGAAATTTGACGTCCAGATATCTTAAATGGTCGGCAAAATTACAATTTCATCTCAACTGACCTTCACTGAGAAAGGTTAGCCCCCACCCCCTATCCCTCAACAAATGAGTGCAAGAGGACAGTTTTTTATGCTCATTATCTGTGATCGATAAACCATTTTACATCACAATAGATAAATGAAACATGTCCTTTAAATCATACGAGAGAAGGCGTGCTCATTTCAACGAAATAAAAGATCTTCATGTGTTGCAGCTTTACTTTCTTTTTGTATTCTTTATTGTTGTTATCAATGAATTTATCAAGAAAATCGATAATTATCAGAGGTAAAATCTAAGTAGATCGTAAGTGAATATCATAGTACTTGTAAGCAAATTTATTGAGATTATGAAGAAAAACATTGTTTTAAATTCTAAGAAAAACAGCAATACAGAGGGAGGATCAGTGTGCCTCTTTTAGGCTCCTTCTTTTGTTCAACTTGTGCATTTCTCACATAGCGCTAAAAAATGACTATTCTTTTGTTGCTCTGGTAGTTAGTTGCCAGAAAATAAACGAACTGCACGTATTTTTTATAAGAAACTAAGGTCCGGTGCTGGTAGGCAATTTCTTAAATTTTATGCCCATTTTGCTATCAAAAGTTTCTTACATATTTCTTAGATTTCTTAGTATCACTCACATTTAGAGATAAACTAACAAAGTGATCAAGGAATTTTGTTTTCCTAGAATGACTAACTCTGTTGATATCTATAAACAGTTAAACTCTTTGAACTTCATCAATGTAAAGTTGAAGTCAAAACAAATTTTTTAATAGAAACTTCTTGAGTGCGCAATTTACTGAGAATGAATGCAAACTGCATGTCAAATGTAGTGTTGCAATATACAGTGGTGTTCAATGTCAAGTCTGTTTCGAGTTTTAACTCGGAAAATTAAAACTGCAAATTATAAAAGTTTCTTAGCTTTTTTCAATTTGGGTAGGGTTGTTTCTTAACTTTCGAAAAATTAAGCCTACCGTTTATTATAACCTGTTTCTTATAAAGAAAATGCGTGTACCAATGTTATTGATCGGTTGGTAGCAAAGTATATCTGAAAAGATCAGTGAGATTTGTTTATCGCTTCTTGCTAATGGCTTTGTCATATAATCATGAAAGTTAATTTATCTATAACACATGTCACCCTTATTAAGATCAAGAGGAAGTGCATATTTAAAATGCATCTAGATCCAGAGCTTGTGTAAATTCCCTTTGTCGCTTTTAGTGTCTGTACACCAATTACTTCGTTTAGAATTTTACTCTCTTTGTCATTCTTCTTCCAATTACTCGTCTGTAGGTTGAAAATTTCCAAAAGTGAGCAATGTATGCTTTGTGTTACTGTGGTTGTCTGCTGCCGTCTCCAAGGCTCTGCAACAGCCTCATTATAATTTGGCTATAGTATTGGTGGCGAAGGGACCTAAAATCTGGTTCGTAATAACAAAATTCTTTGATAAGAAGTCTGTTACACCTTATGTTAATCATATAAGAAGTATCAACAATATAGCTGAAACGTCAGAATTCAAGAGACTAGTTACTAAATTCGCAAGAACAGAAGTTTGTAATATTACTTGAACTATTGCTGGCAAAATCATTGGTTTCACCACAAATCACACATAGTGCAGATGGAGAATATGCTAGTAGCGGGGACCAAAGATTTCTGTCGCAGTTATGCCATGACAAGCCACTTGAAGCAGAGATAGGCCACCTGGCTTTAGACCATGCTTCATTCAGAATAGGCCTAAGAAAGAAGAAAACAAGTCGCAGGCGGTTCTTTAAAAGTAGAATTTGTTACTACTGCACTGATATATGTCAAGCATCATTCCAAATAACAAAGAATTCCTCATTTAATCAACAAATTTTATTGTCTGGGGACATACATGTGAATCCTGGCCCAGTAAGAAATCCCTGTGGGATTTGCAAAAAACTCGATGATATGAATCTATCGAGATATTAAATTAAATGTGGAACATGTGATAAAAAGGTACACATAAAATGTGGGGGAACAAAACACCAAAAGAATATGTAAACCTCAAAAGAACAGGTTGCCATTGCCACACATGCAGATTGCCAAATTTCTCAGACAGCTATTTTGAAGTGGAAGATTCTATCCAATTAAACCAAACTGTGGTGGAACAGATAAACCAAGCCAGTGAAAATGTTAGTGGAAACATGTATGATGATCTAAATGAATAGTTATCAGTATCAGGTTTAAATATTGCACATTTAAACATCAATGGTCTGTTCCATAGCAGAAAGCTGTCTTGGCTCTGATTTGGCTCTGATAGCAGAAAGTGAAGCAGGGTTGCAGGAAAAGTATCGGAAATGACAGGAGGGTATGTTGAAAAAAGGTCTCAAAATTAATAGCAAAAAGATCGAAGTCCTTGCTAGCAGCAAAGAAAAGACAAGAGCGAGTATTAGGGACAATGAAAATAGTTATGAGTCGGAATGTTATGAGTGTTTTTGACATGACTAATGTTATCTCAGAGCCAACAAAGATAACTGCTGATGGCAGCTATTTAATAGATGTCATTTTGACAAGTAATTCATCTGTGGTGAAAGTTCAGGCAGCTATGATCCTGGTATCTCAGACCATAAGTTAGTTTATGCTGTTATAAACTATTTAGAAAGAGATCTAGACAAAGATAAGATTGGTTAGAACTCATGAATTATTTGATATAGACTCGTTACATAAGAATAACGATCAATGTAGGTAAATTGTACCAGGAAAAATTTTTTAAAATAATTAACGACTTTTCGAGCATAGCCCGTTATCAAGTGAGCCCATGGGCTTGATAACGGGCTATGCTCGAAACGTCGTTAATTATTTTAAAAAATTTTTCCTGGTACATTTTACCTACATTGATCGTTATTTTAATTCATCACATTGTACCGCACGCATTTTAGTATATCGTTACATAAGACCTTTGAAAGAGCACCTTGGGATATATGTGGGATTTTTGATGATTTAGATGACATTGCCTGGGCATGGGAACAGCTTTATAAAGACATCATACAAGAACATTTGCCTTTAAAGAAACTCAAAACAAGATCTGATAGCCTGCCTTGGTTGGATTCAAAGCTGCGCAAAGAGGTGAATATAAGATATAAGATCCTGAAGAAAGTTAAACAATCTATGAATAAAGATGACTGGTCAAACTATAAGATTCAGAGAAACAAAGTAAAGAGTTTGATTAGGAAAGCAGAAGCAAGGTACTGGAGAGGCAAGATTGGAAATGTTAGAAACTCCAGTGAGTATTGAAAAGTTATAAAGAAAATGCAAGGCAATACCAAGAAGTCACATATAGGACCAATTTTAAATGACAAACATGAATTAGTTACCAGTAAAAAGAAAAAAACAGAGTGTCTCAACGATTTATTTCTCAGCAATTGGAGAAAAGCTTAACATAGACCTGGGTCCTCCCCTAAATTCTGATCCTTCACAGCAAATGTATTGAGTTACACCAATAATGTGAGACAAAAAGATGGACGAGAACAGAGTTTCTGAAGCCTTAAAAAACATGTCAAAGAGGGAAAAAGTTGTAGAGCTGACTTTGTGGTGTAAAGAAATGTAGCTTTCCTTCCCAATGGAAAGTCAGTAGATTGAAGGCCCTATTTAAAAGTGGAGCTAAAATGGAGAGAGAAATTTTTAGGCCAATATCTTTTCTATCTATTCCAAGTAAGGCTGCGTACACACTGACAGCGAAAAAGCATAGCGAAGCGAATGAGCGAATTAGCGTTCAGATAGTTTGTACTGAAAACAATGCGCCTGTTCACATCGAGACAGAGCGATAGCGGCACGTAGCGAGAAGATTACTTCTCATGTATTTGCTCGCTAAGAAGGACATAAACAAAGCATTATAAATTGATATTAATGTAACCGTTGGAAAGAGGTTCCTAACCCTGAAAAGAATGCCACAGGTTGTTGCCAGTTTTTTGAGAGTTCAGCAAGATGATATTTCCAATGAAGTTGGAATTACGATCTAGCTAGTTGTTGGTTGGAACTAGCCACGCAATTGCTAGCTTTTTCGCTCCAGGGAGGTGCCCAGGCCTCATTTGCCAACAAAGTGAGTGAGACAACTTTCATTTACCTACAAATTTGAGAATTCACCGGAAAAGCACTCCCACATAACTAAAAATTCTCATTTTTGAGGTAAAACGTTGTTCAAAATTAAATTTCAAATCAGCTCAGCCTCAAAATACAAAGTCTAGTCACTGAGTCACACTACAGAGGTATAGAGTTAATTACTCGCAGGTACGTAAATATTAGGGGGCGTGGGAGTGTGACGCTCCCCCCTCCCCCCCAAAGTTTTGAAAATCCAATTTCAGTTGGAAAACTTAACAGATTACTTGGTTTTTTTAAGACCAAACTTGTGAATTATATATGTTAGAAATTTTGGGATTTTAATTGTAGATACGTTTATCTTATCAAAATAACAGGGTAGAGTGGACCCATCCAGTAATCGCTTTCTATGGTGAAGCCCTGTATCCACTGAATTTTAAATTGCACCATTGCACCATTGCACCATTGCGCCGTTTATTTTTTTTTTGACGAGATTTAAGTTGAATTAAATTATTTCTAACAGGCAAGGTGAATTTCCGTATAAGAAAATTGAAACTTTACAATCAGTATTGAGCCTACAGTTTTGAAAAGTTGATATCCTGTACTGATAAGAAAAATTTAAAGTGGCAGCTTTTTAAGAAACTACAAGTAGATAGTCAATCAAATTAAAAATTAAGAATCTTTCAATACTAGAAATGTTCAACGCTTTTTATAAAAACGAGTGTATGCTTTGCTGCCCCTGCTGTCTGTGAATGTCTTTAACTTCTTATGATAAATAAAATCCCTCTTATAAAGCTGATGTGAGGGCAGAAAACATTACAGAAGCTGCAGCAGAAGAATTTGACCAAAGAAAAGTGTTTCATCTTACGAATCCGGCATATGATTTGATCTCGAATCGCCCATATCATTTGTAAAGAAGCGAAAGGACATTTGGCCCTCTGAAATTGTTAAAAATTTCCTTCGATCAAAAACAAAGGTGCAAGACTCACTTCCTTGATGCTTTTGTATTGTTAAAGACATTTTTTTAGATAAAATTGATATGCAGCAAATTAGCTTTAAAAAGGGTAAAGTAGAAAAAGAAGAATCGCTGCTAATTGAAGCGAGGTCTCGTTAAAGATATATTATATTGGTTATGCTTGGATGTTGTTTTACTTCTTACGACCAGTTTAAATTCTTGTGTTATATTACATTAATCAAAATTTAGAGATTTCCTTCATCGTCTTTAGTTTTTTATACTTCAGGCTAATTAATATGAGCAAAATGTTGGTTGTGATAAAGACACTAGAAATCTGGAATCAGGGATATTTCCAAATATCTATTCTGTAGGTACAGTAGCTTCAAAGATCGAAAAAAAATAACTCAATCAAAGTTGAATTTTCAACCTTCTACGACCCCCCAAAATTAGTGACTTGTTTTCGAATCGCAGAGGGGGTGAGTGTAATTCAAAACATGAATATATCGTTAAAATGACATTTTTTTTCTTTCTGAGAAAACTAAAATAGATAGAAAATTGTGAAGATTGGTGAAGATTGAGAGCCTGACATTATTCTTAAATTATTCTTCAATTTTAGCGATCTTGAGCGTCAGTCCACTTACAGACTATATCCTTATAACAATAAACATTACGTTTGTAGGATAGAAATCCACATGTTTGTAGGACTGACTGTAGGACACTGTGGTAAAAATATGAGCCAAACTCTCTGGTTTTCAATTGCTTCCTCTGAATATACCTGATTAAAGATTTGAAGTTTCAGGACACGTTCAAGTCATCTGACTTTAAGGATGAAGCAAGCGGGATTTTAAAACGATGTCTGAACTAATCCTTGAAAATCATTATGAGCAATAATTCTGTTGTTTTGTAGCCATAAAAGGAAACGCCGCTTGCTACCTTTGTTTATCTGGATGTTGGATGAAGTTGTTGCTGTTGACGTGTTTCCGAAACCAAAATGTTGTCACCCAACCGCCGGTATTTAGTATGAGGTGTCAACACGTTTAATGCAAGGGAGATTGTGACAAACTGGTAAAACTTTTAAACAGAAATTAAAGCATATATTTTGTCAGGGTTCCTTGTGTTCGGGGATGTATAAACGAATATTCAGGCCATAATAGGATATGGCGATATTCACAAAGCGGATATAGACTCATATGCGGAGAACTTTTGTATTTCCAGGTAGGCCTAATAAAACCACTTGAAATTTTAGATATTTTTTGTAAATTGTAAAGTCCATTGTGATATGTCACCCCTCAGTATTGACACACAATTCTATGAAGCAAACAAACAAACTCACAAGCAACAACAAATCATAACATATGTAAAATAGCCCTTGATACAAATTCTTGGGGAGCTTGCTAAAAGCCAGATTTATAAATTAACAGTTGAATAGCAATTACTCGACCATCCAGTTTCTGTTCCTTTTTGCTCACGAGTTTGAAGAAATTCTTTCAAGGGTTTAGTTTCTATTTGTGAGCAACAATGCTACTAAATTGTTCTTCAAGACTAAAATTTTTCACAGATTTCCAACCACAGTATGTTTACCGAAATCAAAAGAATTAAACATATGTAATATTTCCTTTTAATGATTTCATAGTTACTTGGTTGCAAAGCCATGTTCTTGAGAACAGTATTTTTTATGAGAAACTGTCTATGAATAAGAAGAATTTGAGAAATCACCCGAACTGCTTGATTCACATTCTTTTTAAGAATGCGCAGAAACTATTATTTTAGGTGGTTAGGTACCTGTACCTGTTTTAGGTGGTGTGACAGGGAGGTAAAAGTAATTGTACTTTTGCATCTTAAAATTGAAACTTAGCTGCAAATTCTAGGAAAACAATGTTTGCATTTAAATGCCAGACTTCATGGAGAAGTGACCAATTTCTCTACAAAATGCCCCTCAATAAACCTCAGTTACAAATATGAAAAAATGCTGCATGTGAATTTTTTAAATGCTATAGCAAGCAGTGTGAAGTGACACTAAAGATCTTCTCTAGCACAACAAGGAATACAGGCAAGAATTAGGATAGAAGAAGAATGGAGAGGGAAGATGGTTTTATTTTTTATATAATTGATAAACAAAGAGATTTAGTGTCTATTTTCATTTAACTGTATCAAGATTCTATGATTTTTCATTTTATTCAGTGCAAACACTGACAAATATGGAGGAAGATGCAGAAAACCTCTCTTGGGAAGAAAAGTACTACCAAGCAGAAGGCCAATTGCAGAAGTTTAGAACACAAGCTGGAAAAATCAGAGAGCTGCTCAATGAGAAGGTAACTTCAGTGTTTTGTTGCAAAGTTTTCTTTTGATATAGGCAATCAGACAGAGCAGATGTTTTCTTTCAATACAAACAATCAACAATAAAAATGTCCTTCAAATTAACAATATATTGATTGCTCATTTTTTAAAAGTTTTCATAGTTAAATAGCTAAATAGCTGATACGTATTTCCAAATATATTGTAACATTTTCCTAATTTTGCTTTCAAAACGTATGTTGAAACAGCACTTTTCATGAAGCACCAAATTTTATCCCGGCGGGTCAGTCCACCACGGGAATATTTATTAGAACAGAACGTTCAAGAGATACTGCTACCTGTAGTTCCAACTAAAAAGTTTAGCATAAGAATATTGGAAGGTATATTTCCCATTTGTTTGTGAGTAAATAGAAATAATTCTAAACCTTTTTCACATGTGTGCATTGTTTGCAAAAACAGAGAGGTAATGCTTTTTAAAGAATGTCAATATTCTTTACTTATTCTTGACAATGTATTAAAAGAGTATAAGTGTAACAATTGTTGCTCTAACTAGTATTTTTGTTTTGTATATCCACATAATAAATTATTTGTGTCATTCCAAAGCTTAAAGAGTTTGATGACAAACTTGCAATTTCCGAATCAAAAAGAGAGTTAGTCGAAGAGAAGGTTAGTACTGACTAAAGAAAAAATACTAGAAAGTGTTTAACTATATTTTTTAAAATTTAATCTAACTACCTCAAAATATTTTGCATATAATTTGGTGCTGGCATTTTCTTATACTCCCTCCATGATATAGAAGAATCCTATTTTGAAAATTTTGCCCTCTCTTGATTAATTTATATGCCTAAGAGGTCCTCCGCAGGCAGTAATTTCAAGATGCAATTTTGTAATTCTCTTTTTATTTCTTTATTGTAGTTTTTTGAATCTATTTCCATTTTGATGTATATTGGTATTTTTACTTGTAATGTAATGTAAAACCATGTTTTTGGAAATCTATTCAGGCCTTGCAAGAATAGGCCCTCAAGCTCTATCAAGCGCCTCTGCATGCCCCTAGAAAGTTAGGTGCTGGATTTATCTAGCACCTAGCCAGTTTATGCTGTTTAAAAACTAAATGTGAAAAACCAAGTTTTTTTATGATGATTTTTGATAATGCTCAGTCGAGTGCCTAGAAAGTTAAAGGTGCTAAGGTTTGTCAAACATCTGCTTTTTGCTCCTCACAAGGCCTGTAAATTATTGATGGTCTGTCTGGCAGAAATGACACTGTGAAAATCAAGATTAAACCTAAGAGGAGCATCTAGTTCTATTGTATAGGTACTTGCGAAACTTGTTTTATGGGGGCATGGTGTCCATTTGGCTTTTATTATTACACTAATGCTATTTTAATTGCTTTATTTCCTACGCCTCCTGAAATATTACCCAGCTTCACAGAAAAATACTTTTATTATTTCATTGTGAGGCAGGGAAACTTTTAAGTGATTTTCACTGGTGGGGAGCTGATACAAAAGGGCATTTTTTAACTTGACGCAACTGACTGCGAAAACAAAAGCAAAGGTCTACATAGTATTTAAGGTACGCATAGTATGTAAGGTTTCAAGGTCTTACAGATCAGTCCTTATTTCAATGCAGCAAAAAGCTACATATAACAACGAAAACAACATACAAAGCAGTTATTGGAGACGCGTCTAATTGGTTGTCAAAACAATTTTTAACAAAAGGGCACTTGCTAGTGGGAAATCATGGGCAAACTAGTGGGGAGATTTAAAGGCCTGGTGGGGAAATTCCCCTCTAGTTTGTATGTTAAAAGATCCCCTGTTGTGAGGTTTTACATTATAACCCACAAATTGATATCATCCTATTCATCCACTGGCAGTCTATTCCTAATTAATTCAATTTTAGAATAACAAATCAGTTTCTAAGAAGTTGCTAAGTGAATATATTTTGTTTAAATATTATTTTATGTTTTCTTTTTTATTCCTTTTGTCATAGATTGTTGAATGTTTGATGATTAAGACATATAAAGCTACTATAAAAGAATATTTCATCATTAGGCAAAAAAGCTGAAAGCTTCTGTTGCTGACAAAGATGAAGCAATCAGTGCTTTGCGTGAGAAAATAACTCTCTTGGTAAGTGTGTTTTGTAAATTACGAATTAGTTTCTTTCTTCCTTTGTTTATTTCCTAGTGAGCTCCTCTTTAGGCAAATATCTCTAAATATATATTTTGTATTTGAATGTTTTACTTTTTATATTATTCAATGTACATTGTAGTTTGTTTCATCTGTGTAGTTATTTGTTTTCTCTATTTTGGTAATGTTTCGTGTATTCTAAACTGTACTTAGATATATTTGTCAATGTCCTGGATTGCACCCTGCATATTTCAAATATATGTTGGATTCAGGCCTCTCCGGGAAAAAATACAACGTGGGCTATAAAAAGCTGTTGCCAGTTTGGCTGCGTGAGCTATTTAGCCCTTGCTGAACTGTTGTTAATTTTTTTATATTTGGGTACTTAAAAAGCCAAAGATACACTTCCTTGCTAATTCTCTAAGCACTATTCAGATGAAGAAGGCATTTTGTGTGTATTACTACCTTTAAATGTTGTATTACCACTCCTCAAAATGAGACAGAAGAGGAACATAACTTTTTTTGAATATAGACAAATTTTTTTAGGTTTTGCAGGTTAAATGTGGCGTTTTTGCGAATGCCTAGTTTATATGTTTTGACTTGAAAGGAGTTGTTTTGCATTTGACAGCATGGTGTAACATTTCTCACTTAAATTATTTGTAGTATTGATCACGCTTTATGTTGTTTCTTTCGTGCATACACATTTCCTATTCTATTGCAAGTTTTAGCAGCTAATACAATAGACATGTCCTATACAAGGGAACGGAAATCTCCTATATATAACGTCATTTGATAAACACATAGACATGTAAGACCTCTTTCTCTTTATTTCCTAACACCCTGATATTTAGCGGTAAGTAGTAAAAATATTGGGAAGCTAAACTGCGCGGATTATATGAGAACGTTGGTTTGAAAAACTACGCAGGCAGAAAAAACTCTCGCAAATTTATTTTGCGTGGGGTTTGCGCGGGCGCGGGCTATAGCCCTCGTCTACGGGAAAGGCCTGGTTGGATTGGCAATGTTTCCAGGCCTGCAGGTTATCATACTAAGGTAAAGCTCCAATCAAGTTTTAGACAATACATTTCTACCAATAAGTAATTTTTGAATCATCATGTGACCCAGTATGGTTACACCCAGTATGTAGAAATCACATCAAAGCTTTTTGTTTATAGAATTGAGCAGCATATTCAAAGAGCTTCTGCCATGTAGTTTTTTAATAAATGTAGATTAATTATAAGCAGCCTGTTGTCGACTGATCTGTGCAATCAACAGCTGCACACACTTTCATGTGTGGAACAGGAGAATTCTAAACTGCTTTACAATTTTTTATCAACTGAATGTTATTCTTGCCGATCATCTAAACTCTAAAAAATTTGGGATTCCGAGTATAGAATTATTCTTAAATACTTCCTTAGAAAAATTTTCAAATCTTCGCTACTGCTTTCTTCATCACAAAAACATTGTAGGAGATGAAACATACTAAAACACTTCAAGCTTGATGAGTGTTAGCAAACATTGTGCGCAGAAGTCACCCTTGTCTGTTTGCTCGAAAATTTCAGATCGATTTAGAGACAAAATACCAATGAAAATCCAGCTTAGCTATTATTCTTTATCAATTCTTAAACTTCGCCAATTTTGAGCCTCAATTTTCCTATACTATCTATTATTATGGAAATGTTGTGTACTCAGAGATTCAGGCTAATTGGTTGATACCTGATGATTGCATCAAGTGTGAAACCTATTTCGACACCTTAGAATCTTCATGTTTTATATATAAATAAAATCTTCTAAAAGTTTTATGGCAGTAACAATTGAAATTCTTGTTAACGAAGAGAGGGGTTTCCAAGTTCCCAATAACTCGATGAAGAACAAGTGCAAACACTGCTTATGATTTCCGTTATCCATCAAATGTGTACACATAGGTATACTTGTATCATATGTTTTGAAATTTTAATAAATAAATTATCTTTTAGCGTGATGAAAGAGCCAAGGAGAATGAAATCTGGGAAGAGAGAGAACAAGTTATGAAGAACTGGATAAAAGACAAAATGACTATGGTATATTATTTTATCAAAAATTAACTTAACTAGCAAGAGTATTAATTTCCTTTTAGCTTGCAAAACAAGATAGTTCACGGATATAATAGTTTAAACTAATTTTTTTTTCTTGTTTCGAAGCTGTTACAAGAACTTGAAGTTGCCAAAGAGGAAAAGAAATCAATTGAAAGAAAACTTCTAGGTAGACTTCTTCTCTTTTCCTTTTTTCTGCAAAGTTTTACAATAGGAAGGCAACATAATGTAACAGTACCTCCCGCTGCTCTCCTTAAAGGTTTCAAGCTTCCCAATCATTGCTTACAAATCCAGCCAGCACAAGTTTGCTTACCAATCATTAGCCCAAGTAACTCCAAAGCGATTTCCTTTTGAATTTTTGCGCTTTAGGTATTTTAGTCTCATTCTGCCAAAGATGTTTTTTCTGTTAACCGGATCAGTAAAGTTTCCCGCCAAATGCTAAAGTATCTCATGAAATCTAAAGAATCTTGGCCTAGCTACCTATGAATAAAAACATGATATTAAAGTAAATTATATTGTTTTAAAGTAGATAAATTGTTACGCTGTCGTTTCGTCCTAGAAAATGACAAGAAGAAGAGGGATACAGTAGACGAAAATTTTTACGAGGAAGTGTTCGATCAAATATTAGGAGACCTAAAGAGACCAAAGTTTGCTTCGCTATGGGATCATTCTGTACCCGGCTCTCCTGCTCCACTGTCACCTAGACGATCTCCAAACGATGAGACATCTTTGATCAGGCCTAAAGTTGCCACACCAGAACCTGTCATTCGTTCAAAGGCCATCCCAGTTATGAGGCGATGTGATTCAGACGACTATGGCCTAAGGAAGAGCCCGGCGTCTCCAAAGCCAGATTCGAGGCTAGCAGCTCGGTTTTCAGAACGACGCTTCTCTGACATTACCAATCCATTGTCGCCTGGTAGCGCGTCTCCTGTTCAAACAAGGAAGCGTTTCAATTTCACCCCAGGATCCCCATCTTCCATTTTAAGAAAGGGATCCTCTGCGGATGCAGTCGACATAAAATATAGCGCAAAACCATTCACTGTCGTCAAGGGCTATGAAAAGCGCATTTCCATAGGGAAAGAAGTCATAAATGATGGCCGAGAGACTTTGAAGGTAGTAGCAAATAGAATATTTTTTACCTTCTCAAAAAAGCAGAGTTATGTCACGTGATAAGCAAAGTAGCCTGCAACCAGGCTACCCAGAGCTACGATAACAAACGATTTAATAGTTGGCTAGGATAGCTTTTTTCAAGTCTTGGAAAGCTCCATTCCCCTTTTCATGGTCCCAAAACATTTTAAATAATCGTGCTTGTTGAGATTGGGTTGCTGTTTGAATATGTTTTCTTTCAATGATATGCTTTTCGTTAAGCGGTCGGTAGAACGCCATTTTGTCCGTCCAGACTTTTTGCAAGTCATCTCTATTGCTTTTTATAGAAATCCGCCATGCCCCTTTTTTGAAAAGTAGCTAATGCTTCTTGGTTGTCTGCTGCGAGGCAGGCTCACCGATATACGCGCCAACTATCCTGAACTTCAGCCCTACACTTGATCTCTCGATATTTTTCTGTCCTGACATTTTTTTTCTTACGTGTCATTCTTTTTCTTCCTCTGCCCCTTTTACCGTGTAACCTCCCCTCGACGACACCCCTTAGCAGTCCTCAATGGCTTATATTTTAACCAATCCACTTCTTAGGCCGGTTAAAGATAGTCGAGATCAATGTTTTTTCTTTCCAATCCTTTGCAATTCTGTCCAACTGATCTTCTCTTAAACTAGATATCTGCACTTTCCAAATTCCAGATATCCTCCTCTTTGAGTGCCCACCACTCTGACCAGTATAATGACACACTCCACTCCAAGTCCGTACTCTTATCTCTGTACTGCAATAGCCGTAAATTTGTATTACTGAGGACTATCTTAAAAATGTTATTCATCGTCACTTAACGTTATTTTACCCCCAGAGAGCTCAGTGTGAAGCTGAATTCGTCCTACCAACTTTCTCTTATTTATCGCCATCTCTGCACTTTCGATAAAGCTACATTTCATGAAAGTCATTTTTTACTTAAATGTTAATGTGAAGAATTCGTTTTTTATTCTTCATTTCATTGTATAAAGAGTTTGTTTTGCAGAATGGAGAGAAAGATGAAAACAACGAGGAGGAAACGTTGAAAAGAAACGAGTCAGGTAGGCCAATATTTTCCTTAGGAGCTCGTCGTCATGTGTGATTGAAGATAGAAATATCAAAGTTTTGGGGATGAATCTCCCAGAAACCCTCTTGACAGAAAGCATGGTTTTTTCTCTCACTACACAAAATAACTTTTGGGAATCGGGGTGAACATCTCTGAAGTCAGACCACGTATTTCGGACTCTCGCAAATCTCAGTAGCCAATGCTGAAATTTAACCACCTCAAGCAGTTATTTTGAACAGTATTATGATGTGGTCAGATGCTGCAAATTTCAGGTTTTTTTGTCAAAGTGGGCCCCTATGCCCCCTTTATTTATGATGCACGAAATTGTATTCGACTAAATGTTACATACAGACCTGTCATAAAGTTGTTTTGAAAGTTATCTATAGAAAATTTTCACTGCACAATTTTACACCATACACTACTACTTCGCCAATAAAAAACTCATTTTGTAAAAACAGCCTGCTTGGTTTCATATAGCCTAAATGGACAAAAAAATAGAACAGCTTTAATAATTTTTTATATGTAATAACTGCATTTGTGTTTGAATAGAAACCATGAAATCTGCTTTTATGTGGGTTATATTAAACCAAGTAATGGACAGATTGTTCAAATTAGGCTTTGACGTGATAATACTATGTAAAATAAAAAGCAGATAATATCAACTACCGTAGGTATAAGCCATGCGGACTAAATTCAAGGCTTATTAATTTTTTATATCAGAGTAGATATATTGCCATCTGACAGGCTGCAGTTCCATGCAAGTCAGTTTCGTATTGCCGGGGTAATACTGTATCACAAAAAGTTAAAAAGACAGCAGGATTTAATGTCCTTTAAATTTGTTAATTTTATTTGTCGGGGCAAATTTCTATGGGATTCCGACAAACATCTATGGGGTTTTGTTTTTTTGAGACTTGTTTCTCCATCGCCAGTTGGAATACAAGCCTCTGGCATTTTACCTTCACCGGCTAAATCAAAAGATTTTGTATTAGACTGTGTGCTGAAAATATTTTCTCATTTTTAAAGAGGGAAGTGATTTTGTCAGAACTCACTAGTTTCTTCTGTGTATGAAATATTGTTGGTGAGTCTTTTCATTTGTTCCATAGGATCGATAAATACACGCGGATATCGTTTATAACGAGCATTCGACAATTCTTGTTTCCTCTGTTTTTCTTGTCGGTAACGTAATTTTGTTGTTTGCAATTTCCCATTTGTGGTTTCCAATTATGACCTAGATATAATATGAAATTACATTTTCCGTAGATGCTGAGCCCTATTACTTTGTTCTGAAGGAAACTTACTGCGGGATCGAGTATGAGGTATGAGCAACAAATATCAGCATACCAAATTTTGACTAAACTTTAAATTTCTCAGTGAGTTATTTCAATACGCACGATTTATATGAAATAGTGAAACCGTTATTTTATGAGAGATTTCCGAGTCTTGCCTTAATGATCAGAGGGTTATGTTCATGCTTCTTCGAAAGTATACTTCAGGTAAGAAAATATCGCATTTTTAAATTGTCTTTTTTATTGCGAAATTCCTTTGCGCATCAGCGATCTCCGCATTTTTAAGCTCAAAAATATTCACTTTTTCCCTGGGAAGTCTGCACTCGAAGAGACTAACGGGGGCAAATGGCCAAGAAAAAGGGCAGACAATAGTAAAACAGAATAGTGCTCGATTTCATAAGGGCAAAGGGGAGTCACAGCCCCTCGCTGCCCCCAGGTGTTGGCGTCCTTGCTTATTGCCCCGATCATTCTTTGATGGAACTGATTTAGGGTCAAAACCTGTCAAAATGATAGCTCTATCTATGCCTCATACTATCTGTAATTCTGTTTTGCATTTCTTTGATAAATTGAATCACAAAATTAGTAAACATGAAATTTTTTAATCGAACTGAGCTCAAATCGATTACCTTTAAATCTTCAGGGCGAGAATCAGCCACCAGTTTATGCCACGCTGCGAGGGGTAAGTGAAGGCCTAGTTATTTCATCTAATTGCCAATTGAAGCGTTCCTGCTAGCAATCAGTTTTTCTATTTTTCATTATTGGCTACTATCATCATTATTACCTCTTTGCCACTTGTTTTAATCGTCTAACTGTGTTGCCACTAATGGAGGCTCCAGCTTATTTGGTTGGTCTTTTGAATTCATTTAGGTAAATAGCCCGTCTACACGGGTTCGACTTATTTTAGTAGATTCATATGGTATAGCATTTGACAATCACAATCGAAAGTGAACATACTGAACATACTATGTGTGAACACGTTTATATTTGGCCTCTGCATACTTTAAAAGAACCCTGTCTTACAAACGAACGGGTTTTTAAAAAGGCAACGAAAAAGGTGTTTTGTTATGAAATAATGAAAAAACCCGGAAAAATTGAGAAATTAAGGATTGTGGATGGAACCGTTTTGCCTCCATATTCTACCGTCGAAAACTCATCATTCAGGCTATTATGCGATTATCGTTATTAAGCCACCACTGTGTGTGAGCGAAGGTGCTGGAAGACACGGTTTATGTCAAGAAATTAGTGTGAATAGCTGAACTTGCATCGATATGTAGTGGGACTGCCTTATTTGCAGATATTTGCAGCTACTATATAGATTATTGCTTTTAGAGATCAGTTTTGTGGAGATTTTTGCCCGTTGATAGTTTTAAAAGTCGGTTTAACTTCACAGGTTGCTTCCCAAATTCGCATGACGCCATTCACCGGCGAATCAACTGATTCCGAGGCTGACCTCGCTGACGTCGAATCCCCGGCTGGCTCTCCGACGCAGTCGTCAACTTTCAAGAGCTACATTAGCGACACTAAGAGCAAGTCCAGCACTCTGTCGTCTGAAAGCATTTATGATTTGCCGTATGACAGTGTAACGAAAGCAAAGCACAGGGAGACATGGTTTATTACAAAGCAGAGCTCAGCAAAAAACAGTACAATGTCAAGGAGTCCGAAGATATTAAGGAAGTGTGCACCGTATACGGCTGAGAACATGCGGACCGTATGATCAGTTTCTTTCCTTTTGAAACAGTGACTCGTTCTTTTTGCCTTATAATCCCTTTCAAAAGTGATTGTAAGCTAGGTGAAGCACCCCTTATAGCCAATGCAGCGTTGGTTGTGCCGTTTTCTTTCCTGACGACCTTCTTGGTCAACAATGAAAATTACATGAAGAACCATTTTTGATAGGGAGACCTTTTGAAAATTTGCTAAAACTTCGTTTATGATATGAAGACTTGGCAGGCATTGTAATTATGGCTCAACCGTTAACAAAGGTTCACCATAAACAGCTTTCCTTTTAAAGGTCATTTTGATCAACCTTGAATGTGCCCAGTATATATCATATTTGTCTAAAGAAAGGCATCATAGAACAGTCGAACCCAAGCATGCAATTCAATGCCCCTAGCAATTTCTGGGAAATTATCTTCTTTATGCATAGAAAGAACCAACTTAACATTCATTTAAAGTTGGTAAAAATGTATTACATTGCTGTTCATTGTGTATATTGCCTGATTCTGAATTCTGGACTTTCTTTGCAGGAAGTTTTGGAAACGTCTGGGTACTTGATAAAACTCGGTGGTCGTGTGAAAAACTGGAAGAAGAGATGGTTTGTTTTGATGGATGGCAAGCTTAGCTACTTCAAAACGAAAGTATGTTTTTAATGTCTTGTATTCGATAACGTAGCAGAGGCAGTCTATATGCATGAATCTAAAAATTCATTTTTGTCAATGAACAAAATGAGTTTGATCAATGCCGAGGATTAATTGCCTTCCATTAAAAATTAATGTTTGAATTTTCAAAGCACGAAATAAGGTCATCTTAAAGGGGTGAATTAAGCATGTTTGGTCTTCTTTCTATATTGCAAAATCATTTGTTAGTACACAATCTTGACCTCTGTTTAAGTTGGTTTACTAGCCTAAACGCCTGTGAGCTGTTATAGCCAAAACTCTATCAATGATTAATAACTTAACTGTTATTTTATCGTTTTAACTACTCCGGAATGTGTCTGTAATGGCCTTGCTGTAAATTGATGCAGAAAAGCCATTCAACGCGTTATAAAATATATTAAGTTCAAATTCTTAACGTTGGATAAACAGTCTCTTTCTATTTTGGCAGGATGACATGATGCGAAAACCGCTTGGACAAATTTGCTTAGAGACTGTGTCTAGTGTTTCGCGCTCGGAAAGGCTCAATACTTTTGAGGTAATTAATCGATGAGCTAACCGCAATCAGCATTTTGACTATTAAAGTACGGATGATCTCAGTTTTATTCAGATGATATTTGCTTCATAAGCTTGAAAGCTATTAGGTCATGTATTCATTTTGTGCTAAATATACCGTTTATTTACAGTTGCAAAAGCGCCTTGTCTGCATTTGTCATTGTGAATTTAGAGGAACGTATAAAGAATTTATTCCTTTATGCAAAAAACTTGCATTTTGATTGAACTAGTAAGAAAATGATCGCCAGGGCAGGCTATTGTCGGATGGTTAAGATGAAGGCCAACTTTTTCTGTGAAAGTCTGTTACCAGAAGCCGTAAGAATTTATTTTGCCGACCTGTAGAACCGTTAGCATCGGCGTTGCCGATATATAAATGTTCTGACTTAACCGGAAGTAAGAAAAATTTTGTCGACAAACGACCGGCTTGGGTTCGCCACATGAAAACAATTTCTTCGTATAAAGCTCAACTCGAACTTGTAAGCATTTTTTGGTCTAGTGGTACCGTTCTTTCGTCGTGCGAGAATATTTATGGGTACTGTGATGCACGGAATTGTTCTTGCGTCGTATCATGACTCCTGGGTCGTATCACCATTCTCATATCGTATATAAATTCGTGATAGTCCAGCGATCATTCTTGCGACTGATCACAGGAAATTTCTGGTTACAGTTGCTTAAGCCTGGATTTTTAACTAATTAAGCACCGCTTACAATAGAACATGTAACAGAACAGGCACAACTTTCCGTCAACATTTGGTATGACTATAACCAGTTGTCGAGTTCCGTCGACGACTATTTTCCTTTTTCCAAGACAGCAAGTTGTAAACTACTTACTTTTGTATTCAGTGAAAGTAAACACCAATTTTTACTTTTAACCAGCTCAATACTCCAAAAAGAACTTACTACCTGACAGCTGATTCTCCCGAAATCGCCGAAGACTGGCTACGAGGTTTGTCCCATTTTAACTTCCATATTTTCATTTCATGTCTTGTGAAATCCTTTATTCGGTAAAAACCTGCTTATTTCTTAGTTATCCTCAAAAGGTATTGATGTTAGGAAGAAAATACTCAAGAATATAAAAACTTATTATAGTACTCTTTCCAAATTTATCCGTCTGTCTAAAAGAATATCTCCGTCTGTTTTTAAGTTGTCTGCCTTGTATCTAATCTGTTCTGCTATCGTTGTATCTAAAGCTCCAGGAGAAATCCGAAAACATAGATTAGCATTCATTATTTCATTTAAGCTTTGCGCAACAACCTAAAACGGTTTTCTGGTGCTCGTATACTTGCTCGAGCTGGTGAAAGAACTGTCCACGAAGGCTGGGTTACAAGGGTACGCTTTCTCTCCTTCAACTGATTATTTTCTTGTTAATTGAAACAAACTTCAAGATTATCCTAATATATATTCATAGTTGTTTCAGGAATAAACAGTCCTCAATGTTATATATTTACTTGAAATATCAATAATTTTATTTTTCATAAGTTTGATTTGAGAGAATTGATTATCGAAGTCATTTGATGAAGCTTCGCGTTTGTCAGCTGGATAAAAGCGTTATTCATCCAGAGCAGTAATTTTTTATTGCTATTCGGTGGAGGATTGCAACCAAAGCTGTCAAGGCGAAGCTTTGTATGCTAAGCATTGCTAGAAATTTCATTTTAGTTTTATATTTTAATTAATAGTGCGTTATACATCAGTGCTCTATTTAAGAACGATGCAATGGAAATAATTAATAGGATCCATCTTGGTGTATTTATTCTTTAAAAAAACGTCTTTTAAGAAGTCTTTCACAGTGTTTATGTTAGAGAATTACAGCGTTGAGTCTTTTTTTTATTAACACATGAATATGAGCAAAACTCGTGTTAACATTTATGTTATCTGTAGGTGAAAGGAGGTATTTCGAAACATTGCTGGTGTGTCTTGAAAGAGAAGACATTGTTATTCTACAAAAATGAAAACGAACATGTGAGTGGAAACACATCAGTGAAGCATATCTTGTAACAAGATTTTGATTCGTAGATTATCACTTAGAAACTTAAGTTCGGTATATAATAGAATTTTTACACATTTTGTATACTCTAATACGCTTTAAGACGTCGAAAAATCATCTTAAGTCTATTGGTGATGAAAATATTCTTTTAGATGACTATGACAGAAAAAACGAGCACAGAGATTCAACGTAAATTTGCTTTATTTCGTAGTAGCAATTTTCAAAGTGGTTTTCGTAGGAATATCCTTCGCTCGTTCATTAATTTGAAGTAGACAATTATTGGCCCAGTGACACAATGTGTTTTTTGAATGATCAAAATCGTATTAAAGAGTATTTGTCAAACTGCCCCTCGAATCCTGACCTAGACTTCCTCCACGAGCCTCCCTTGCGCTCTTACCTCACTTCACGGACCCTACGCCTCTGTTGTAGTATCCGTAAAGTTAGGCAATAGCGAAACAGAGACTCGTGAAGTACGTCTAGTCCCGCCCCTGTTATTGATACTGAAAAGCTCTGTATTTGTTATGGAGACATAAACCCAAAGTCTTCAAAGCAAAGGTCTTAAAAGCAAAAGTCTTTAAAGCAAAAATCTTTCGTTCGACACGTTCATCAAACTTAATCGTTATCGTACATTTTCTTTTGACTGTGAGAGGGAGGGCTAGGGCCTTTTATTAGAACACCTGTTTTTCTTCCTTGCATATATGCGATATATCAGAAAGAAAGAGGGCAATTTTTCAATTGTCTACTACCAACCAAGCTATTTCCCCTCTTAGTCTGTAATTTTCTTTTTTTTAATACCAGAGCCCCTGGGATGCTGTGAATTTACGCGAGGTTGTAAGCGTCCAACCAGTTCAACAAGGAACAAGCAGTTTTATTGCTGAAGAAGATGGCAGATGCACTCTCATGCTGCAAACATTACGCGATGATCATCCAGTTTATCTCGTTATTCCATCTGCTAGAGAAATGGTAATCAAAAGCTTCATTCTTTCGCACGATGCCTCGGTTCGCAGTCTTTGTAGCCATATCCAACTAAATATTTTGATAAAATTCGTGTTCACCATTTGTTGCTATTTTTATTCATTATAGAACTGTTAACAGTAGTTATACATTTTCTAATGCCTTGAAAAATAATTGCACCCAACGATTCACATAAATACTTTGTTAATACCAGGATAGACAGGTTATAAAAGACAGGTTATTTATACTCGGCGTTTATATCTAATTAGGAGTGAAATTTCCCTATGCATCGAAATTACATGGTGTAAATATTATTGTTTTGTGAAATTTCCATACTATTTCCAGGTTGAAGACAATAGGCTTAAGGTTTGCTTTAAGAATCTTATTCATTGTTTCAGAACTACCAATGTATTTCCAAACTACAGGGCACTTCAGATTCAGCCATGTTTTGCATTGAAACCCAGGCTTAGCTAATTTGGAATTTGATCAGTTTTAATTCCATGCTGCCTTTTCAAACCCGGAAAAATTTTGTCAAACATCACAAAACATGTACCAGTGCATAGATTGTAAATCTGTCAAGCAAATTGAGTGTGTTTTTATACATTCAATCATTGCAGTTATTGCATTATATCAATTTTGTCTTGCAGGAAGAATGGCGTTCCCAAATCATCAATCTTAATATTTGTGATCGTGAACTAGAAACAGATTTCGAAAACGTTGTCTCCAATTTGATGAGCGTTGATGGAGATTTAGGTACTCGTTTTAAGCAATTGTTCTATGACATTTTATCGTTCTAGTAGTATAGCTGCTACACTAATTTCATTATGTTGTATTAATTGAAGGTGTAAACAATCTGATTTTGCCATCTTTCTTAAAGCTGCACTTGCATCGACGACCTCCCTGCCGCATAAGCATTTCAACAGGTTGGACTGAACGCATTAATGTTCAGTCCAACCTGCAGAATTATCAATCATACTTTTGTCGTAGTTTCAAGAAAGTGTACAATCTTATGATAATCAGCCTCTTCCTTGTTACCCTGAAACTATTTCAATAATCCTTTCTGCTCAAAATTGCATCCGTTTGGCTAGCCTGCATGCAAACTCTAGGATTCACCTCCCAAGATTGACTGGATAGAACATAGGTGTTGCAGTGATTTATCACATTTTTCACAAGGCACATTTTTCATTGTGTGTAGTATCAAATTTTGGTGTTGGCTTTAAGATATTTACCGAAGAGGTTTTTGGACCTAAGATTTTTTTTTATTTCCTTTAGGTAGCAGATTCTGGCAAAATCCCTCGCTGATTCATTCCAAAGTCCTAATAAGGTGTCCATTGTCAACATTGCCATCACCTGAATTAAACAACGAAGCAATACGGCTATTCAAGGTATCTTATCATTACCGCATGCTTTATCCTGCCTATTTATGCATCATCCTGCCTATGCGTTATCCTGCATATGTATGGATTATCCTGCATATGTATGGATTATCCTGCCTATTTATGCATTATCCTGCCTATTTATGCGTTATCCTACCTATGTATACATTTTCCTGCCTCTATGTCTTTTACATCCTAATAAAGGAAGACGTGACAAGCATAAGAATAAGGGAAGTTCCCCTCATTTAAAGAATCTTTTAAAATCTTCTCAACTGCAGCTTCTATAACTCAAGCTCCCTATAGTGAAAGAGAAAATTTTTTACTATTTTGCTATTGTGTTTGTCATGCTCTATAGCTTTGGATGCGACTTTTTTGCTATCCGTGAAATAGGGGCCCCGTTTCAATGTTTTTCCTTTGGGCCCCAGATGCTTCCGTTACGCCACTGAATTTGGCGCTTAAAAGAAGACGGATCCACTCCAGCAACGCCACATAGTTTTAGAGTTGGTAGAGGTTGAAGTAGAATCATGCAGGTTTCTCTTACCGCCGGACGAGATAAGTTGTTGTATAGCTGTAGCCGGATAATGTTTGTGACTCTAGCGTGCATTCAACCGGCATTCTGTGTATAGATGAAGTGTCGCATCCTAGTGGTTTAAGTATAAGGAGAATATCTGTTAACAGGGGTGTTTGTAGATAATCAATGGCTCCAGTTTTATGTCTAGTGTTCAAGGTTTTTACATTTATGGCAGTGCTTTTTTATTTTAATGTGATCTCTTGTAGAGCCTTACATTATACTCAACTACACCGCTGAACGAAAAGGCCATTGATTATCACATATCGCTGGCGCAAGATACAATCCAGTCTTGCTTCAACCACCCAGAGCTGCAAACAGAAATTTATTGCCAGTTGATAAAGCAAACCACAAAACTTAAAGTCAAGAATGACAGCCGACAACTTATACAGGTAATTCCCCCAGAATCAAACATGAAATTTTTTTTATCGCAACCTCTGAAAGTAAACTTCTTGGTCAGGTATCATTGCTTCTTCCATTGAGTGTCTGTGTCAGCTTCTTACTTCAGTTATTTGTAGCAATCGAGATCTAAAAACACTCAGACGCACATGTTTAAGTACAGGATGTGTTGATGCTTCCAGAAGAAGCATGTGTAGCAAGAAGCTAGCATTCCTGCAACATTCACGGGCAAGAAAAGCATATTGTACACAGTCCCAAGATATGACTTGAGGGTTCTACTTTGGAACAAGAATATGTAGTTAATAATTACTTAGAGCCTTGTATTTCACTTTTTTGCGATTGGGCTTTGACATGCTGAGAATTAAATTCTCTTTGCATTTTAAGTTTTAACGGAACGGATTTTCTTTTTAGAGCTTTCTTTCTGGTCAGTCAGACTGGCTTTCTGATACTAGAGAGGATCAGACGATCGACTTGGGTCCTGTCCCCGAATTCACTTACGTGCAATGCTGGCATATAATGGCTTTATGCAGCAGCTTGTTTTTACCGAAGCTGAAGATCCTTTGGATGCTCAAAGCGCATTTGCAAAAATGTGCGAATCCAAGGTGCCCATTCCTTCATCTAGCATTTCCAAAAGACATGTCTTTCCATATGGATATCTGAATACTTCATTGGGTTATCCTACGCTTTTTAGAGGGCCTAAAGTAGAATCGGGATTTCGAACACGTGTTGCTTGATATCATATTTGCACTAGAGCGTACCCTCACTCTGTCACTTGCTAATTTTAAATAACCAATGGGATTATCATATCATGATTTGCTATGTCTTCAGGGTTCAATGCTGAGATAAAAGTCTTAAATTGAACATAAAATGTAGCCTTAAGAACAGAGTTGTAGTCTGGGAATCAGATTTTGTCATATGAGATATACCTACATAAAGGTGGCTGAACTAATCATGTATCTTATTTGTTTCAGCTCTGAAACGGGGCGTTATGCTTTGTACTGTATGAGGAGCCTCGAAAGAACCGTTGCTGAAGGTGAAAGAGAAGCTAGACCCTCAAGGCCTGAGGTACGTTCTTACGGCATGCCAAAGTTATCGTCTCTACAGTCCCGTGCTGACTTTCCATGTGGTAATTTGCTAAGCATGTGACTTTCGTTTCCACTGCAAACAATTCAATTGAAGATTCACATTATTAAGTTGGAGAACCTTATCATTGAGACCTGTTATGATCAAGATTCATTCTGGATCATGTGTGCATAATTCAGGCATTTGATAGCTAACCCTTTAGCTTCACTTGTAGTCAGACTCTCCTGGGAAACTATCAAACTTTTGAAGGATGAATTTTTATTTTAATTCACCATCATTAAGAAGTACTGAGAACCCTTGAAGCCAAGTTTTTATTTTGAGTAACCTAGCTGTTTAACCGGATTATCTTAATCGAAATTCTTGAAGATTGACAGATCAATCAACATCTATTGCTGTACCTATATCTGCTGCTTACATTTTGTTTGAACAAAGAAACATCCTGTTATAACCCATCCTATTTTAATTTCTTAGTGTGCTATCTTAAAAGGCTCTTGTGCAACCGGCATGCTTAGCGATAGCTGTCTTTTTACGCGAGTAGAAGTTGACTGTGTTTTGTATTTTCATGCTGTATGATATTAGGCCGGTTTTGAAAATATATTCGCAAGGCATGCCGGTTACCCAAGAGCCTTTAAGTGTGCTACTTCATATAATGTGAACGGAGAATAAAACTGATGATCAATGATTCGCTCATAGGAAAGCCCCTTCCAAGTCACACTGTAATTTGCAGAATCTACAAAAAGTTCTTCTTTATTTGTCTTTTACCAGCCATCTATAACTTTGTTTCTGTCTTTACTTATATCAATACCAGTCGCTGATCGTATCCTGCTCAATAAAGTGAATACTAATTTTAATTTTTCACCACCTTAGGTCCTGTCAATCATTCTCCGCAACCCATATTACCTTCCTTACCCCATGAGCATTCCAGTTTACTTCGTGAACCACGCCTACCAGGTAAGGAAACCTTTTTTTCATATTTGCATTGATTTCTCTGCATTTAAAAGCCATCTTAGTGCTTAGGCTTAAAAGATTGTATTGTCGTTGTAATCTGAGTAGGCAGCTTACATTCCTTGACATTCGCTTGTGTATTCTCACTAGCAGGGGCGTAGTTAGCGAGGGTTGTAGAGGTGTGACGACCCCTATTTCTTCAAGAATTTGTCGGTTAATCTTAAGGTTGGCCAAAATCCTTAGTTTGTTGGTAAAATTGCCTAACGGTAGACCATTGAAGAAACATTTTATCCTTCCATTTCTAAGAAAGCGATATTACATTTTACCGAATCTAGCAGTGACCCTCAGCCTGATTTCACCTTGGTAAGCTAAGCTATTAACTCTTATAGTCCCAGGCCTCTAAAAACACGTGTGAACCTGCGTATGATGCGAAAACTACTATTGGCCGGTACGTTACATAATACTCGATCCTGCATGGGTAGAGCTATACATTCGTTGGCTTGATGAATTAGGCAGTTCTAAGTTTCTTGTTGACTGCGTGTCAGTTACATGTTAGTTGCAATTAAAATAAAACTCAGGAAAATAGCCGATAATAATCCTGTTCTTTTTAGCTACTACGCAGTTAATCTGAATTTAATTTCTATTAACTGTCCCTCTCGTGATAGCTCCCTGTTTGGTTGACTCTTTGGCGTTTTTTCGGCATGACTCCGTTGATTTCAGCCCATGTTATCACTGCTTACTGCCTCTGATTCACAGGTGTTTACTTTCGATGGGTCAACGACTGTGGCCGAGTTTTGCGAGAAGATCAATATGGTATGTTTTGCACCTTTATCTCTATTCCCACCTTGATATCTTTTTATTTTGTATGCAAAAGACTGCGCATAAATCTTTCAAGTTGTATTTGACATGTTCACAAAGTGGCATTTGCCTTAAATCTCAGTGGCTTCTGATATAAGAGACATCTTATATAGTAACATTTTGTGAATTCAGTAACGTTGATTTGAAGTTCTGTAGGGCACTGATGTTTTCTATAATATGTTAACCTCCACTGCACGTTAAAAAGCTGTAAATCTAAAGGCAAGATACCATAGATTGCAAGAGTAGTCTTGTGTGTTTATTTTATAGGCCGTGCCAGTAAGTTACAGATAAATAAAGACAAAAGCTAATGATAATATCTTCCTTTCTTCTTGGCTTCCGGTTCTAGTAGCATTGCTTACTGCAGACATCATTTGTTTATATCTTTTCAAGGAAATCGGTATCCGTGAGTGCTCTGAAAGCGGCTATGCTCTCTTCAGCGATAATCCAATTGCTTCGGTAGAGCACTGCCTTCAATCGGAACTCAAGGTAAAATTATCGGAAATTTTCTCTTGTTGACAAACCTGACTTGATTGTATAAGTACTTGCCAAACTAGAAAAAACACAGTGCTACAAGTACTTGAATTAAGTACTTGAAAAGTTTATTCAATTGCAATAAATATCTGTTGATGTTTGTTGATGTTTGAAACCCAATTTATATCTGTAAATACCTTTGATTTAGTATCTTTGATTTTCATCAATTATCTTAATACTGTCCTGCTTGGGCTCAACTACCCACATTTGCCTCATGCGACTGTAACTTAATCAATTTTACAATTGAAGATTCATATATATTGTAATACGTTCTTTTGAATTTCCAATAGCTTTGTGACGTCATTTCGAAATGGGAGCAGGCACTGAAATGTCTGGGACAAGGCAAGGTTGAGCGGCAACGTGTTATAAAATTGACGTACAAAAATAGGTAATTCCTTGCTAAGAGACCCATTGGTAGAATTTTATTAAGCGATTCTATCATGACTCATGAAATTTTGAAATTAAAAATATTTATACATGCACACAAGTTTGTTTGCTTTTAATCAATTTTGTTACTTTCTTGATAATAAAGTGCACCGCACTGCAATCCACTGCGGCTCTTCTAAGCTTGTTGTGCTAATAAGTTTTAAAGATGGTGATGGTTGGTTCAACACCACAAATTGGTATTTTATCAAATCTAATTGCATTCTATCTGTTAATCCTACTTAGTTCGTTACGCACCTTTAAGAGTTGAACTTTGTACCTTTCGGTAAGATATGACATTCCCCATTTTAATTTCTAATAACTTCCCTAATTTGATATTGTGCAACGAAATATATATGTGATCTCATTTTTTATTAGCCAGTGTGATAGTTCTTTATCGCTCAGTTAGTGTTACTTGCTTTACAGGCTGTATTGCAAAAGCACGGCGAGACTGGAGACAACGAAAGAACGCTTTTTGCTTGCATATCAGGTAAACAATATTGCTATATTATTAAGAATGCGCGAAAAATATTTTTTATATCGATTAGTATTTTTTACTGCAAACCAAAGAAATATTTGGATATTATTTACATGATATTTATATTATTAAAGACTTGTGAGTGGTTTAATAATAATTATTGTGCTGATATCTTCTGTTGTAAAATCCCTGGAGACAGACTGGCGTAGCAGGAGGGGAGATTGGGAGAAGTGATCGAGCATTTCAAATTTAGGCCATAGTAACTTTGACGAGCAAACCCGGATATGCTGTTCCAAAGGAAAGGAATTCTAGGAGAAAAGGAAGGGGAGGTCAACCAATGAAGCTGTAGAAAGCAGAACAGAAAATTTGTTGATTGGACCTAGATATCATAATTATTTGATTTACTACCAACGGCTCATCTGCAATTTGAGGATTATTTTGAAATTATTGTAAGGCACACATTTTATTTTTCGGTAATGTGGAGGCTCCACAAGGCTCGGCCATAATAAGTCTTGTTTTCTCTGAATTTGTTTATATCCTTTTCCGTAGGCCAATGAAAGCATCTTAGCTGGGCATCTACAGCCAGCTCCAGAAACTGCATATCAGTTAGCTGCTCTTCTTGCTCAGGTAATAAGAACATTTATTCGATTCCAACAATCAATTTACAGCTTAGACTTAACAAAGTTACCTGTACTGGATCAGATAGATAGAAACATCAGAAGGCCATTACCATGTATGAAGGCTATATCAACTTAAATCGTCTATGGCAAGCACTCTTTAATAAAGGACTTTCTTCGTGGATGTCTAGAATCAGAATTTCGCATGTTGTTTTAGGCAAATTATTCACAGTGATCTTTCTATTGGCCTGATTCATACGGGAAAACTGTCGTAGATGAAATATTTATAATCAACAAGCAGAATGATGACTTCAAGATAGACATTCATAATGGCATCTTTCGCATGCAAATTTTGACTAATTGTTGTCTCTTTCGCATGCAAATTTTGACTAATTGTTGTCTCTTTCGCATGCAAATTTTGACTAATTGTTGTCTCTTTCGCATGCAAATTTTGACTAATTGTTGTCTCTTTCGCATGCAAATTTTGACTAATTGTTGTCTCTTTCGCATGCAAATTTTGACTAATTGTTGTCTCTTTCGCATGCAAATTTTGACTAATTGCTGTCTCTTTCGCATGCAAATTTTGACTAATTGCTGTCTCTTTCGCATGCAAATTTTGACTAATTGCTGTCTCTTTCGCATGCAAATTTTGACCAATGAAAATCTCTTTCTCAAGACCTTCACTTCACGACTATCCAACCCTGTCACAAAATGTAATGTACGCAGCTGTGATTTCCAGACGATTTCTGCTAGTTTCAACTTCAAATCTCCGTTGATTTTACTCTATACGTATTATAATTTTTAATTGTTTGCCCATGGATAGATTGAGTTTGGTGGTTACAGAGATAATTTCAAGAAACTAAATGAAGTCATCAGCAGATTTGTCCCCGATTATCATCGTGGCTGGACAAAGCTCGGCGATGCTGGAGGCTCCAAGAGGTTAGAACAACTTTGTCTATGCTACGTTGGTTTTTGTATGAACTTTCTTTAGAGCCTGCAGTTTGCGTGTTTAGATGCTAGAATGTGTAAGAGCGTAACTTGGTATGGTAACGATAGCTATTAGACACCGCTGCTATTTCACTTATCAATACGAGAAGCTGCAAAAATTTCTTTATTACTCGTAGAAATGCAATGCCCCATAGATCTCTGGCATGAGTGCACGTCTGTCCTTCCTTAGGAGTGCACACACTTTTACTTTGCTCAAAATGGCTCTGCGATTCGATTAGGTATTCTGTTTATGGTGAAACCTGGCACAACATCTATGAATGAATTGTTTTATTGTTCATTAGAAAGATGTACAAGAGCATTTCAGACTCATGGTCAGACCTCCGTGGAAAGAGTATCGATGATTGTGTTAATAGCTACCTAGGAATTGTTCGCAGTTTCCACCTGTTCGGTTCCAAGCTCTTTGAAGCTAAGGTAACTACCAGAATTCCCCTTAATGATGCTTTATAAACCTTTTTCTGTCAATTTAAGCATTACTCTTTACCGTTTAGTTCTAGTTTTTGTTTAAGTAGTTCCTAAGACTTTGAACTATAGACGTAGGTAAAATGACACCTCTGTCCACAAATTAATTACTTTTTGTAGGTACGTTATTTTCAAATCGTTTGTAAAAAGTTTGCATCTACAAAAATGTTAATGCAGTTGCTACTGTGTTGGCTAAATCTTTGACTTTTATCTAGTTTTTACACTCTTTAATCAAAATGAGACAGGCACCATTGGAGCTGTTTTGATCTTGTTTTATGTAGTATCTTATTTCTTTTGACTCTGTAAATAATTTCATCGTTTTTATTTCTTCAAGGAACGACTTTTTTCTGTCAAACGCGAAGAGCAGCGCCCTGTGATAATTGCAGTCGAAGAAGAGAAAATTGCCATACTTGACTCCTCCACACGGGTATGTTTCCACGGCGTTAAAACTAAAAAATTATTTTTCTTTTAAAATCAAAAACTAATTGAGCCAGCAGATATTTGCGTAATTGGACACGGTATACTCGAGAACTTGATCGGATCCAATAGTTTCTGGATTGTTTTGGATCAGACCCCATCTTTGGATCAGATCAGACCTGTTTGCGTTTACACAAGATCATACCCAGTTAAAAATCCCCAAAACTGTGCGCATTGGTCGGCAAAGATGACAATCAATGTTAAAAGATCTGATGTAAGCCAAACCCAACCTTTAACACTGGAAGTATTGGCTCTTTACTTTTTCTTTTGCTACACACTGATAGTAGTCCATTTTTGTGTTTTTACTTCTTGGCCATTAGACTAAATTTTAATCTCCGCCATATTGTTGATCGTTTCCAGATGGTTATAAGGGCATACAATTACACTTCGGTTATCACATTCGGTGGCTACAAAGACGATTTCATGCTTGTCATTCAAGATGACGTCATCAGCTGTAGCGGAAAAACTGATCGGCATCTTTTTGCAATGTCAAAGGGAAAGGTACCATACTTTATAAAGCCTCCATTTTATGTTGTCGTTGTGAAAGTTATTTTCTTGTTATGTTGGGCTACATGAAACAATAATATATGAAACAGAAATATGAAGATGAATTTTATTTACAAAATGAGTCGAGGGCTTATTAATTTTATAATGAGCTCATTGTTCTAACATTTTTCAGTGCTACTGTTTTGGCCCCGTTGCGTTACATTTAATCACAAAACGCTACAGCCTCAAAAAACGTTACAGATTGACACTTTCTTGCATTTTGCTATGTAAACTTTCCATTTTGGTTTTTAATTTTAACTCTAGGGCTTATGTCAAAAAATTTTAACATAAACATGTGTACTGTGATTTTAGGCCATAAAAATATTTCTGATTGAACGTAATTTGATCGTTTACATTTCGAAATTTTGGATGTTTATCACAATTGGTATGAGGAACGGGCCCGTTCGCACTATGCTCTGACATAAGTTCGTCAAAGTTGATAATCTCACAGTAATTAAAGGAGCATTTTCAAATCTAAAAAACTTTGTAAGATTTTCGTTCGCACTGACAACTACAGTGTTATGAATTATATAACATCACGCTGTCATTCGCGACATTTGATGGAAGGCAGTCTACAAGCTTTTACATTTCTATTCTGTTGTGACTCTGATTGCTCATTAATGTTAGAATGGATGAGGAAAACTTTTTACATTTAGGCTGACACTTGTTCCACTTGCTTCTATCCCAAATGTAGTTTCAGTTATTTATCAGCAACAAAGTAATCTTATTTTGGCTTTAACATCGTACAAGCAGTAACAAAACACACTAGTTTATCGAAGACACACAACTACAAAATCAAGCAGACCCGAAGTCTTTTGGAGCTTCCCTCAGCCTGAAGCATCCTTCTTTTAGAGCACACTTTATACGATGAGCGAATATCTGATTTGGAGTTCAAGAAAGCTTGAGGATTGAACGGAACACATTTTGGATCATTCCAAACATTGTGCCAAAATTATTAGTTTTTTTTCCAGAAAAACAGGCGATTGTTTTGTTTCATCTTTTCTTGAATATTGAGTACACAAGCACAGAATTGCAAGTCCGACAGAAATGATGGCGTTTATTTCCCGTTTCATGCTGGTTAATCCTTGATTTTCATAAAAAAGTGCTGCTTCGGGGCTCTACGACGGAACCTTTGAGGGATAAGTGAAAATCGGGTTTTCTGGTGAAAAACATATTTTACCGTTCGCACTGTACCAATTATACAGTTTCCTAAAAATCAAATGCCGCCTTTGAAGATAAAACAATAGGGATTAACTTTGAAAGGTTTTGACTCTGTAGTGCGAACGGGCCCGTAGATTTTTCGGTAATATGGTTCACACAAGCGAATTTCCAAGGTGTTATTTCAATACAATGATCGCTTGTCCAATAACGGCTATAATTTTGTCAAATGCATGTCAATGTGTCTTTTAGGGACATGCGACTTCTGATAAGTTAAATATACGCATAGGAAAAAATGGATACCTACCTTTCATTTTACGTGACTTCGACATAGCCGAGGTATCTGTAGTTAGGGACACCCTTTGTAATAGCAATAAATGATGTTAATTATATTGTATGATTACGCATTTTCCAATTTTTTTATCGGTAATTTGACTTTTGCAGGTTCTTGAAGTAACTTTTCTTATCGCAAGTTACATAAATTCTGTGGTGACGAAAAAAGGACTAAACCTTGAACTACGAAAAGACAAACCTCGTTCTGAGAGCAACCTGTTAGGAAAAAGAGGCTCTGTACAACTTTGGGACATGGAGAGTTTCGGATGAAGCTAATAGCTTTGTAAATAAGTTAAAGATTAAACTTCGAATATATGATTAATTTGTAGAGTTTGTTCATAGGAGAATAATGCTGTTCTTATGATCCCGATTTTCAATGACGACTTATGTTGAAATACGGCGACTTATGTTGAAATAAGGGGAATAACAATATGGTAATCTATATCTTTATTGTGGATATCTCAGGAAGAAGCCTAGTTATGTCAAAATTTTCATGGTTATGCAAATAGAGTATATAGTTGAGGGGACATATTGCCCTCCAGCTGACTAACATTCCGTTGATACCATACTTGTTCACAAACTTGAGAAGAAGCGAGATATCATATTGTAAATAGATAGTAGATTCCAATGCTTGCCTGAGTATGGCGCTGGTATGGTAGTTGCTTAGCTAACTACGAATACCTAGATATCTCAAAGTACGCAAGGGCCGGAGTGCTTTGCAAGATACAAGTGATAGGGCTTTTTGATGTATAGGCTAAATGCTTCAAATTCAAAGAAGAACATTTTTGTATTTATTATTTGGAAGCACGTATTTTGCCTGCATGACTGCCCCCAACTCTTCCCTGCCCCCACATCACTTTACACGCAAAGGAATGCTTTAAATCACAGTACAGTAGATCATTCCTTGTAATATTGATCAAATTACACAGCTGTAGTGAAAAAGGTCTTTCTTTTTAATTTTCATTTAAAAAAACTTGACAGTTGAAACCTCCTTGGTAGATATTCGCCCACTTTGAGACACGCCATCGTCGTTTTGTGACGATTTCAGGTTGATTATTTAAATCCCAGTCGACATGTTATATGATTTTTGCCACTTTGTCAAAGTGAGGCGGAATATTGCTGTGAGTTTTATAAGTAGTTGCTTGCAACAACATCCGTTTTTTAAAGGCTTATGTCCAGAGAACTTTTTGTAGCAGCAAAGTGAATAGTTTATTGCCTTGATTCGTTTCAATTGCTGTATCGTCTAGTGTAAAAGGTTTTTACGCATAGTTAACGGTATTCTTGTATGTAAGTTAGAAGCATTCTTAGATCTTTTGTGAAATTATTTTTGTAAAGTATGACCAGGTGAACAAATAATTTGTTTCTTAAAGATTAATTGAAAATCACTAGAAAGGTTCTAGAAAGAATTTGAGTGTTTTTATTGTTTATCTTCTACTTTAAGATATTGTGTTTATTGTCTTTTTGATTAAAAGACTTGCTAATATTTTAGAGCAATGAATAACTGTTTCAATCTGTGCTTCATGTAATTATGGTGCTGTTCAAGGACTCCGTCTCATTTCCAATTAAAGGGATTAGGCCTTACATATGCAATAGCCTTCCACTAGGGAACAGGATTGAAAAGAAACGGATCTCTCTCTTTCTCTTACTTAATTAGGATGCTGTTGAAGACAGTCATGAATTCGTCGAAGTAAGTAAATTTTCTTCGTACACAAAAATTCATTTATTTGTTGCAAAAAAAACTAAAAGGAAATCCAATACAGGGTTGTGGTTTTTTAGAGAGTTTAAAAATGCTAATAGTTGTTTATCCGAAAATAATTCAAATTTTTTAAGCTAGTGATTTCTTAATAATCACGATTTATTGTTTATCATTTCTGAAGCGATTTAAGCCATAATCAGCAATTTTGAAGAAATTTCATGATAATATGAAGATTAAAGGTAGTTCCCCTGATGATAAAGTACGTTTGGCCACGCGAGGTTTTTGTTATTATTGTGCGGTCACGATGGTATCCAGGAATAAAAACTTCGTAATGTAGTCACTGAGCGAATTTAAAGCATGTTCCCTTTTGGAAGGGATCATAATCACTTCGTAATGCTTGGTCAAAAATTCAACTCATGACGTAATTTTGCCAGTCACACTAAACAACATTCATTTTGAAAGTCTTTGTTGTTTATATCGTTCTTTCATTAACAAGATTTTAAAGTACCGAACTTTGGCAGAGTGTTAAATTGGCCATGCTTCTAGGCTACAAAATACCTATATATACAAGGGCTATGGGACACAGCTTCATTCGAACGAAGCACAAGATCTCAACAAAGCTTGAATCCAGGTACGTTTATTCTGCATTCCTTGATGTCTTATAAACTAAGAAATTTTGGTTACTGCAAATTGTCAGAATTTGTTTCTAGCTAGCGTTCAGCTGGCCTAGTTCAAATGAAATACTTTTTCTTAAGAGATAGTTTGTCTAGATTTCTTACTTTGAATACTTCCTTCTTTGAAATGTTTTGTGGTAGAAATGAAATGTTTTCTTTTTACCATAGTATGTTACCATGCTGAGCACAAAACCTTATGATAGTAAAATTTTCGCAAAATTGTTTCTCTTTACAAGCTAATAAACTCGAGCGTATCGCAAGTTAAATGCTAGTTTAGCATGGATCCTTTAATCAGACAGGTTTGATAGGATTTGATTTTTTCGTTATCAAGCTAAAACATACTTTATTTTATCATTCTGTCATCGCAGTTGTAGAATTTTCTTTTCAAAAATGCTCTGTTTTCCATCTAGCCAATCTAAAGATCAAACCAATCATGAAGTTAGTGGTGGTTGCCCTCCTATGCGCATTTTCAGTGGCACTTGCTTTTCCAAAACAAGAAGGTATAACTAACGACTTTAAAATTGAGTGTCACGTTCTAAAAATTAATTTGTTTAGATTAGAATTTGTATAAACTCGTCACATACTTCAGAAGGTGGATTAATCAAAACTAAGAGTATGACTCGCAAGTTTTTTTCTGTGAGAGCTATGTTCAAAAAAATGTTTAAGTTGACAAAAATGTAAAATGTTTTATACCAGAGTTTCAAAATTCGAGAAATTGCTTCGGCATGTTATTACGAAAGTTGACCTATCAGAATACAACGCGGTGGAACATTTGAATTGGCATGGAACCAACATTTATCTATCATTGAGGCAGTTTGTGTAAAATTGCACTTGGGTCTAGAGAGAGAGTTGCAAATGTAGAAATCTTAATCTTTTCACTATAACCATGCAAATGTTTTGTTAATTCTGACTCTCTGATATCATTTTCTATTTGTGTTTAGACGAGTTTCCAGAAGAAGACCCGTCCCCGATTAAAGGAGGTGCGTTTTCTCAAAGTTGTTTTGTTTTTGATTGCGCTATAATCTTTTTTTCGTTTGTACTCTTTCCTCTACACACTTTCAACATATTTCAAAGACGCCTTTGGCTATACTGTCTCTTGCACTAGTTTTTATGAGAAAAGCAAACCTGCATTGGTGAGATAACAACCTACTTGTTAATGTTAATGTAATAACAAAGAAATTAACTTGCGACATATTAATGATTCCCTTTCTTTACAATCTACAATATTGAAAGAGTCTCTTTCTGTGCAGTACCATACTACCCAAAAGGACATATTGGCAAAAAAGGCGTACCTGTAACAATCAATGGCATCATGAGAGTGAAAGGAGGCTGCGGTTTATACGGTCATAAGGGTTTGTGCAAGGGCTATGGAGGTCTGAAGGGAAGACTTATGCTGCTTCGAATGCACGGAGTCATGGTTCCCCTTGGCTACGGATATGGCCACGGCATTGGGCTAGGACACGGCCTCGGTTTGGGACTGGGTCTTGGCAAAGGTGTTGGACTAGGAGGCCTTGGAGGGCTTGGGCTAGGGAAAGGCTTTGGCTATAGAGGTCACTTGCACCACAAAGGCAAGAAGTAACCGGCTGGCAAACTTTTTGTTATGAACTACGATTTAAAGCTGACACAAAAGACAGATAGTTCTTTGTATATTTGAGTAACCAGAATGCAGAATTGTTTGCAATCAATTTAAAGTGTGTTTTCATTTCTAAAAATATGTTACAATAACCTTGTTGTTTTTACTCTGTGAGAACTTTCCTTCAATGTCATCACCCTCAAGTTGCTCATGTCATTGAGATTTTCACCACGAAAAGACAAATAAATCAACTTATTAGAAATTAGAAAAATTATTTTCGCAAGATAAGGCAAAAATGGTTAATCATACACTTAAAGACATCCGAAGATACCGTACTTACAAATAAAGATAAAGCTCAGGAAAACCACTTGTCTTCAAAATGTTTTAGGTCAAAGTGATGATTTCTTTGACTCTATTGAAGAACCAAGGTTGCGATGCTGCCTCCTTGCTGGAACTTCCTTCTGGTCTCAAATTATCTCTATTGGATCTTAAAGGCATGGGAATATTCCATAAAACTCCATTAACCCACCTGAACACAACATTTTGATAGCTTTTTATAAAGGATTTTGGATAGAAAATATCTTCTTTAACTTTTAAATCAGCACTAGCAAATTTTGACTGGAAATAATACTATCTGCTTTCTCTATGTTTTAAGAGAATGACATTTCGTTAAGCCTTTCGGTTCTGTCGTCCTATTCCAAAAGGCCAATAGACGAGGAAGCCAGAAAATAATGGCCAAAAGTCTTGGAAAGACAAGAAATGGTGCTTTATTTACACCTACTACATGCATGTTTGAAAGTTGGCTACTTTTTCGTGCATTAGATTTGCTTACACGTTTATAGCAGCGTCAACAAAAGCAACAAGAACATTCATTTGATATAGCCTTCCAGACAGAATGTTATATGAATTTTATTTGTAATCACGATAGTAAATGCTAAGGATCTGCTATCACCAAAAAGGATAGTTTTGCCCACTTTGGGCGAGAGGGGGCTTTTCCCCTCAGGCATCCTTGATCATGAACCGCTTCTTAAGCGGCCGCTTCCTAAGTGATCATGAACCTCTTCTTAAGCGGCCAGATCTCAGCCAATTTATTGATCTCAACATCAAATTGATTTAGAGCATTTAGAGGTTTTCTATGATGCACTTTCAGACCATGTGATTCAAATTCAAAAATGCTAAAATAGGTCTCTGTGACGTCATTACTTTAGAACATCGAAGGGAGGCTGACTACGCTCGAGGCTACTGCAACGACAACAACTGTTGTCAAAAATGTCTGACCGAGCATGGTTGTTTTCATAAATCAGGAATATTATTGAATTAGTTTGACCATTTAACGAAATTCTGATCAACTGCGACATGAAGCTAAAGGAACTTGAAGGTTGGTTGCAGCAGCTAGATAGTTTTGAGTCTCCAAAGGTTGCCTTAGAGCAGTATGCGACCACTGCACACATCGCAGCGCATATGTTATTTACGATTGATAGGACATTCGGTGACATAAACCAAAAAGTAGTTGCAGATTTTGGTTGTGGATGCGGAGTGTTATCCATAGGAGCTGCAATGCTTGGAGCTCAGGTTTTATCATTTGATATTGACTCGGATGCTCTAGATATTGCACAATGCAATGCCGAGGAGTTTGAAGTTCATCCTTCAATCGACTTCATAAAATCGGACCTGTCAACAGATGTCCTGTCAATCAGCGATGCTTCCAAAGGCATTTTAGTAGATACTGTCATCATGAACCCGCCATTTGGGACTAAGAATAATGAAGGTATAAATCATTTTTTCACACTATCTATTTCAGTAGTTCAGTTCAGTTTATATTTTAAAATTCACTACACATACATTATATCATAAAATAACTATAAAATACCCACAAAAGATCATACTACAAAAATATTAGGCAACATTACAGAAATTATTAATAACACAATTGAATAGATAATTTGAATGGAGAGAATTTCTTAAAGGAGCAAAGTCTCTCAGCAGCTATACTAATCAAGGAGAGAGCACCCCCTATTTAAAGGTGTCTCATTTGTATTTGACTTCTATCTTCATATCATGACTGAGAAACTTATCTCTGATCAGTTCTGTTAATTGAAATCTAAGAGGAAGGATTTGAGCTTTCGAAAAAACACAACACGAGATGGTGACTTTTTTATACACACAGAAATGTCATTCCAGAATTTAGCTGCACAGTAACACACTTTTGTAGATCAGTACTTGGTAGATCATTTTTAGCGTGAATGGGGTATTGTAGGATGCAAAAAGCTGCTGATATAGTATTTTATAACTATCCTTTTATTTTTCTTTGTTTACGGCACAATAACAATAGCATTGTCTTGATTTGCTGATTTCAAGAAAATAAATTTGATAAAATTGTGAATCTAGATTCTGCATACATTTTGGGGTTGAAGTTCATTGCCTATTTTGAAACTATTACCAAAATATTGCATTTCAGCCTGCATCATTAGCATAGATATAGAGGCAACATTTCTTAAAGAAAGCAACTTTTGATAAATTTTGTATCTCAGAATGCTTTTAAGAGTGCTCAAAGGTCCAAATCTTAATGTCATATCACTGAAGAAGGTGTAACTGTAAACAATGTAAACACAACTAATTTCAATATTCTTCCTTTGAAGGTATTGACATGAAGTTCCTGAAAAATGCTTTGATGTTGGCCTCAAATACGGTTTATTCACTACATAAAACTTCAACAAGGGAATTTGTTCTGAAAAAAGCCAAAGAGTGGAACTCAGAAGCAACAGTACTAGCAGAGCTGAGATATGATCTCCCAAGGACATACAAGTTCCATAAAAAGCAGAGTCTTGACATTCATGTAGACTTCATACGGTTCAGTAAAATTCCAACATGACGCTGAACATATTACTTGCAAGGTTGATTAATCATTCACAATTTGGTAATGCATATAGGTGCATTGTTCTAGGCAGAGGCAGCACCATATACCTTTTCCACAAACTGTATTCTTATCCCCAGAAGTCTAGATAACCTCACCAGATGGATAGTAACAAAGTTATTAGGAATTTCAGCTTTTCTTTAAGTGTGAAAACTGGAAACCTTTAGCAAACCCTACATATAGCATTGTAAATTTCTGATCCTTTTTATTCAGCCTAGCAAAATCTTTCCAGTGTCTGCAGTTCTCTGTTTAAAAGGCCAGCAGTTCTTTGCTTAAACAAATTTACTCTTGTTCAAAAAGTTTTTTATATTGCAGCCAAACTTCTCATTCTTCACCAAAAAGATTCTTTATATAGTAGGGCCTTTCACAAAATTCCTCATTTGCTCCACACCTTTTATTTGGGTTGGGCATGATCCCTAGACCTCAACCACCCTTTTGTCTGTCTATGATTGATCACTGCAAAAACCCTGCTCATACAGATGCACTTTCCATACTCCACATTTCACCGGCATTAAAAAATGTGTCTGTAAGCACATTGTATTGGATCCTCCATGCAGTTTCCTTTAGTAACTTGTGACATCAGCATTTCCTTATAGGTTTTCAGATGTTTTGCCCCCACAAACATTTTGCTAAGTCTGTCTCCATTGTTTGGGCAAATAATTCTGTTTTTCATTGTTTTAGTGTCAATGCAAAACAGGAAGCAAAACTAGATATAAATGTATGCATGGTAATATGAACACTAGGAACTGGGCCTAACTTTTAGGGACTTTGGAAACAAAAGATAAATAATGTGATTAACACGGAAAGATTGCATTGATTTTAAGGCAAAAGCTATTTTACAAATCAGCCCCCATCTAAAGGCAATCCTTACCTTGTTTAGAGAGCAATACAATAAAGCAGAACCAGATTTATCTAGCATTAGCCAGAAAATTGCAGTCCTTTCATGGTAAAGCAACATCATTGCTACAAGCATTTTATTTACATGTCTTTTTGACCAGCTCTCCAAACTCCTCAAAGGCCTTCTACACAAGAAAAATCAAGTTGGGCTGGGTTTTACCCACTGTTGAGATCTAATCAGATTTTCAAAAATATTTCATTCATAAGATTTTAAACCCAGCATGTGTTTATTTTTTATCTTTGCTTAATGCCAGTTCTTCAACTTTCCCATGGTTTGGAAAATCTTCTGGTTCACTTGGCAATGGTGTTTTTAGGTGAGAGGTTGGGAATTCTTCATGCCATTTTCTGATTTCAATGTGGACATTCATTACTAAATTTGTCTTTTATCATCCTTTAACACTGCAATCTTGAGGGCTTGCAGCACTACATGTTATAAAAAATCTTAATGTGAGTGTTGGCAATGAAACTATAAAATGAGTGCGAAAATTTGTATGAATTCTTCAACAAATAACTTGCCCAAGGTAAATTTACCTTGTTACAATGTCTGTTTTCTTCAGTTTTAGCAAATGGTTATTAGTAACTGTAGCTACAAAGACAAAAGCAAGTGAGAATAAACAGATGCAATAACAATTACTGTCAAACACAAAATTTAGCAAACTATTATTTGCAAACCATCTACAATCCAATTCTATAATGAAAAATAGGTAATAATTTGAGTATAATTTTTCAATTCAAGTGATTTACTGCCTTTGTCAAAACATTTCTAAGAATTACTACAAAAAATTAGTTAGTTAAAGCAAAGTATACTAGAAATTGGCTGGCTTTATTCAGAACGATTCGTTTGCATTGATAAATATAGAAATAATAAAGTTTAAAGAAAATTTTAAAGAGGTTTAATTTTTCTGATTATTTGGAATTTTGCAGTTTGAAAAGGGCTAAATCATAAAACAGTCGTTCTAAACTAAAATTATAGGCTTTTCTTTTGGTATGCCAATATAAAGACATAATACTATTTCAATTATGTATTCGCATGTATCTAAACAGCAATATTTTGGTATGATTATAAAGCCTGTTACAGTATTCCTACTTTCTTGGTTACTACATAAATCATAGAATTCTAATCCTGCATTTTTAACCTTCCGTGGTTACAGTATTACTTCAAAAGACTCTTGGGGTGTTCTATATTTTTTTAAGCTTTTGTAGGAGGTTAATTCGAGGGACGTTTAACGGAAGGAGGCTTTTTTGGTACTTTCATTTTAATGAGCTTTTGAAAAAAAACGTTTCCTACAGTTTCCGAAAAATTTCTTGTTTACAATAAACTGAAATAAATAGAGCTTGATAATAACACTTTCCAAGAAATTTACTGTTTTCTGTATACATTCGGATCATATAAGAGGGGCATTCGGGTCGTTAAAAGAGGGGGAACCAAGAAATGCCATATCTTGACATTATAGTAGTGAGGTTCAGGAGAGGAAGAGCTTTTGTTGAAAAGACCAATAAAGTGATGATAATATTGATAACACTAGCTATAACTAAACCTCTGCAATGAAAAAATATAACAAGGATTTGAATTTTTTTAATAAATGAAGGTATGTCAACAAAGTGAAACGAGATTCACAACTACAAGCACAATCTGTGGCTCCATAATTGCTAACGATTGAAGAATAAGGCCTGTGTGCATAGTGGTCTGTGATTTCAATGTCATATAAATAGTTTTTTAAATATATTGGGATGTGTTGTGATCTTCAAACGGAGCGAAATTTCGCAGTGATTAGAACAAGCGTATCACTGGCATTTACTTGAATGGTCACAAATCCAGTTTCTAAAATACTTAAATAAAGCAAATTACAACAACAACTAAATGAATAAAAATAAAGTGCACATTCTCTACAATAATTTCAAAACCAAACATAACGTCACGTATTTAGTAACTATAAATGGGACAAAACTTGTATGACGCGTAAAATGACTGACAAACGATCAAAGAATAATCTAATTTTGGAGTTATAATGAATACGTCCCGTTTTGATCAAATACAACGTTATAGAAACGGCAATAAGAAACGGTTAGCACATAGGCAGAAATTAATCCCTTCCAGGGTTAGAGGATCAACCTTTGTTCTACTTAGACCTGCCAAGTAACTAAAACAACTATCCACTAGGAAGGTTTTCCACTCAATTGCCAAGATTTTTCTTTTCCAGGAATTCATTATTTTCTTTCATTGCTTCTTTAGGTTTAGAAATGATCACCAAAGGTAGCGTTCAGAATTTACATCAACGTTGACGGGGGAGGGGGGAGAGGAGGGTCGCCTAAATGTGACAATAGTTGACCGGATTGAAGGAAAGTGGCCAGCACTGTCAAGAGTTGACATCAATTTCAGTACAAAATCTAAAAATAATATTCATGTTCAGGAATAGTTTCTATTTCGGAAACAAAATTTTACATTGATGAAGGTTAGGGGTAACTGAAAGAGGTTGTGAAGGGTTGTCAGAAATGTGAGAGGTAGCAGGGGTTGGCGTTGTGATGGGTTGTGAACGGTCTCTGAGCAAGTGCAATAGCTCAACAGGCCTTTACAAGCAATAACTCACTCGTCACAAGGCATTCAGAGACAAGTAAATCCAAATACAAAGTCTAATAGCAAAAATGACAAAAATCATTTTGTTCACAAAATTGACCCTGTGCCAACTTCCAAAATTTAGAGACAATTAACCTAGAGAAAATCGGTGCATCCTATTGGGTTTTTATAATATTGCTACAAAATCTATTTTATAATTGCAAAGGATTACAAATGCGCGGTCTTGAAGGAAATGAAGTTTCAAATTTCTTAAATATATTTGAGCATCCTTTGCAAATTAATTCTTAATCTGAAAAAGAATCAAATCTACGGCTACGTACGCTATCAATTCAAATTAAATTAATTCCCAGTCATCATCGGTCGGAAACAGCTGACTATACGACGGAACTTTTCTCGTGGACTGTGTTCCAAAGAAGTGAACCGTGTCTCTTTTGTAAAGCTGCCCATTTCTATCTATACCCCAAAGTTCGTCATCTGCAGTAACTGAAATGTGTTCGAAACATCCAGGAACTGTTTTCCAGTAATCTCCAACAAAATTTATAGATGAGATACCAAAGCGACATACAATGTTACCATTTGGGCAAAGTGCCCAGACCAAATTGTCGCTAACTGAAATGTCCTTCGCTCCCGTTCCTGCAACAACCTCCCAAGCAGTGCCAATAAGAAAACTTTCCGTCACATCTCTTCTTGCGTATACATTATTCCTATCATCAACAGCCCAGACACGACAATCATTTGAACCAACAGCCACTTTAGTGAATCGACAGCCATCAAACGGGGAGCCTTCCACCTGGATCCAAGCGGGAGAGAAAATAGCCTTTCTACTGTCCTCTTTCCCCATCTGAAACCAAACATTGCCATGAAAATCAACAGCCCAAACAACTACTATGCCACACGCTATACTGCAAATCCTCTCACTTCCCATAGTGCTCATATCAACATGCATCCATTTAAGCCCATGTGGTGCGGTCTCTGAAATCCCCTTTCTCATATAAACATCTTGGTTGTTCGTCAACGCCCAAAGAGACCTTGGTGAAGCACTGATGAACTTTAACATTGCTCTTGGTGGTGGCTGGACAACAAAACTTTTGCTCTCTGGTCTAAAGCAATGCAAATCTCCATTCGGTTGCAAGGCCCAAATAAACCCACCATTTCCAGTAGCACCCTGCGCTGAGACACAAGTCCAGAAGGTAGATGTAGCCATTGCTATGGGAACAGTCAGCTCCCATCTTGTTCCCAGCAGGTGCCCACGAGCTGCATGTAGGCTGCCATGCTTGCTTAAAATCCAAATTCCTGATATATCGTTGCCTGACAAAATTTTTGGTTCGTCACCTTTTGTGAAAAATGAGACGACTGTAGAGAAAATGGTTGGATCTTGCACTAAATATTCCCCAACTGATAACTGGTACCATTTACCTCCAAAGAAGTTGTGCTCAGACAACTCCAAGTTGAACCAGACTTTCCCATCCCTGTCTATGATCCAGCATACACCTTTCGGTCCGAGTGCGACGTTACTTGCAGTTATACCAGGAAGTTCAAGCCACTGGGCCGACTGCTCGTTGCCACCAAGGCAACTTAGATCACCTGTAAACGAAAGTCAATGTACTTTAGAAAAGATTCTTGCTTACAGCTTACACACATTCTAGTTAGTGACGGTTGGTTGGTTTTCAAGCATAAAAAGTTTGATCCAAAAGTGAATTTTTAAAATGAGGAGAGAATATGTTTCTGGCAATGTCAGATCACGCTATACAGTTAGTTTTTTAAAGATTTTGTTTTCATGTAAATAAAATCGAGAGGGAATGAAACCTAATTAATCAACAAATAATTGTGGTTCCTTTTCTAAACGAAAACCTTACGGAATTTAGTAAGAGCTGCTTAACAATGACATAATGCATTTATCTGTCAAATCTACATATATGCGCCTTTAAACAACTGCAACACTAATTAAATATCAACATTCTGCTAATAGCCTCTAACTCTAGAGAGAAAGGGAAAGATCTAATTATCGCACCAGCAGTCTCAGCAATAATAATTACCTTGGTAAATCTGCACATGGTTATAGATATCAAGTCCCCAGACCATAGAGCCGAGGCAAGTAATCTGAACCAGATCCGAGGCTGCTCGTATAGTTTTTCGTCCAGTTCCCTTTGGTTTTTCGGGTGAAACCCCAGTACAGACGAAAATGTCGCCATTTGTTTTGATTCCCCAAACAGACGTGTCGTCAACGGCAACATCAAGAACCTCACTCTCAACCGCTTCCCAATCATTTCCTGCCAAAAAAAAAGTTTTCAAGGCATTCGGATGAGTGAGAACACGACAGTGGGAACAAATTCTATCAAGATTTTTATATTCTACAAAGTTCTAGATACTTTGTCACTAACTCTGTAGAAAAGTAGTTCATCATTAGAAAAAAGAGGTAGCCTTTTTAGAAAAAGGAAGCATACTTGTTTAGTTGATGCCGTCATTAATTTCCGAGGTATTCAGGGATCAACTACACTGGGATCCACCCACAAGAGTCCTTTTTATTCCAGCTAGAGCCCGTCTTTTTGTATGTGCTTTATCTCTTTGAGATTGAAGTTTGGAGTAAACCTCATAGAAAATCCTGCTATTAAGCCAACCCATTTAGAATGTAATATAATTGACCTTTCTCGATAGACAGAAAGAGAAAAGCTCTCTTTATCTAGAAAAATGAATGCACCAACACTGAAGAACAAAACTGATACAAAGCAACTAGCATAAATAATCTGTATTTTATCATTTGGACTAACAAGAACGGCAATTAGGCCGATTTTAAGAAATTCGAGAGCAATGGAGAAAAGGGTTGTTGAGAAGAGGCACGTATAAATCGATCCTACCTTGAGGATTAAATGGCTTCACATTGGTGCGGTATGAGGCCACTTTCTTCCTATTGACGCCCCAAATGATGGTTCCGCTTTGATTTGCTGCTAGCTTCCTTGCTCTTCCATCTACCCTCTTCCAAGCAACAACCGCTGATGACGCTGCGCTAACAAATAAGTGTTCGTGATTGTCAACACACCATATCAACGTATCCGTAACAGTAACGGACTGAGCAGATCCACAGCTCGGGACAGGGATATCGGCCCAGCTGTCAGCAAGCAATCGGAGTCGTTCAGACACTTTCTCCGCAACCGTATGCGACGAGGCTGGTAAAGGACTGTCAATTTCAAACACAGAGGGGGAGCTGCAATCGCTGCCTCTTACCGAATCTCTAGCACTACCAATACCATGCTTGTGCTGCAGAAACAGAGCTTCTGTAAGCTCTACTCCACCATCCTGATCCAAATTGATTGCTGGTGAGTGACAACGGTTGTCCTCAATGTCTGTCATCTCATCACTGTCAATAGACAACATTGCTAGGGAATCGATCAAATTGTCATCTCTCTCGCGGATTTTACTAGCATATGACGGCACATCATGCTCCGGTTCTGAGAAGGACACTTCTGATAAGCTTACAGTTTCTTGTGAATAAATTGAGTGGTAATTCATTTGTGGGGCGGGAAACAGTGACGGCTCACTGCTCACAGGGGAACGTGGAGGAGAATCATCAAGCTCGATTTTCTCGTCTCCAAGCCAAGAGTCGTCAGAGTCGTTCGAGTTCGTTTCTCCAAAGTAAAGAAACTCAGAGCTGTCAGTTCGTACACGAGTTCTTTCAAGAGCCTCGCCATATACAGTTTTACAAGGCTCGCTTACTTGCGAGTTTTTAATCGGCTCCTGTGTTGCAATTTCCACATTTAGGACTTCAGACGGATCGAAAATAGGGTCTTCCTCGTTCTCTCCATTCACCTCACTCGTAACAAGAGCTAAAGACAATGGGTCCTTCACTGCTCTCTTTCTGTCATCAAAACATTTCTCAATTGTAGCTTTACTTGTTGTATCTAATTCATTCTTAGTTGAGCGGTTGTTGATAGTCCCAGAATCAACGGGAGTCGCTGACGTTATTTTTGTCAGCTTTCCAGGTTCTTCCGACACATTGCCATCTAATTTACTTGTCTCATAAATTTCATTTTCGTTGTTTTCAATGTCCTTTCGCGGTGTATCTAGAACATCTATGCCATCACACTTAACCTCAGCGACTTTATCTAACGTTTTATCAACAATTGGCTTCTCCATTCCAGTTAATGCTAAAGTCTCTGAGACAGGGTTTGATGTTTCTTCTTCCTTCACAATTTCATTTTTTCGCAAAATTTCATCATCGTCCCTTTCGTCGGCTCTTCTTTGTTCATCTAAACCACAAGGTATTTCTACCTTCCTGACTGATGATTCGGTAACATTTTCAGCATTTTCAACTTCCGTTGAAACCAACACATCTGTCCCATTCACACCCTCGCGTGTCTGAAGCTCAACGTCACTAACCTGCATAATTTCATACTTTGGTTTCGAAGCTTCAGTTGTACGTTCTACGTCATCCGCAGCGGTTCTCGGCTTTTCGCAAGAAATGTTCTCTTTTTTTTCTGACTGAGTTTCTATTAGCTGTTCGGGGTCTAAAAACAAAACAAGCACATTATAATGAAGAGCTAAGACCCTATATTAATCAAACCTTACCCCTTTGGCAATTTGGCAGCTGTTGCCAAGAATTTAGCATTAAACCAAGTTGCTTTAAACTGAGCAGGGACCTTAAATGGCCAGAAAAACTATTTGATGCACAGAGTTTGCGCTTGTCATGAATACAAACCCCTTCCCTTTATTTTCCCGTGTAACTCGGGTTCACAGTTTAAAAGCATCAAATAAAACATACCTAGGCCAAGCCTCCTCTTCTTCCTCGGTTTTCGCTTTGAGGTGCCCTCAAACACAATGTCTGTATTGAAATCCTTTTCCGAAATATGATGAAACGGCAAAGGCTTCTCTCTCATGTCATGCTTGACCAAAACACTAACTGCCTTGTTATCTGTATTAATATCATCCATTGACTGTTTTGTTTCCTGAAAGTTCGGTGCTTCGTTCTCAGACCTTTCTTGATTTACATTGTCGTCATTCGGTAAACAATTTGAAGACTCGTTTTGAGAAAATTCGGTATAAGGTGATGGGATGACGACACACGGACTCGCAACTGAAGGGTGTAGCTCCGAGTCCGGTTCAGATTTTGCTGGAGTTCCATTAATATTCTGTCGTCGAACGATAGTTATCGGGCTCGAAGCCCCCATCGAATCTGGACTTTCGCCTGCTGATGAGGTCGTACTTTCGTCCGATTCGTCCTTAGTTTTTATCTGTTCTATAGTTTTTACGACATTTCGCTTAACGCCGCTAATGAATCCGACAGTGCTGCTCATCACACCGCCAATTATTTTGTCGATTTTATCATTTTCTTCAAATTGATTGACAGAGCCTGCACGTGGTATTTTTTCAATGAACTCGCCATTTTCCTTCAAATCCAACGTCTTTACTTCAATTATGGGGCTCTGTGCACGGTTTTCGAAAGTGATTCTTCGCACAAAGTTTTCATCACCTTTCGTAAGAACGAATAACTCCTCATTACTTGCAGCTACACCTACAATGCATCCTAAATTGCTATGACAGCCAACGACAACACCCTGATTAGGGTCTAGTACCCAAATACAAGGACCTTGCCATGATACCAGGTAGTTGTCTGAAAACACCATAAGTGGTCCGAACTGCTTTGGTTCTGTTTGCGCAGGATTTTCACTGCAGGACGAGGCTAAATTAAGCGTGTTTATCTCAGGCTCCCCTTTTGTTATGGAGTCTTTGAAAATCATTGTTGCTGAAACTTTTCCTTCGATGTTTGCTCGCCATATTCGTAGGCCAGGCCTTGCAGCATAAATGCTTGGTGACGCATTTTGTTGTTGCGGAAAGAAGCATGCACCAAACTTTCCCTGACTGCAACGGAAAACATCATCATCTAAGAAATGGATTAGGAAGCTGATGCTAGACATCAGACATTAGTTAAGAAGCAATACTATATTGACTAGCTTGTAAGCCTTTATCAATCAGATTCTAAAATCGACAGCTACAGATTATCAACAGCTACAGATAATATAAGCAATCCCTACAAAGTTGTGGGGGTGGTACATATGTTCAATTCAGTTACATCTGGAAAGGTTCCTATCTATGAAAATCTCGCGCACGCCAGATAGAATTTCATTAGAATTTCATCAATGCGATCAAACACGTGCTGCTAACGGGCAAATATCTTGATAGATTTCTGACGGGAGACAGGAAAAGAAATAAAATACAATATAAGAGAACACAGGTTACAACAGAATACAGCCGGCATCATACATAATTGATATCTTACATTTTTCTTTCCTGTTGGCCAACCTGAACTGGTGTCTTTAGGTTGAAAGGCCAAATAAGTGATCGCCGCAATGTGGAGACAACGAGTGCCGCTTGACATAGTGCTAACTGGGTTACAGTGCAGTCTTCTTTGCAGATAAAAACTGTATGTGTTTGACCCTGGAACATAAAATTTAACAGTGGCTATTAAAAAGCTGATATTAAGATTGCAAAACTAGCGTTTGTTCATTCTTGAAGATTTTAAATTCTTGATCTTAAAATTATCACTGCAAAACATGCCTAATACTGCCGAAAAGGCCAAGTTTTGCTGTTTCGTGCCATTATATTTTATTATTATACAACAGTTAAATGTAAGGATAATTTTTCAAAGCTTTGGCCAGAATTAGCCTTATGCATTGATATAATTTGAACGTAAATGCCATGCAGGCCACTTCAATACTGCATCACTTCATGTAAGTTTTTGATTGTGCCTCCATACTGTTTGTGGAGTGATTTGTGTCTGTGTCGTCTCTAGATACTCCTTCTTGAAAGACAACGAGGGACTACCCAATTGCACACTGTTTTAGAGTCTTTTTTAAGGTATCCAGTTTAAGATAATTACAAGCTGCCATGTTCAACAGCAGAAACGTTCTAAGCCTTGCACGAAATTAACTCAGTCTAAACTTCCGAAATAGGAGCAAAAATTTACCTAGAGTAAAATCTGTGCTTCCTTTGGAAAACTAATAGCACTTCTTGTGACGAATAACAAATTCAAGATCTTCAAGGAAGTTTACAGGAAACGGCAAAATACCTTTTTCTCAGTCTACATTATTGGCAAAGAGGCAAACAGTCGGCCATCACGACATAAGGCCAGAAATTTTGGAAACAGAGATAATGAATGACAAGTTTTTCTCTTCTGCTCGACAAACTCCAACTTTGACGAGCTTTCTAACTTTTCGAGTATTTAGAACTTGCATGAAAAACAGACTGTGTAATTCAATTAGAGATATCCTGTTTATTTTCATCAATAGTTCTTTGAGATCATCGATTATTTCTATTGATATATAAGAGCAAACCTCAAATTAATTTTCGAAGCTTCTTAATAAATACAGCAATTACGAGTGCCTTTCTAATAATTCACCTAAAATGATCTTTTCAAAATGTTTCTTAAAAATTAAAAAAATCCATAACAAATTGTGACGTAATAACGAGGTCAAAATCGTCACGTGGTTATTAACTTGAACATCGAAGCTCGTCATGAATAAAAAAACAAAAACGAAAATCAAATTTGCTACATACATCGTGGATGTTGATAACAGAAATGGCCACATTCCCTTCACTATCCCCAGAAAACAATTTTGTCCCATCTGGGGTCCATTCAACACATGTTACAGGAGCATGGTGATGGTCGTCAACTGTACACTTGAGTAAGACCTGAAAAGCGAAAAACAGATTTCGTCATACAGTATTAGTTTCATGAGATTCCTAAGAGAGATAATCATCTGCGTAGTACATCACGCTTCTCCAAATATCTAGTTATGCCCCCTATAACTACAAATATATTTCTAGGAATCAACCCTTGACCAAATTTTACAACAGCTCCCTCCATTTGCCCCCCCCTCCCCCCCCCCATTACTTTAAATCTCCAAAAAACGAGAGAAATACTTGGTTTCTGAAATTGGCGAAATTTGAAAAAATTGAACTCTTTACATTGTTCGTCGATTATAGGCTTTCGTGTGCTTAAATTACATGGGATTAAATTGAATATCATTCCAAAGATATTTTAGCAATTAAACGATTTCTTTAACACGTCCTTGCAATAAAAGAAAGCTAAAAATTACTCCCTCAATTTCTATTCCTGGATGATATTGGTTTAACAAGTTAAAAGTTGCCTGTAGATCGAATTAGGCGTGAAAGTCGGAGACGCAACTTAGAGCCTTTCGGGTCTATACAACAGGTTTAACAGAAACACGAAAAAATTGCTTGCATCTGGTGATAGATAATTTGGGGAAAATACATTTTCAACTGCTGTACAGTTTGGAAACAGACTTCCACGGAAAACTATTTGGTAGCGTTGTGGGCAATTCTAAATACATTCTCTTAAATTTTATATACAGATTATAGCAAATAAAACTCAAAACATTTTGATATTATTTAAAAAGTTTTTTTAATGGAGAACAACTCAGGATCAAAAGAATCTTGAAATTTCTTAACAACATTGCAAGTTGTTCCGCCAAAAAAGAAGGAAAACAACCTCATTGAAATGCATGCTTCGAACAAAGCTTTAGCGTCACTGACGGATTAAAAACTCATCTTGAATTATTAAAAGCGGATTTTTAACTTGGAAATTCATCAGACACAGTGAATTATCTTAAAGCAACCGCAAGAAAATAAAAAGAAAACTGTGACCTTTTTGTTATGCAAAAATTGGCTTACAAGAAAAATGATCGGTTAATCGCAAGGAATGTCAACTTGCACAGAAAACAAAAGCTCCCATAAAGACATCCAGCCGCAGGCAACTTGTTACAAAGGGAAATTATTCAATAGTTAGCATGATTCACGATCAACCTTGGATCTAAATATATGTTTGGGTTAATTCGCCCGAAGTATGACGCAGAAAAAATGATTTAAGTTGTAAAAGTAGCGCAAGCTTAAAGCCAAGTTTAGTTTTAAGTCCGACTCGAGGGTGGTTTAGCGTGGAGTACAAAATGCAAAATTTGTATATGTCATCCTTGCAGTTAACATTTGTGACGTCAACTCATCTAAACGTGGAGTTATGTAACTGACCTCAATAAAATGCATTTACGCAGCCTGATTGACAGTTATGGCAGCACAATAACAAAACTAGCATGTTTGAAGAAGTTTAAACAACAATTTCATGATAGCAATAAGTTACATCGTGCAAAAAAGTAATTGTGATATTTTCTAAACAAACAATCACCTTGTGATTCCCATCCTTTTCCTTGCCATAGTTGAAAATTGTCAAGACACCATTCATCTGTCCAGTGACAACAAAGTTTTGGCTGGGCAGGATTTTCACACAGACGATGGGAACTTGCTTTGACTAAAAATACACACAAAATTGATAAAACTAGTAAATTTGCACAGTGAATCTATCTAAGAAATATTATCAAATACAAGGTTAAAATCTTAAAGATACCATCCAGGAACAATTGATTCATAATACGGTTACTTCCTAACTACCTAAAAAAAGTGGTTAAAAACATATTCAACCTACTTTGTTTATCATAATTTCATTGAGGCTTTGTCGTGTGGCCACATTGTTTAAATAAAATTAACTATTTTGTTCTTTTCTTTCTTGCTCTGAGAGCATGATAAGTAACAAACATGAAACAATATGAATTAATTGTTCCCTAAATTGCTTAACAGGTAGATGTTTAATGTAAATATGCCTAAATGAAACTTCCTTCTGCTCTTTTCCAGTTGTAGGGCAAGGCTCAAAACACTCAATAACACATCACTCAAATATCACTCAAAACAGCTGCTCAGGATCCTTACCTCAGACACAAACCTTTGAAGACGACCAAGCTTTCTGTCAAAGAAAAACAAAATGCCAAAATTGCAACCAAGGGCAATTAACTCTTCAGTGGCATCAATACATGTATACTCCAGCTTGATAGCATCTTGTGGCTTTGAAGACTGCAAAAACCGTTTCACACCTTTGTCACTCTTTTGCAAAAACTGCTCCTTGAGGGAGGAGAAGCCAAGTTGCGCTTTGGTTGGCAGTAGCTTTAACAATCTAGATTGGGCTTCTTTCTCTTTAAGAACAACGTCTCTTCCAACTTGTGGCTCAGCCATGACCTTTTGTAAGCAAAATATAGGGTTAATTACCTCAGTTTCACTGCTAATATAACAAAAGTGCCAAATTGGATGCTCACATAAAAAATTCATAAAAAGGTAAAACAATAATATTAGGATAAGACTTTAACAAGTAATTACTCTAGAATTCTTTTTAACTTAAAGAAACATCTGGCAGAGTTGTTTCTGAAAGGAAAGATGAAATTGGATGTCAATTGAAAACACCTAGGCAAAGCATGATTACAGTTTAGCATGAGGTAGTATTATATTATTAATACGAGGCCTGTTTAAATATAAAGCAGAACATGACATATCTATTCTTCAGTCTGAAGGCAGTGGGTATATAAAACCAGTCTGAAGGTGGTAGAAATATATAAAATATGGTTAAAATTGATTGTTAGGAGATTTATGCAATATGTAGGCAATAGGTATGTAGGTAGGTATAGCAGGCCTGGCCGTTTGAGGCGAGCGATAGCTCGCGCTCGCCTCCACGCTCCCCTCGCAACCTGAGGCGAGCTATGAATTGCTCTCCTAAACAGAACATGAAGGGAGAATCGCTCCCCTAAAATTTCCATTCATTTGCTCTTTTCCTATTCAGAGAACCCTGAAAACGGGTTAATTGGCTTATTTTTGTAACAGCGATTTCTCCCGTCACTGCATTTTTTGCAATTAACTTTTTGCTTGTTGGGCGGTTTTTGTTATGATATGCATAAACTTCGATCTATTTGGAAAAGGATAGTTAACCGAAAGGTACGTTTGTAGCGATTAGAACCTTTCGATCCTAAGAAAACAGGAATATTTTTGGAAGGAAAGTCGAAGAAATGGGTAGGAATTGTAGATTGGGGATATAATAAGACAGTAGGTCCCTTCCAGCAATAGAAGCAAAACTATCCCTCAAAGAAAACAGGGTACTCTGTCTTGCAGATCAAAAACGACAACCAAAACATAGAATTCCACTATCCAGCAGCATTTACTGAAAAACCCAGATTGGGTGAAAAACTATAACGGCGACATGTTTCGCATTATTGGCAAAGCCTGATCATCGTTCCATCTATGTAGCAGTTTGTGAATCTATCTACTATATAAACATGGCCGACTGCTTTTGTGTAGACATAAGTGAGTTCGTTTTCACCTTAGGACTCCATTGGTAACATTTTCAATAGGAAAGGGGCACTTATTGGAAAACCTCAACAGTCATGTCCTCGCGTTTTCTGATGGCCTATTTCGATCCAAAACTGGGTATTTTAGCGTAGAGTTTTCCATCTATGTTCTGACCTTTTATTCTCTGAAGAGTGCTAGACGTATAATTAAGTTTGTTTCAAAATTTGTTTTTTAAAGCCATTTTCAAATTCTGTGCAACAAAAAGATTGTTTTGCAAGAGAATTGTTGTTTTTGTGTTGTGCCAGCTTTACATAAAACGGAGAGAGTCTGTTCTTTCAAATACTTCAAGTAAAGGGGGTGCCTTAGTCACGGTTAAAGCAAATGCAAATTGAAAGAAGTAAAACAGCACACTCCTGACTGAGGCTATTACATTAAGGCAACCAACAGATACTAAATGGGCTTATTAAGTCATCTTTCGATTGTCTTTAAAGTACATTCTATGTGTTACTGATTTAGCTCGCCTCAGCAAATGAGGGGAGCAATTCACAGCTCACCTATGAAAACACAAACGGCCAGGCCTGGTATAGGCAATGTGTAGGCAATGTGTAGGCAATTTGTAGGCAATGTGTAGGCAATGTGTAGGCAATGTGTAGGCAATTTGTAAGCAATGTGTAGGAAATGGGTAGGGGTAGAAGATTTACCGTAAAAGTTCTATCAAGCCCCCAAGGGGCTTATTTTTCAGTCAAGAAGGGAGCTCAAAAGAGAGGGGGGATTATTAGAGAGGGGCTTATTAAAAATTTGAAGTAAAAAGTGTTTTAAAAATGCCTTTGTCCATTACTTTCAAGAATGTTTTGAAAATGTCATACAAATGTTCTCAAAAAACTTTGCTAGCAGCTTTGAAAGTTTAATTCATCAATTATAAGGTCCTCATCTTCAACAACATCACCAGGATCAATTGAAAACCCTGGGACATCTTCAAAACAAATTTTGACTGACTTCTAAGGTGCACAAGTTAGTCTTTTTAAGGGCCGTTTTCAATGCACATGATCTTATCATCATAATCATACCCAACAAGACCCACTGAATGCGCATTTTTTCTTTATTTGACATCAAAGGCTAAAGAGGGGGCTTAATAGAGAGGGGGGCTTATTTTAAGATTTTGCTTGATAAGGGGGTTTAATAAAGAAGGGGGCTAAATAGAGCTTTTACAGTATGCAAAGTCTTTACAAGTTGTAAAAGCTAATAATTATTTAAAAACAGCTCCCAAAATTTAAAAATTAATTATTCCTCATGTCCTTGATCCTTTCCTATAAATAAAGATCATAGATTTATATGAATAGTTACCATAACTCGACAATTGTCTACAATCTTTTACATTATGACTCATTTTCCACTATTGGAATTGTAAATGAGGGAATCTTTCATAGACCAGCCTTTAACTGCAGGTGACTGATCACCAATAACGAGAAATTTTTTAGAATTACCAGAGCAAAACTCTGGCTTTGGCTCTACACACAAGAAAAAACTTTCATCATAGGTTGCTTTTCACTTTCTACAAGTCTTCATTCTGAGTTTTCCCAGGGGCTAGGGCTGCCTTTCAGAATGTCTTCTGCGAAGGACCAGCTCCTTCAATGTATAAGGTTGTGTAACAAAGAAAAGCGAAATTAAGAGAAAACAAAGCCTTAGCCTGGATCAAAAATATCTATCATACAAACTGGTATACTTAACAATAAAAATGAGAATGTCACATACACTTCGCAAGCAATTTCTTCAACAAATGTTAAAAAATAAAGATTTTTTAGAAAAAATATATTGCTCCCATAGTTGGACCTACTGCAGGCTTTTAGATGGACTATGACTAGCCTATGACTAGCCCTTCTTGATTATTTCATGTTGATAATTATCCCTGGTACCAAAGGGTACATCTTAAGGGTTAAAAATTGATATTGAAATACTGAAATATATGTGTGAATGCTTAATGTCTCAGTACAACTCTTTTCAAAGCAAACTAAATCAGTGTGTAAGTATTTTTATTTTCCACAGCTATCCAATTTTTAAGACCCATTTACATTAATATTTTTCAAAACAAAACACTTCTTTGTGCTTCACCATACATTTACACACCAACATGATAAATATGTGATGCAAAGCTTACACATTTCAATTTTGAAAACATTTTTCCCCGGGGCTTTCAATATCTTTAATTTAAAATCGATCATTAAAAAGGGGCACTGCATTTAAACGACAAATGAAGAATTGTTTACGTCACAATAACTATCTTATATGCAATTCAGAAAAGAGGGCTCACGAAAACTCTGTTTTCGGGTCTGGCAAAAAGTTTCTTCCGGAAATTATTTGGCAAATGTGAATGGCCACGAAAAAATCTCCCACGAATGCGAACGAGAAGATGAACAAACCGCACCATTTATTTGTACGGGGGTTACCTAAAACGTATTAAATACGGGCTTTGAAGCATATTGCCATAAAAAAGTAATGTTGATCTCGTGAGTGATCTACTTGTAATTCACCGCACACTCCCGACAAAGTTTATTGTTTGGTCTCAGCGAGCTTGGTTTGACACCAACTGAGAAAAAAACATGAAGCCATTTGGATAACCTTTTCATTTTAATAACATAGGTCAAATCATACTATTTTACTCAAACCTTTACCAGTTCGTCAAAATATATTGTTTACTATGGGATACATTTGTAAAACAAAAACAATGAGCTGTAAAACTTCACAAAGTTCAATGATGATGTACTGGCCGACTGACGAGAAGTGAGAATATTATGATCAAAGCAAAGAAGATCGAGGATCACCTCGGCTCCTTATGAAAACAAGACAAACAGTAAAACTCACCGCTCTTTAACTTAACTCTGAACATTTCATCTTGATTGAAATAATCTTTATCACTCACTCTTTCTCTGTGAAAACTAGAAATTCCTTGATATTCTCCAAAACTATGGCCTAAAAAGTTTGGGGAGTAGATGTAGGCCACTGGAAAATTCCGCAAAATAAACAATGATAACAGCAGCATTCACCATATATCGCAAGCAATAAGACAAAATAACTGAAAACGATTATTTGTGCAGAGCTTTACTCAGTAATCATTGCCAACAACGCCTCCCAAAAGCGACAACAATCTCGTCTCGGTGACCGCATTGTGTCGACATGTCCTAGCTGCCATTTCCCCTTGGAAAGTATTATTGCATCACTGTGATCACAAATGTCATATTTTACAAGCTCCTAATTCATACACAGTTGTAGACAATTGGATACTCAACTAGATTCTTAGAATATGACATTTGGCAAGTCAGGTCTCGCTGGGTTCGGTTTTCTTTTGAAACCAAAGGGGGAGGTACCACTTCAGGCGACAGACAAAAGGCATCTCATCGTGCGTGAGAGATAAAAAAATGTGATTCAACAAAAGTGATGATTGATTTGAGATTTTTGGAGAAAATATGTTGTGGTTTTCAGGTATGCATACTATGCAATTTATAAGGCATTAAAAAGTTTTTGTAAACGGCTACTAACGACAGCAACACAGTATCCATAGAACAACTACAATATCCAGCAAATCCAGAACTGTGCAATTTTAAATTATACCCTTGTTTTACTTGTTAATTTGTTTTCATGAAAAGTTTTCAAACCTCCTGGATGGCAACCCCCAATCAAGTTATTATATTGCCATCTATTATACTTTACCTATTTTATCGATAGGATAGTTACGCTTAAATATTCAAACTTGTCGGCAAATGAAGATTGTATCGCTCACTTTGTTGGCAAATCGTTTTTGAGACGAAATTTTTAAGGGGGTTTCACAACAGTGTTAAAAATCACAAATTATAGTAGCTGAGCCTCAGCTTGTTCTTGATTTGTTCTTAGCATTTGAAACATTTTGAATCTTTTGCTCTTATAAGATTGTTCTTATAAGAAAAGAGTGTGTGGCAATGAAACAGTTTTTTGTTATTTATAAAAATCAAATACTGGGACCTTTGCCAAAAGCATGTTTCAGTTTCTTCAAAGTGGCATTTGCAGTGTTATATCTTTTTTGTACTGCATTGCGTGTGCGTGGCCACAAGGGATTCTGTGTTGCTTCTGTACCGTTCCTTCAATGATCTTCAACTCAAGCACCATGAACATTGTTTCACAGGCCGAAGTTTCGTGAGAAAGACTTAAAAAAGAAAGAACATTTTAACAACGATACAAAGTGATTACAATTACAATGCCTATTTTTGCATACAATTTGAAAACAAGGGTGTTTCCAGGAACTAAAATAGGGCGTGGCCACAAGACTTGTTGCGCCTTCTGTGAAAATTGATTGGCGCTCGGAGTGTCTGCCCCACAGGGCTCTTCCTGCCTAGAAACGGTCCTGGTGTCAAAGTTACAAAAAGTCAATTTTTTGATATGTATTCCCTTGAAATTAATTTCTCGTGGAAATTTTACCAAACCACCACTTTTCGTCGAGATGTTCACTTCGGATATTAGCAAAACATCTAAAAAGAATTTTCCACTTCCCACTGCAATTGATTATACACCCTCAGTTCAGGACGATACTGAGCACAAAAAATTCGCTTCACTGCCAGGTTGATAGGTGTCATTATTGGCAACCACGAGCACGAAATTCCAACACTCAATGTCACTATGGTTGAAGATTACTAAAAGGAACCCATTTCCTATAGGGGTGACATGTCACTCTCTGTTTGCACAGTAGCTATGCACTAATTCAACTTGCGGCCTCATTTTGAAAAATTCTTCAAATTGGTACAAAATTTTTTACCTCGGATTTGGTTGAGAGCAGGAATTTAAGTTTCCTTGGACGTTTTAATTTTACGTTATTGCCCACGATATTGATTTTATGACGGCATAAAGATAACAATTTTATAATGGTTTTGACCGTAATTGGCGACTAAGGGGGTAAAGTTTCACCCAGCAGGATTTTTGCGGTCAAATCTCTTACATGTTTTCAAACTTCTCTTCTCCGTAAAATCTGAAGTACAAACTCAAACAATTTAAAAAAATGTATCCGGCCTAAAATCACAAGGATAAAAAACTAAATCGAGCATTTATGATCTGAGTTGAGCAATGAAGTTTTGATAAATATCCAAAACGAGGCTGTGTGCTGAATAGTTGCATTGGGAGCGGCGATTCCCCTGAGGATTGGGGTTTAAAAATACAACTTAATGGCTTTAGTAGAATGAAAAATTAATCTGCTTTTCTTTAGCCGCCGTGGAGGTAATTACACAATATCCAGGATAAGGAAATAATAAAAGTAATACGGAAATACATTGTTACTGCGAAATTGTGGAGAAAATATTTTCTTACAAAGGCAGGATATATGGAGACAAAATAAAGATTAATCTATGATGTAGGTAACGGTTTATGTTTGCAAAGCAATTAAATCTATTGATTTCAAAGTTTCTATTGTAATATTCACCTTGACGACAGTAATCCTATTCTTTTATCTAAAAATCCCTAGAAATCATTTTGTTTTAGGGAAAATCTCGTACGCTATTTGCAAGAGTGAATTGCCCTCGTACTGAATAACCATGTTCGCGGATTTTTATCATAATTTTAGCGAACTTTGCCATAAACACACCACAGTCGTTATCTTTCTGGCAATAAAAGCATGTAAGGCCCTGAACGCACTGATTTCTTACATAAAACTCATTTTCTTTGTCCAAGTGGAAAATCGATAAAACTTTTGCAATTTCCGCTGGAACTCAAGAGATCCGTTCATGTATGGGCTGCCGTTACCATCAAAATTGTGCATATGCTTTTTTGTAAAATTGTACCTTGCATCTATAAAATGGTACCATTTGTTTTCTGAAATTGTACTTTATGTTTCACCAAATATGGTACCTAGTTTCGAATGATGGTACCCTCTGTTCATAAAATGGTACCTTTTGCTTCATTAAATTGTACCTCGTTTCAGAAAATGGTACCCGCTGTTTTTAAAATTGTACTAGTTGTTTTGTGAAATGGTACTCCTATGCTATAAAATGGCACTATCTTTTTTGTAAACTGGTACTCTCTGATTTATAAAATTGTACTTCCTGTTTCATAACATGGTAGATTTTGTCTAAGCTTGATATCCTTTTTTATTATTTGGAGCCTGGAAATACCAAGCATAGAGTATCAAGAGTACTAAGACACAATAGGCCCGAGGACCTTAAATCATAGTCTATTGAAAGGACTGGTTAGGAATCCTATTGTCTTTCGATCGCTATGTTATTGTTATGGTAATTTTGTGTCACGTGACGACGAGCCGGCATCATCTCGGTCTCAGAATAGAGAAAATTCAGTAGGCCAGAATGACAGCGTAATAATGTGATCTTTACTATCGTCTCGTTTCTTACTTCATCTTTTACATAATGCCCGGAGAAAACTGCGGGTTTCTTGGTTGTCACAATAGCAGGGCCTCATCAGGTGCAAAACTGTCGTTTTTTAAAATACCAACTGTAAGTGACAAAGATGGAGAGGATACACGTAATAAGAAGGAGGAAGCACGAGCTGAGTGGATAAGGATTGTGTGTAGGACAAGAGTTAAAGATGTCGATTTGGAAAGGCAGTTTCGCGCAAATACTTTTCATTTGTGTGAAATTCATTTCGATTTAGATGATATTGATGTGTTTCCTAAACGAAAAGTCTTACGAACCGGGAGCATTCCGACAAGAAATTTGCCTAAAAAATCTTTTGACGCTGGCGAAAATTTCAAAGAAAGGAGAGTTGTCGAACGCAAAATTCAAGATCCGTTGTTGAAGCCAATTTACGAGTCTTTCGAAACAGTGGAGAAAAGCATAGGAAAAATGAAGTTAATTCCATGGCGTACAGAGGTAGAAAAAGACATGATAAATTTGTTCCTTGATGATACAGAAATGTATGTACCAAGATTCTCGGTAACTGTCTCTAATAAAGAACCATTGGACACAAAATGTTTTTATTTCGGCTGGAGAATACCATCTTTTCCAAACCTGGATATACAGAGTAACTCTGTGAGGCAGATTTTAAACTTTTTGGAAACTTCGTGTATTTGTTGTGGTATACCATGTAATTGGTGTAAAGACACAATCTTACATGCAGTTCCAAAAAGACCAATCTTGAATACCAACTCTGACCCATTTGAATCATCTCAAATATTTAGAAGCAAAGATTGCTCTGTTATCTTATTACCAAATGCTGAAAACGGCAGATGTCCAAGTTGCAATCTAAAGTTGAAAGCAAGGGCAAACCAGTCCAAAAAAGCCGTCCCAGCTAAGGATAAAGCCCCACTTTCAGCATGTAGTCAAAGTAAGCTTGTTGCTACAGTGAAAGCCAGCCGACTGAAATGCAGAGACCTTGAAAATCAAGTTATGAAGATTAAGCAAGAAATAGATTCCAATGGACTTGATGTAAGTGATGATCTTCACAAAGATATAACAAGCATAGTAGGAAATTCTAAGCTAAATGCTACACCTCTAATGAGGTTGGTTTGGGAGGAGCAGCAACGTCTCAGTACTGTATCTGCCAAAGGTCGGCGCTACCACCCACAGTTCATCAGATTCTGCTTATCATTGCAAGCGAAAAGCTCATCTGCATATGATGAATTATCTGAGGTTCTTGTGCTGCCAAGTCAAAGATGCCTGCGGAATTATAAGCACACATTTAAAGCAAGGCCTGGCATTGTCAAAGAAAATGTCAACAAACTTGCATCTCTAACTTCTGATTTCGGAGGAATCCAACAGTACATAGGCATTATTTTTGATGAGATGAAAATACGCAACGATCTTGTATTTGACAAAATGTCTGGTCAGCTTATTGGATATGTGGACCTTGGGGATCCAGTCATTGACTATGTCTCATTTGAGGATAATACACAGTTTGCACAATATGCCCTGGTGTTTATGATAAGGGGCCTGTGTACAAGTTTAAAGGCTGTCTTCAGTTATCACTTAACTGGCTCAAGTGGGTCAACAGCTTTTCAGTTGTGGCCATTATTCTGGGATGCCATATTTACCCTTGAGCTGGTTCTCAACTTGAAAGTAGTTTTTGTGGTTTGCGATGGAGCATCACAAAATAGGAAATTTTTCATGCTTCACCAGAATCTCCAGGCATTCCCAGCAACAGGAAATAATACAGAAAAGGAAACATTATGCCATTTCACTGTAAACCTTGCAGATACAAATCGCAAAATATTTTTCATTTCAGACATCCCCCATTTGATAAAAACAACAAGAAAT